GTTTTACAGTTTAAACGGTGGCTCCTGATAGGGTGATACGTGGCGAGTGGTTCGCGTGCTGCACTTTGAACCAGGGGTGACCCTTGTTCGAATCCCGCACACGGCTAACATCGGTGGTCAAGTGATGTCTCTAAATCTTTTCTCAGGACCCCCCCCCCCCCTTTACCAACCCGTGCTGACCAGCACGGTGAAGAATGGTCAGACAACCCCTGCTTGATTGACCAATGGATGGCTTTCAACCATGCCAGTGACGACTCGTACGTTTTACACGGTGTAAATTGTGACCCTTCTAGAGGGGGAGCGGGGGGGGCTCTCAAGCGCTTCCTCTATTGAACGCCCTTCCACCAGGAGTGGCGCGGCCAAACACAAATTTCAGGGCTGTGCATTTTTACCTTTATAGCAGTAGAGGTACCAACCCCAGACGGAACCCAATCCATATTATGGTCCAACTGGCTTCATAACTTTTTTGGTCACTCTTCCCTTCCCGTGATGGTTCTAAATCCGGCGAAATGTTGGGATTGTGGTATGGGGTTTGGAGACCGAACGGATTTATTACTTTAAATTAATTTTCTCTGTGATGATCATTTTCTGTTATGTGCATTTTTTCTCGTTATATATACATTTTCTTGATTTGCCAAGTAGTGGGGGTTTTTTGTATCATCTGTGTCAGGGACTGGCTAATAGATGTTGCAGCTTTGTGGGATGCAAAGGCACGAATGACGCGATTTATAAAATGAAATTATTAAAACGAATCCGCTGTGCTCTCCTGTCGCCGTGGCCGTTGGTGGGTCAATTGTAATTCTGCAACCGCGTTCACCGTGGCACTTGCCAGGTTTTGCGCTGCACCCGTCCATGAGTGTCTATTTGTGGAAACAACCTTGGCTCTCGGGTCGTTTGTGCCGAGCGCTGGGAAAGCGGGCGAGCGGCGTCCAGGCCTCGACTGCCGCTGCCGCTGCTGCTACCGGACGTGCGCTGTCCTTGATATGAGGTCTGCACCCGATTCGAGCAGTTGGGCAACTGGTTGGGGGCAATTTAAATGGCTTTCCGTGGACGTCTCTGCGATCATTTGCGCAACTTGTTTGTGTGCAGCTAATTTGCTTTTGTGTAGTTGTCTCTCTGCAAGCGCAGCCTCTCAGAAGGGATGTTTATTGTCACGTGACGCACATAACGAAATATGATTGGTTGTTACAATTCTGAACGTGCTGTTTATTTTCCCTCTTTGCACAAAGACTCGCTCGGCACGTGGACAAAGCAGCTGTAGGTGATTTTTTTTGTAAGTTGCGAGAGCGAATTGCTTGCGCAACAGATCCCTTGGGCGTGGAGGCGACGTTTGCGTTTGGGCGCTGCTCGGAGTGGAATCGTTCAAATGACCCCCCCCCCCTCCAGGAGTCCTCAAATATATGTCCTAGAAGAATGGGTTGACTGTCTAGCAATGTGAAGACCTTGAGCCAGATGGGAGTGGTGACACTGTAAGGCTGTAAGCCATACGGAGGGATTCTGTAAGAGCAGACTTTGAAGGTCGGGTGTCATTTTTGCAACAGCTGCAGGATCTATAGGGGGTGATGAGGCCTGTGATGAGGTGTAGTTGCATCACCCCCTTTGACCCTGATGACCCCCTGACCTTGAAATAGCCTGAAGACTGTTGAGGCAAGTGCCGTTAGAGAGCGCCTAATGAAGGCCTACACGGTATACGAGGGGGGTGAGTGGCCAGCACCACGCTCGGCCACCTTTGGCTCCCGAGTAATGATACATACACATTTCAGGCCGAGGTCGACCCCAGGACTGGTTTCGATTAATTGTCACTGGCGTTGGCTGTGAGCGGGAATCGAACTATGGTCTCTGGGTTTGCAGCTCCACGTGCTTGCAATCCAGAGGTCGCCAGTTATATTCAGTCGCCGGTCACGGCAGTTGAAATAATGGTGCAAGGTTGTAAAGTCCCCAGTGTGGAAGAGTAGACCAAAATTTCCTTGACGAAGCTCTATAGAGCTCCCTCGGGTGGAGGCCCTTCTGGCAGACGTGGCTTGAAAACAGTTGCAGGGCTGCACCTTTACCTGTTATCATGAGTGTGATAATCAATTAGTAAAATCGAGTTATTCTCTCGTACGTGCTTGTGGACGTGTCTCCCAAGTCTTGTCAAGGTTAGAAATGTGTGTTTGATGTTGTTAGTGAAGTGGACCGTGTGATGGGTGCAGGAACGTGTTGAGATGAACTCTGATTTGACGTCCAGGTCCCCTCCCCCTCCCGTGTATTGGTTCAACCCAGGTAACTGGAGGTGTGTCCCCTTTAAAAAGAACTCAAAACAAGCTCGCGCAACCCCCTACCCCACCACCCTGTTTATCCGCATCCTCTACACTCCAACAATTGAGTTTCGTTGCTGGATGACGGCTCCCTATGCCGCCGCCACCTCCCAAATCTTGGAAGGAAGAAATCCCACCAAGCACCCACCGCACGAGCCGATTCCATCGCTCCATCTCCTCGAACTTGGATCACCACGATCCTGGTGATCCAAGTTCGGTACCAGGCCATGCACATCGCCAGGTGGGAGGTTCAAAACTGAACCTGGTGCAGACTTCCCCAGTGTCAACTCTGCCTGAGACGAGTTCTCTGTGGCGGTTAATTCCAGCCGGGCATGGTGCTAACCGTCGCCACCGCCACGTGTTCCTTGTCGGCCCTGATAGGCACTCTCTAATGGAACGTGACAGCCGCTGGTCCGTGAATCTAAACCGTGGATCTTTTATCTTCGTTTTTTTTTAAGTCTATGTGCGGGCAGGTTTGTGATGCCTCTGCGCGATGGTGTTGCAGGAAGAGGATGGGGGGGGGACGTGCAGTGCGAGTGCACGGGGGAGAGTGGGTTATGTGATGATGGTCTTCGTCTCTTCGTCTTGTCGTATGGCTGATTGTAGATGCAGAGCAACAACTACAATTTCACATTCAGGTGGTCAAGCCAGATAACCGAGTAGCGGAGTTGCGTACAGCCATGATGTCTCCTTCGTATTTGTGCATCGGGCATTGCGTCATATGTTGAACGGTCTGTCCTGGATGACCACAGTCGTACACTGGAGAGTTTTTAATTTTCCATTTGTCCATCGGGTATCCGTATTCCATTCTGTTTCAGATTGATATAGCGTCCTTTCATGGATTGTATAAATGTGGTTTGGGGTGGACCCCAGGGATCTTCTACATTGGGTCATTCACGACACAAAATGTTTTGAGGTCTTCTTACTCCAGCTCTCCGAGCTTCATCGGGGGTTGAACTCGCATGGTGAAGGTGACGGATCTTTTAAAGAGTCGCTGCCTGTCGCACTCGCTGAGCGTGTTATGCTTCGGATCCAACCTCGCTTGCCCCCCCCCCCCCCAACTCGTGCGCTCACCTCCAGTGGTAATTTAAATTATCATTGCATATCTTAGTCGCAGCCGGTTTAGTCGACGTCAAGTTGAAATTTTGAGTCGAGTCTTGCTCTGTCGTGGATTTAATTTCATTGTTCACTTGGTATCGTCGATTTAAAGCAACCTGGTCTATTGCACCCTCTCTCTTAGTCCATGTTATGGAATTGGATTCTCATCCACATGGTAAGAGTTCACTAACTCAAACGGTGGCCCGAAGTTATTTTATACTAGGCACTGTCTTGGTGGGCTGTGGCTCATCAAGTAGTAAATAAAAAAATAAAGGGTTTTTTCCCCCCGTTCATAAAAATAATATTTAGTCGGTAAGCTGCGGGACATTTGGACAAACCAGTGTTCCGTTTCTGATAGCCCAATGAAGTGGCTTATCGTGTGGAAATTTACAGCAGCCAATTACTCGAAACGTGTTTCTAAATGTGGAGGGGAAACACCGGAGGACCGGAGAAAAATCTACGTGACCAGGGGGAGAACATGCAAACTCCAAATATACAGCAGCAGGCGTCAGAGTTGGGATGAAACCCACGACCTCCAGCATACCAGGCGAGGTAGTTAACATCTTGCGTGACAACAAAAATGTGACAACAAAAATGTCACGTTTTTGTCCGGATTTTGAGGTGCGTAACTTCCGTGCGTAACGTACGCAGCGGAGTCTCGCACATGATGTCACGCGTGGTATTGTAAGAGGATTGTCTTCATGCGTGGTATTGTAAGACGATTGTCTTGCTGCATTATATGATTTTGCATCAAACCAGGACTCGTCGTAAAGAGAGGGTCGATGTCTGTAAGATTGGCAGTTCACCTTCATTGATTCAAGCAAGTTTTACTGTTATAGATTTGAAGCTTTCGTGACTGCAAGGATTCATACTCTTTGGTTTTTTCGGTAAAGTCACGTAGGTAAAAAAAAAATAGTTTTCATTTTATTTAAAAAAAAAATTACCTACGTGACTTTAACGAAAAAACCAAAGCGTACAAGTTTGACTGCTCATGAGATATTGTAATGTTTAAATAAATCCAGTGTTTGCTTGTTATTGGGTCAATGCTGATCTGCAATCCTAGAAGGCCTTGCGGCTGATGGATTGTGTACGAAATGCTTTTTACGTGGCGAGGCAGAAGTATGAAGAGGCAATTGTTTATTTATTTTGTCATCTTTTTTAAATAGTCGATGTTCATCTGAACTAATGGATCGTTACATGCCTCGTAACAATTATTCATTTAGAATCCATTCCTATCCCGCCATTTGCGTCCATCAAATTGTGACGGGAGGGGGGGGGGGAAGAATCCACTCTGATCTTGCTACCTATATAAATTATGCTAAGGGAACAAACTATACGGGAGGGAACAAAAGAAATCTAAACCTACGAGAAACCCCACAAATTAGTCGGTTGAAGCGACCTACGGCAAAAATGATCTCCCAAATAAATCCTGACCCCCCCCCCCCTCGCCCGCAAATAATAATCGTCGCAACCTCATTGAATGGCACGGGTGATGAACCGTCACACGCCAAGTGAACGGGTGGTTGCCCGCAGACGTCGACGCTGACGGGGTGTGATGGTTGCCACCGCGCGCGGCGGCGGTTTTTGCGTGTGCCCGGGTTGCAGGTCTCGATGGCGCCTTCCCTGCGCACGTGCTACCGCTATCTCAACCAGACGAGCCGCTCCTTCGCCGCCGTCATTCAAGCGCTGGACGGGGAGCTCAGGTGATCGCCGTGGTTTTGTTGGGCCACAGCCGCGGTTTGGCTAAACGCCGGGGTCCGTTTCATCGTTTGTTCGTTCGTTCGCGCTCCCGTTCATTCGCGTGCGGGCTTGGTTTTTTAAAAAGAGCTAACGGAGAACGGAAACAACTATCCTCCGTATAGCCTTGACAGTCTGTTGGGGCACGTGCTGTTAGCGAGCACCTAATGAAGTCTGGCACGGCACAAGAGTGGGTGGGTGGCCAGCATCATGCCCGGCCGCCTTTGTCTTTGTCGTGGGGGCCAAATGTACATGTTCCACCAGGTTTTCATTTAAGTCCGAATCGACCATACAGGATGTGGAAGGTACAACGCCACCTGCAACGTCTGCCAAACGAGTCTGCGGCTCGAGGATTGGACTCCATGAGATCCTGGTTTTGAATCCAGGTTGATGCCTCGCAAGGGTTGCATAGAAGTTTACTAAACACGGCTAATAAACAACTATCAAGAAGTATTCTTAGTTTTTTCGGTAAAGTCACGTTGAAGGGAAACAACAAAATAATAAAATATATATAAAACAATAAAATTTCTCACGACGTTTCGACCATAACTCAAACGGTCGTCTTCAGGTGTGTTGGTTTGCATAAATTTATTTTTAAACGGCGCATTGATTTATTTATAAAAACGTTAGCGCCACGCGCAACGATTTGGCAGTTTATTTTGATAAACCATTTCAGGTCTTAATTGATTGTTCACGCTTACAGTGGCTTTCAGACAGCATACATTATAAAAATTTCGTCTCCCCCCTCCTCTTTTCAGAATATAGATGGACTAGTCCTAAATAAACTGCCAAATCGTTGCGCGTGGCGCTAACGTTTTTATAAATAAATAAATTCGCCGTTTAAAAATAAATTTATGCAAACCAACACACCTGAAGACGACCGTTTGAGTTATGGTCGAAACGTCGTGAGAAATTTTATTGTTTTATATATATTTTATTATTTTGTTGTTTCCCTTCAACGTGACTTTACCGAAAAAACTAAGAATATGAATTACTGCAGTCACGAAAGCTTTAAATCAAAACTATCAAGAAGGTTTGCTATGTTCATTTGGGCATTTAGGCACCCCCACCTCTCCCCTCCGCTGCCCCCCCCCTCCCCCCTCGAGGGTTATCCGAGTTATGGAAGACGACACCAGGGATGCAGAGTTTATTTAAACACGCTGCACGGACTGGTTCAAAATATCAGACGCCGGTAATAATCGTTGTAATTCCCGTTGCGTCTTTACTGCTGTCAATTTCCATACATGCCCCCTCTGTGCACCCGATTCGTTTGTTAAAAAATAAAATACTTCTGGGGAATAAAAAGGCTCTACATAACTGACGAAGCGGGAGGACCTTACATCATTAGACCTCCTTTGCCAGTACCAAAATATAACAATAGGGTTTTTCCCCTTTTTTCTGGCAACAAAACTGGTACTGGCAAAGGAGGTCTAATGATGTAGATGCTCACCCCGAGCCCTCATTACTTTGATAGTGCATTGTCTTTGAGCTGTACGCCTTTTGGCGTCATCTGGTCGAGCACCAATTGGGTCGAGGCTCAAAAGAAAGCCGTCCCTTGGTGTGGACCAATCAGTTTCAAGGACAATGCATACATTATCATAGTATGTTTTTTGTTTGCATTTGACTGCAGGTATTGTGGTTAATGCAGACATGAATCCTTGTAAAAAAGGTTTCAGTTTCGTTGCCAAAAAAGGGGAAAAACCCTATTATTACGGGAGGACCTTCTTGACAATTCTGGTTAGTCTGCAAAACGTCGTACTCAATATTGAATGTTGTGGGTTTACTTTCCCAACACACAACCGGTGGTGCTGAAGCGGTAACGAATTGGCACGTCTTGTTGACCTGACCAAACTCCTACGAATTGTCTGTTCGGGTGGTGGCGGGTTTAACGACACAAGTGTTTCCGATCTAACCCAAAAACCTTTTTATTGTGGGTTATATTGGTCGCGAAAGCCAACGTGTTAAACTGAATCTACGCGCGCGTACTGCATAGCTGTTAACCCACACGGTTAACCCGTATTCTTGTACAGGGAAATTGAGCTTTCGGGTCCATATGGCGTGCAGCCGTTTCAAGACGGGCAAAACATTTTTTTTGTCTATTTTTGAACGTTGAGATTTATAAGGGAACGTGGAGGCCAATGAGGTCTGAATTAGTCCGTAATACGGTAGGCACTGATAAGGGATATGGCACTGCTTGTTTACGACGCGGACCGGCACGTGGACGTTGACGAACACGATGTTTACCGACCGCCGCGTGTCGGCGTGGGGGTGTCGCGCAGGGACGCCGTCTGCATCTTCTACCTCGTGCTGCGGGCGCTGGACACGGTGGAGGACGACATGACGATCCCCAGCGCCGCCAAGGTGCCCATGCTGCGCGACTTCCACAGCTTCCTGTACCAGCACGAGTGGAGCTACTCGCTGAGCAACGAGAAGGACCGCCAGGTCCTGGAGGACTTCCCTACGGTGAGCAAAGCGCGGTTGCGCGCGCCTGGTTGACACAACTGTCACGCTCGTTCGTTCGTTCGTTCATTCATTCATTCGTTAGTAAGTTTTGGTGTTCGCGTTGTTCTTATAGCGCAGGACGATCGCGAAGACGTTACATTTCGTAGACAGTCTACTGTTGGCCCTTGTCCAGAGCCGAGCTGTTGCTGGGCTGAACCTTTACCTTTATGCTGCCCGGAACAGATCTCGCTGGAGTTCCGCAAGCTGGCCAAGATTTACCGGGATGTCATTGGCGACATCTGCCAGCGCATGGGAGCGGGCATGGCTGAAGTGCTACAGAAGAAAGTGGGCTCCATGCAGGAGTGGGATCAGGTAAGCGCAGATGTTCTCTTTGGTTACACACGTGTGTGTGTGTGCGCGCTGTGAACCTGCCGACCAGAGTTCGATTCCCACTCACGACTTGACATCGGTGGCAAATGTCTGAACCGGTTTTGAGCCTCCCTATCGTCAACTCGGCCTTATATCAACATACCTGGTGCAGTGTCTATTAAGCATCCGCACTTGGGAGACAAAGGCTGCAGGGCGTGGTGCAAGCCACACGACCGTCTCGTGTGCCGTGCCGGCGTTCACGGGTGCTCGCTAACGGCACATGCCCCCATCGGTCTGTTGAGGCTATACGTGGGGATGGGGTGGAATCTTTTGTCTTTGTGCGCAGTACTGCCACTACGTGGCGGGCCTGGTCGGGATCGGGCTGTCGCGGCTGTTTGCGGCGTCGGGACTCGAGGACGTGGTGGTGGGAGAGGACGTGGCGCTCGCCAACTCCATGGGCCTTTTCCTGCAGAAGACCAACATCATCCGGGATTACCTGGAGGACACGCGCGACCGCAGGGAGTTCTGGCCCCAGGAGGTACGTCGCCCCACGCAACCCCACGCAACCCCACGCAACCCCACGTGTGGGCTCTTCACCGCACACGGTGTCTGGCTGTGTCTCTGGGGGGCCGCGATGCACCGGGACAATTGCAGGACTACCCTTTTGCCGTGCAAGCATCGCTGGCGATGCTTGCACTCCCCCCGTGTGCCGTGCCAGCCTTCATAGCAGCACTTCCCCACAAAAGTCTGTTTAGGCTATACGGGGGATCTTTGTCTTGTGCCCCGCGTAACCGACGACAGGCGTGGAGCAAATACGCGGGGAGCCTTTCGGACTTGGCGCGCCCCGAGAACCTGTGCGCGGCCGTGGGCTGCCTCAACGAGCTGGTGACCAATGCGCTGGGCCACGTGCCAGACGTGCTCACCTACCTGTCTCGCCTGCGCAACCAGAGCGTCTTCAACTTCTGCGCCATCCCCCAGGCAAGAGCTCGTCTCCACGGAGATCCCACACCGACCCCTTCCCCCCACCCACCATTCTTCCCCGAGTTCAATTCCCGGCCATGGGCAATATATCGGTATAAGCACCATTCACGCACAACACCAGAACATGTGCCTCCCCCACCCCCTCCAAAGACAAAGATCCCCCGATTCAGCATGTAACAGACTGTAGGAGCAAGTGCTGTGAGCGAGCACCTATGAAGACAAGGACTTCTGACGAGGGGGTTGGGTGGCCAGCACCACGCCCGGCCTCCTTTGTCTCCCTAGTGCCAATATTTATACACCGCACCAGGTACTCATTTGAGGCTGAGTCTACCTAGTGGAGGCCCAGGACCAGTTCAGATAATTGTCACTTGCTGGCCGTGAGCGGGAATGGAACCCAGGTCTTCAGGTTCGTAGCGCAGCGCGCTAACTGCGACACTACCGCTCCCCTGCACCACCCCCACTCCATCCCGTTCAAGAACCCATACTGAGCGAGGGGGTCAAGTATGGTCAAATAACACGCACGATCCGGATTGACAAAAGGCTGCGAATGATGATTATGATGAGAGATTTATCGAGTTGATTAAGAAAAAAAAGACTCTACACATTCGGCAATAACACCGTGGCCTTAATGGAAAAATATATAATGGGCAACGTTTCCTGCAATGAATGGGCCTTCTTCATCACAGATACATTTCATGTTCCTTGAAGGTCTCTTTAAGTAAGGCCACAGTAGTTAATGACAAATGCGAGTTGTGGGGTTTTTTTCTTGCGTGCCACTGCCAACGCGACAGCGTCGCCAAACATTTTTTTTGGAATGCGTGAAAATCGCCAGCGGTGGTCACGAGAGGCATACAACAGTGTGTCTGTTTGCCGCTGATTTCAGTTCGTTAGGTATAGCCCTGTGAACCATTCGGCTCTTGAATCTGGTGCAACCGCAACAAGCAAAAACATGAACAAGAATCATCTTAAAGTGACTACGCGCAAACAGAAAAACCCAGGAAAAAACAGCAAAGTCTTCCAGAAAAAGCACCGCATATCAACGCTGTGTGCAAAAATCCCAGTGGGATGCAAGTCAAACAACAACAACAACCATAAGACAATTTAGATTAAAGTTATCAGTCTAACTCTGTACAACAACAAACAAATATGGCTAATCCAAAACTTTTCGAAATCACCAAAATAAAGCTATCAAAGCAACATCACAGTGATCATAGGAACTGTGATTCAATTTAACAATAAGCTATATACGTAACAAGTACGACCAAACTCCATAACAGCAGCAGTATCAGCAGGAGTATCAACATTTTTCAATGCAACCAGCTGCTGCATTTCAAACGCGCGCATTGAGTCGTGCGCATGCGAATCTTTGTTTCCAATTTGTGCACATTGTAAGCACGTGGTCTGCTCATGCTGTTACGTGTGTAAGGTTCAAGGAGCAAACAAGACTTGCAAAGAAAGGGAGCAAATGGGGAAAAGATACCAATTACGTGATTAAACAGTGAAGCCAAAGGGACTAAACTTGATTCTAATCTTAACTGTGGATTCTGACCGTCAAATCGCTGGCGGAGATAATTTTGACGTGCCTGCTGTCCCAAGTGATCTGAAATACAACGGACACACATTCTGATTTAAAGCTTTCGTGACTGCAGGGATTCATATTCTTGGTTCTTTCGGTAGAATCACGTAGAAGGGAAACTATAAAATAATGAAAATATAAAACAATAAAATTATCACGACGTTTCGACTGCAACACAAGCAATCATCATCGGGTGTGAAAACCACAGCAAGAACATTTGAAAAAAGTGCTGTGGTTTTCACACCTGATGATGATTGCTTGTGTTGCGGTCGAAACGTCGTGATAATTTTCATTGTTTTATATTTTTATTATTTTATTGTTTCCCTTCTACGTGACTTTACCGAAAGAACCTAGAATATGAACACACATTCCTCTGTCAAGTTATTGCAGTTGTATTCGTGCGCTAATCCGCGTGTTACAAAGCGATCCTCAAGCTCGCTTTGCATGCATCGAAATTTGGCACAAGCGGGACTGCGCAAGCGAGATGTGGTAAATTAATTTGCGGTACATGTGATGCGCCAGAAACCTTCCTGAATCGAACCGCGAGCCAAAATTGGTCACCCCATCAAATTTGGCTCTCCTTGTTTGCCCACCCTAACCAAAACTCCAAATCCTCGGGAGATTCTGCGCTCCCAAATATTCTTCATTTACTCGCTGCCTCTGCCTGGGCACGATCGGACCGGTGTCACACATGTGGTGGCCCCTGGGGCGGGGGCAGGGAGGGGGGTCAGTTCTCGCGCACGGATAATCGGGTTCATGTCGCCCGTAATGACGAACAAAATCTACCCCTTCTCAAGTCATCCTCCCTCCGTATTTTAGTTCTAAAGCGGCAGAGATTAAAAAAAAAAATGTGGTGTAATTTCAGGCGCAGCATGAACCGACCCGGGCGGGTGTAAAGTTTCATCTCATAAAAATTGGCTGTTCTGGCCATAGCACAAAAAAAGCAAAGCCACTGTAAGTTGCGCGCAGCCGCCGCTGATAAGGAGGTGAAAATGGGAGAGCCGGGCGGAATTTCGGCGGCGTGTCGCTCGAGGTTTGCGAGACGCCGCTCTTATTCCCCTGGGTAATTAACTCGCAGGCCTGACCCGAAGTGTCGGCGACGGGTCAAGTGTTGACGGACGCTGCGTTTGTGCTCTTTATCGGCTCATCGCCCCCCTCCGCATCTGCTGTCTGACCGATCGTTTGATTTGCCCGAAAATATTGGCCCTTCCCACCCACCCCCCCCCCCCCTCGCACGTAGGTCCGTGCAATAATCCCGCCTTAACCTGTCTGCTCCGCTGCAGAGTTATTAAGGAAAACATGTGGAACTTGGAGATAGGGGGTTCACGTTTTGATGTCGGCGGGGCAGGGAATGCTCACGCGTGAGTTGTGGGTGGCGGAGTGCGCACGCTTTATTTTGCCATGCCAAGGCCCACTGAGCTTATATAGCGCTTTCAAAAGCAAACCTGATCACAAATGATAGCACACAAGCGCAAGGAATTGGCCTATCATGTGAACATTTCTAGCAGCCAAATACGCTCGGCGCACGTTGATTCTAAATGTGTAGAGAAAAAGCCGAAGGACCTGGAGAAACATTCACACGCCCACGGGGAGAACATGCAAACTCCAAATACGCAGGCGTCGGGGTTGGGATCGAACCCACGAACCTCCTGTATACCAGGCAAGGGAGTTAACATCTCGCCACCGTGGCGCCCCACACGTGCTAGTCATGGCGAGGGTGTTGCACAAGCCAGTCCTCCGTTGTTCTGTGAGACCAATCAATTATTTTAAATGTAGTTTGTAACGCGCACGGTTGTTGTTCACTGTCGAGAGAGATGATAATAATTTAGATGCGCGGGGAATCTGCAGCGACTCGGTCACAACCAGCGCCAGCAATTTTGCCCAAGCTCTGCGGTCCTAATAAAGGGACGTTTGTCAACTCCAATGAGCGTCTACACATATCAGGGTGAAACCAGAGTACTTGGGAGTCTATAAGTATGGGGGGGGGGGGGGGTGGACGACACACTATCCCTGTACAGATGTATTTGTTCGTTTCTCAGCCCGCTTGTCCTGGCGAGGGTCTTGTATTAATCTTTAATCTACTTTCTGTACTGCCGTAATACCATTGCAAGCCAGGAGATGGCGAGCGCGACGCCCAACTGTCGGCGCGGAAGTTTCTCACGGGTTTGTGTGAGCGACGAACACAGCCCAGGCGTTGTAGCATTGCCGCCAGCGGCCGGCAAGCAAAAAAAAATCTTGAGACTTCTTTCTCAGCGTCTTGAGATGGCGGCCGCATCTTAGACGACTTGCAACACCCCACACGTTTGTTGTACATCTCTGGCGGAGGGCGATGGTGAATACGAGCCGCGTCCTAGCATCCTCATTGGTGACCGCCGCGCACCTCCTTGTGGACACACGAGCATCTGCACTCCCGCTGCGTGTGTGGTTTTTTTTCTTCAAATATTTTAATCACGGTTGCAAAGCACGGCCCCCACCCCCCCCCCCCCCCCCCCCCCCCCCCCCCCCCCCCCCCCCCCCCCCCCCCCCCCCCCCCCCCCCCAAGCCTCAAAAAGCCAAATGGTCGGCAACAACTGCTTTTTGTGTTTAGTTTGTTCGCCTCCGCCCGTACCTCCGATTTAGCATAGTTGGCTACGCACTGCGCGAATAAGTTCAACAGGCATACATACAACAAACCGGCACTGTGAAGGTTTTTTGAACTGAGCAAGGTTTATGTGATCCAGCGAAAGAGAGACGCTGGGGAGGTAATTGCAGAGTGGAGCGGTGCGAGGGGACGAAGCCGAAAGAGCAGCGAGGTGGTGACCTGCAGTGTGGTGGCCGAACACGTTGTGGATGAGATGAAATAGTCTGGGGCAGGCAGAGGGTGGGGTCGACAGTGGGTAGAGGAATCGACGAGTGACACATTGTTATTAACAAAAGAAGCGTGCTCAGCAGGCGACTGACCTCCGGTGTGTGGTGACTGCTGAGTCCGTCGGTCAACCTGAGGGCGGTGAAGTCTGTGCACTGGTGAGGTGTGAGCTGGCTGTTCCACCCTAGATAAGACAACATTGGCCAAATTTGTGCTTTTTAATGTCGAACTAATTCAGAGTTGGAGAAAGCTTTAGCACAGAAAAGGAAAGCCCGCTTTGTCCATGTCTCTTTAGCCAGACGATTAATATAGCCGTTCCGTCACGGGTCGGCCGAGGTGGTTGTGCCGAGCAGATTAACTTTATAGCCCGCGGCTAAAATTAACACGCGCGCGTGCCTGTGTGCGTGCTTTCGCTCTGCACCGGGCAGGTGATGGCGATCGCCACGCTGTCCGCCTGCTACAACAACCCGGCGGTGTTTGGCGGCGTCGTGAAGATCCGCAAGGGCCAGGCGGTCACGCTCATGATGGACGCCACGAGCCTAGCGTCGGTGCGCGCCATGATGCTGCAGTACGCACAGGAGGTGAGGTGGGCGGGCATGGGCGGCGTTCGGAATCCGAATATTCCATTTCTGATAGAGGAATCCGATGCGCTATAAAGCTCTATTTCGCAGATGTCCACTCGGTGGGTCAGAAGGTCACAACGACAAACAGTACAAGAACACGATGGGAGTGCGAAGTATAGGAAAGGTGACGTGGTGGCCTGGCAGGTAGTGCGCATGCTGCCCATTGCAGAGGCTCGCAGTTCATGCCCAGCGGCTACCCCGGTTAATACTTCCGTTGGAGTAACAGTAAAAATACCACTCGCCATTTACTGCACGGTGGACGTTAAAGGAACCCGTGACGCTATTCGTAAAAGAGTAGGCCATGTGTGTCGGCGTCGTCATGGTGACCGACTGTCCGCCAAGGAGCCAAGTGCGTCTACGACAAGATGAAATTGGCCCAGCGGCTACCCCGGTTAATACTTCCGTTGGAGTAACAGTAAAAATACCACTCGCCATTTACTGCACGGTGGACGTTAAAGGATCCCGTGACGCTATTCGTAAAAGAGTAGGCCATGTGTGTCGGCGTCGTCATGGTGACCGACTGTCCGCCAAGGAGCCAAGTGCGTCTACGACAAGATGAAATTGGCCAGTCTGAATGAAAGACGCAGACGATAATTTTTTTTCAATTTCTGAAATGCTCCCTCCGCCTTTGCCGACGCAACAGTGTAAATGGGATCATCACAGTTGATTGATTAGCACAGGGGTGGGGAACCTTTTTGCTGCCAAGGGCCATTTGGGTATTTATAACATCATTCGCGGGCCATACAAAATGATCAACTTAAAAACGAGCCTGTTATATTTGGTCAAACATTTAATTAACTCACCCCTAATGCGGTGGCTGGAACAGACTAATTAATTTGCGGGCCTTGTATACGGCCCGCGGGCCGGACGTTCCCCACCCCTGGATTAGCAGGCCGCGTGTGGTGGGATCACGTGGGTAGATGGGCCAGCGTGGAAGTTGTAGGGTTTCTAGAGTGGGGGCCCCCTCGTACAGCTTCCTTGGGTTGAAGCCCTTCCCATGGGAGATCTCTGCGGCTGCAACCGCATAAAGCTCCGTGGTAGCCAGGCTCGACGTCGCTTCGCCCACAGATCCAGCGCTGCATCCCGCCCGACGACCCTTCGGCGACCCAGACGCGCGACATCGTGCTGCGCATCAAGGCTATGTCGCGCGCGGGCGCGTCGTCGTCGTCATCGTCAGGCGGTGGCGACAGCGGCGACGCGCAGGAAGAGGAGGAGGTTAACGGCCGCCATCAGGGGACTGGCTTCATGTCCCCGCTGAGCCTCACCATGGGAATGGTTCTGGCCGCGTTGGGCTGGCAGTACTGGGCCACGGTGCAGGGGGTCGCTGCCAAGTACCTGCAGGGCCTGTGATGACGACGACTGCCCGCCGTCTTTGAACTGGTGGACCTCCTCGATGCGCCCAGCCAACCTGTAAATATATATCCCAAGTGCCCTGCCTGAGCCGTTGCTGTGGCCACTGGTGATTCACGTAGCGTTTTTGAGAAATGCCGCATTGGCCCCCTTCTCCCCCTTCCGAGAATTTGTCCCAAACGAAAGGTTGTCGCGATGGAAGTGGGGCGGCCTCCCTGCGTGCGTGTAGGAAGGCGCGCACGCATGGTGGCTGATGGGGTTGTGTTTCCGCGCAGGGTTGTGGTTGTTGATATCCCCTCTCGTACCCCATGTTGGAAAAACCCTGGCTTTGCTTCTCAGTGTCGTGCACGTATCGCGTCTCAACAGGGAAGCGAGCGGCAATGGGGATGTTAAATGCCGCCCGATTTGTAGAAAGCGATGCGTTTGCTGGCGAGGAGGAGGTAGTTCTCTTGGCTGCCAGTTAGTGGCAGTTGAATTGCGCGGAAGTGGATAAATAAATACGGAAGATCCGTGCAGACTTTTAACTGATTTGAGGGTGCTTCGCTGTCGTGTTAGTTTAAGAAACGTTTTAAATGTTTACAGACGACATCAGAAAAATTGGCAAACCAATTGCATGTGCGTTTTGGCGGCGACGTTGTGACCCATGCTGCCACAGCGAAGCGCTTGCCGCATTGTTTCCAGTTGACCGCACAAATGACTTGGTCACCTCAAACCAGTCCGCGTCGTGTTCATTCTGAAGTGGTGTCGTGTTTGTCTCTTTGCGTTTGTTGCCGAGTTGCTTAATCTGAGGCTTTGTACCATATCTAGAGCGCAACGATGGGGCTAGTCGCGTGTAAATTAACAAAAGTAGAAATTATAAACTAAATATTTCTACGGTGTGCTTTTGCAGGTGGTAACTTCTATAAAAAAAAGCAGACTATAAAACTACAAGCTCTCCCCCGTGGCTCGGTCGTTACTTTAAAATGGGGCGAGCAATCTGATTTTAACGCGACGATTTGAACGAAATAAAGTATGACGATTATGACAATAAAGAATATTTTTGGTATGACATGTTTACTGGTTTTATGTGCTCGAATAAATCTGAACACACGGCAATTAATGACCATCGTTTGAATATTTGAAGTTGTTAGCTGTGCTTTGCTGCAATTGGGTAGAGTTCTGTGGATCAAAATCCTCCGTTACCCTTCCTATTCAATTAGCAAAGTCCACATGGTTGTAGATTACCGCCATTTGGCACAATCTACAAACGGTGGAGTCCTATGGGTCCAGACGTAATATCGTGCTTGTCACTCCCATCTGATGTGGTTTCACTTTCTGTAGCTAATTTCTGTGTCCAACAGTGAATTGTGATAACCGTGTGGCGGGGGGGGGGCAAATATTTACCTGGTATCTTATGCGTACGTAAATTTGCACTAAAGCTTTGCTACATTAGGTGGTGGCCACTTTGCTTAGCCCCATGGCCTCTAATGTATGTGCCTGTGACATTTCTCGCACGGCTCCGCATGTGACCTCGTTCATCAACGGCTGTGATCAATCCGCTGCTGGATGGAAACTTCCCCATTTTTGCCACCCGTGTGATTATAGTAATCCACCCAGCGGCGTTTTCCTTTCGCCATTATTTTCGACCGATGCAAATCACGCCAAATGAAGTCGATTGTCTAATAACCTGTGGTCTGCTTAAGTGTTTCTCCTTGCTAAATGTAATTCTAAGGGTACACACTTTTGTCCACGCTTTGCATATTCCACGTTTCTGTTCCGTGTAATAGCATGGTAGACGTAACGCATTAGTGAATTTAAAAAAAAACTTCAGGACAAACGCATGTTGGGGAAACGATGCAGAATACATGCACAGGTGTTATTTTTCATCAACTCTGCGTGGAATTTGCAGGATCTCGTCGGCCTGAATGATGCTGGGTTTGGGTTGACCACGAGGCTGCTGTGGGACTTGGTTGTGTGGGGGGGGGGGGGGGTATTCATCCAGCAGTGGATATACAAGCTCTCTTGGGTAGAAACGATTCAGAGTACACAATATGCATTCAATGCATCAGGAGCATTCTATTAGTAAAATACAATCACAGTATCACAGAAATTCACAAATCAACTTTATTTATCCAGTACACCACTGGAATACAACTAAATCTTAGGAATAAAGCTTTTGGTGGTTTATATTTTTTGTTACTTTAAACCTTCCATTTAATTCCTCAATGTTTTAACGGAATGTAGAAGCGCAAAAACGCACAACCCCTCGCTTTATGAAACGAAAGAAAAGTGTCACCCCTCCAACCACGAGGGGAAGGAAATACGTTTTTAAGATGGGTTCTAAACCCCCATGCTCGGCCAACGACGCGAAATCAGCTTGGTACTCTTAAAACCAGGTTAGGGCAAGATGGGTCGTAACCATCAGCACCCTTGATTGAGGGCGGCAACTCAATTGCGGAAGGTGTTTTTAATGTGGTGGTGAATACAAGCAACCGGCTGCCAAGTCACGTGGGCCCCATCACACGTACAACGCACACAATCGGGAAACATCGATTAAGAGATTTCATGCAAGTACTGTGATCTTAAAGCCAGATTCACGTCTGAAAAGTGCAACGTAATCGCCGGTGAACTTCAACAGGGAAAATGTAACCGTATTTGGGACGAACAGCCAATTCGTTTGCAATTGTCACATGGTGCTGAAATACATTGCTATAATTCAGAGCAGACTGCCACTTGCAAATAAGATTTTGTCTTTGCTAAATGCAACCGGATGTACAACTGGTTGCAGAGACGTCCACACATCGGTGATGGTTGCAACCAACCACATTTCGCTACTGGTCGCTCACGTGGGGTTCTGGCTTAAGACTCGATAGGAAGCAAAGAGGCATTGTTATGCCCCACTTTGCTGTTCGTCTGGCCCTGGCCATAACCTTGTCAAAACCCAGAGTTGGATAAGGCAGTTGAGGCCTCCCATCAAGAACAAGCCATGGTAAAAGCCAAACCAAACTTAGGACTCCATCAACAAAGATCCCACAACTGCTAACACATATGCACATTGTGTGAAGCCAAGTGCAGTGGTTCATTGCAAAGTACCCTTTAAAGTTTACAATCACACTCATGACCCGGTTGTTTTTTTATAACATAACCAGAGGCCTATGGGCTCCCCTTTTCAATGTGAAATGGCTGTGTATAGTTACAGAAAATCTGTCCACAGCAACACTGTTTTATACCCTCTTGTGGACAGATAACCAAATATGCCCAAGTTATTTAAATTTTACACCAACGGCACCCAAACTCCAGTCGTAGCAGCTCCCTCACTGCCCATCTTTTTCAGCATTGCCAATCCAAATGGATGTTTTACACCATTACTTGATACCGTTTCACCATAATCCCAATTCACCACTAAGTTTCCCATTAGGAGTTGCAGTGGGGGGGGGATGCTGATAACAGAGTTATTTGGAGCAGTGGAGGGCTGCGATTAACCAGCATTTGGGGGAGATGCATTTCATCAGGTAAGGCACTCCACGTGAATCTGGAAACACTGCACCCCAGCCTCTGCCATCAAGGTTAAAAATCATGGGAGGGGGGGGGGGAAATGGAAGAAAGCAACTTTGGCTTTTCCTGGCCAAATAGGGGCAACAAGGTGAGAGGACAACTCGAGTTTGATTAAAAGTGACAAAGGCAATGCCAGCCAGAAGCTCGGTATATGGTGACCTGCACGGAGAAAGGACATTGATCATTTTCTGTATCGCATCATGTGGAGGTGGCAAGTATACAAATGATGGCTTAAAAAATGTAACCCGGAGAAACTACACAATCGGCATTAAACAAACACGTAACTTACATCTCCAATGTGGCCAATTGCCCTCCAATCATTTACAACATATGTTCATGTATGCGTGTGTAGTCCATTTTTCGAATTTACTGCTGGAGGAGGGCCACCCCACGCCATGCGGGTTTTACCACACTTCACGCAGGTCAGGAAGTGATAAAGTTGGCCACATCTCAAGGTGGGGGGGGGGCATTATACAAGTCCTCCACAACTCCTGTGCGGTTTTAAGCTTGAAAAGGTTCAGAGACTGCATTGGCATATGTGCAGAAAAACGCACAGCCCTTTGTAAATGTACTGCTGGGTGAAGGCCTCTCTGTGCCGTGTCTGTCACAGGGGTTGACCGCACTTTGTCACGCTAGTCGGTGCGGGTGTGGTGAAGTGTGGATGGAGAAACGAGGACCTAGGTTTAGCCTGTGGCCAGGAATCGAACTCGGATGGCGGGATTCACAGCGGCGGTGGGGGATAACCACTGCACAGGGTAAACAAACTTTACCCAAAGCGTCACGAAGAAACAGTCGTCATCGGGTAACGTTGCAGGAAACGGCAAAAGGAAATACTGTGGAATACTCGAGCTCATGAAACATTTTCCTGTTGCAACACTCCATTCAGTAATACTTGCAGCAGCTAGCGTTATCAATTAAGCATTTTAACTCACACCCCCAGCGATGTCATTAATTGGTCAAATTACATTTTAAAAATCTAAACATTTCAGTGAATATAGGATCACCAGCGGCTGCAGGTGTTACGTTGAACCCAATTACTGGTCGAATCACATGCCATTTGTAGTTCATACCTTATAATATTCTGTGTCCATCACACATAGCTGAAAAGGCCCTTAACCGAGTAGTTTATATTTGGCGAATACAAATTCTAAGTGGGCAGGGGTGCAAAACGTGCAAGGAAGTGATTTCAAGAAGACATCGCCCCTCCATCTGGCCTGCCACTAAAATTGGGTTCGCAACGTCACTGTCATGAATATTCCTTGGACCACTGGAACACGTCGTTCTATCAAGAGGATTTTCAAAACGTTTGGGAGCAATTCCACAAACAAGCGATGACTGTTCGGGGCGTCGGCACCACCCCATCAAAACCTTGAGCTGCCGCCACCACCACCACCGCTCCCTTGTTTCACTGCTAACAATTCTGCTATGCGTTTGGGTGGCTGTCCCACCCGTGGAGAGGCGGTGCCCACAGCAACCGGGCCACCAGCCCCCGACCCTTGCTATGGCATTGATGTTTATGTTTACTGCGAATACACAACTATATCTGCATGATCAGTCTTTACTTTTATTTAAAATTATTACTTGTTTTTTGCCATGACTGTAACACGTTTGTGAAACGTACTTTAGCAAAGCAATCGTTCGCATTATTTCTGTCTTACATTCCTTAATTAATGGCATGGTCAGTACCAAGAACGGCGGTTCCCAGAATTTTCTTGCACGACCAAGTGTCTCTCATCATCCTCCTCATCCCTCTGGGGGTGGGTAAAATGCGCACCACCTGGACAAGACTGCTCCCATTGGTGGGAAGTCATGTGTTTTATGAACAGGCTGGATCACCACAAACACAAACTGTAAAAAAAACAAATGTTCAAGTTGCCGAAAGCTTGTTTCAAATTCTAATTAACCTTTATAAGGACACACAAATCAGACAGTAGAATCTCCCCACGCCAGAATAACTCCTCAATCTTCAAGTGTCACAAACGGTGAACAGTAAGGTGAAGGTGCAGCCCTGCAATTGCTTGCTCACGTGACTGCTGGCGGAGGGGTCTCCACTAGGGGGAGCTCTAGACAACCCCCCTCCAGAAGGTATTCTGGGCTTCTCTTCCACGCTGGCCAGGCATAAATTAAAGATTGTTTATTTGACCCAGGTGAGGCCCACCGGAGCTGTACAGCTCTTTTCGGACGTGACCTGGCTATCACAAATGACAGCTTAATAAAGCGGCTTATTCATACTATTTGGTTCTTTCTACCTACGTGACTTCACCGAAAGAACCAAAGAGTATGGATTCCTGCAGTCACGAAAGCTTCAAATCAAGACTAAAGTGGCTTATTACGTGGAAATTTATATCAGCAAAATAATTAAACGCATGTTGATTCTAAATGCGGAGTGGAAAACCGGAGGACCCGGAGAAAAATCCACGTGACCACGGGGAGAACACGCAAACTCCAAACATACAGGCGTCAGCTTCGGGATCAAACCCATGACCTGTATGCCAAGCAAGGAAGTTTACATCTCGCCCCAGTTAACATCTTGGAAGAGACTAAAGTACCAACACTTCACCCCACCACATGCGACCTAACAATCGACTGGCACGTACTCTTTATGCTGCTGGCGATGGGATTTTAGAGACTTGCCCAACGGCTTTTAACTGCCGCGCCGGAGGAAGTAACCGAACCGGCGCCCTCCGGATTGCCATTCCAGTGGGCCGACCCAATGGCTCCACCGCGGCAGCACCTGCCGGGGTCGTGGCGCAAAACCGCACCATGACGAGCGGCAGGGCATTGCGGGAAGCGGAGCCGAGGTGAAAGGACGGCGGCCAACTCGTAACGCGGAGCGAGCGCTCTTCAAAAGCCGAGTGATTGTTCCAACGATCTGCCACAGGCGATGGTAGGTCCTATGGGCGGTGAGATGCAGTTGCAAACACGAGTTATATAGGCTGCATCAATCCAAGTTGTTTGTGTTGCGATCGTGACGTGCAATGGGGTCCACAAAATCATTCCCACAGATCGGGGGCAAATAATATCATTTTTGACACCTCCGTGAACTCCTGTAAGAACGTTGCCCTTATTTCAGCCAAGTGTGACCTCTGCTTGGCCCTAGTAGAACGAGACCTTCCCTTTCAAAAAGTGCTTCACGATAACAGGAATGCAGCGACAGAATAAACGTAACCAGCTAGAGTACAGCAAGTCGGACTGCTAATCACGTAGGCATGTATATAAACGTCACCCATATATACACGCAAAGTACGGTATACCCAAAGGTTACGTTAGGAAGCTTCGTGTATGAAAACTGCACTTAAAGCTCCCCCCCCCCCACCCTGTTGAAAGCTCCATAACGATAATTACAACGATTAATGGCAGTTCCTTTGCGCTCAGTTATGGAATTTACCATCTTACGTGGAGCCACTGCGCAAGGATATTTAACAATGAAACGCTATGTACAAAGACAAAGATCCCCAGTATAGCCTTAACAAACTTGCTGGGCCAAGTGCTGTTAGCGAGCACCTATGAAGGCCGGCACGGCACACGAGGCAGTGGGTGGCCAGCAACAGGCCCGGCCACTTTTGTCTCCCCAGTGGCGATGTTTACACACCGCACCAGGTACTCATTTGAGGCCGAGTCGAACTTGGGGAGGCCCAGAACCGGTTCAGATAATCGTCACTGGTGTTGGCCATGAGCGGGAATTGAACTCGGGTCCCCGAGTTTACAGCCCGCCCCCTATGTACACACACGCACGCGCACGACACAAGCCTGTCTTTAATTCCCACCTATGCAACGACTGCTAATCCTGCACTAATGGACGTGGAGGAGGTGTTTATCCGTCTGAAAAATTATATCAACACAGGCTCAACTCCTTCATAAATTGCCGATTGCGAGGGTGCATGGAAATATACCACGTACGAGGATTTCCTTCTGGCCGTGTTAATTTTCTGCGATGCTAATGAGCAGTACTTGCGTGAATTAGCTGAGCTAGTGGATTTACCTTAATGCACACTACGCCCGAAGGTTGTTAGAACAACGGGGTTATGCGGCTGGTTGTTGGGTGGTTTAAAAGTGGGCTCATGAATAGAAACACCCCGATGAAAAAAAAATTGGTTGGCTCCAGAGCACGGTGTCCAGTTTGTCAAAACAATACAAACGTAAGACGACTGCTCCTACAACCACCAGATACCAGCGGCCACGATGATGATGATGACGACGATGATAAGGAAGACAATGAAACATTACGAGGTGTGAATTGGACCATGGCCACAGAGGTGAACGGACCGACCACATGATCTAGCTACTGCAATCGTAATGAAGACGACAATGACCACTTATAAATCTATTTTTTTTAAATACCTACAACACAAAAGGGTCCTCCACAGTTAAAACTTCACTTCCAAACCTAAAGGTGTTCCCGTAAAAGGAATGCAACACGGCTCCCTATTATTTAAATCGCCGAGCCAGGTATATAAATACAAACTACATAACCGTAACAACCACCAAACAAGAGATACACCTGTTAACAGCAGCATAGGATACCCCAACCAGGGACTACACCTCAAACATACCAGGGCCCTTTTTCGGCTGGATGTCAATGATTGGTTGGTGAGGAGAGGATAGGAGAGACTGCGATGATGAGGATAAGTGCCTCACTAAATGATTGGCTCACTCTTTTGCTTGCTCAGTCATGCATAAACTCACGTACTCACGCATACACACACCTGCACGCTCACTCACATATCCACTATGTACGCAGTCTCACACTCATCCACTCTCTCGCTCGCTCACTCACGTGTTCAACTCATCTATCGACAGAACTTGCTGGCTCTTCACCCGTGCAGGCACCCACTCACCGACCGAACCACTCATTAACTCAAGTTACTCACACCATCACTTACACATGTTCCCACACTTGCCCTCTCACCCGTTCACACACGGAGGGCCCCCTGCTACTCTGCTAAGACTCACAAATCCGGACCCCCGAAACCCCAATGCCCGACCGGTGTTAATCTGCCGGCGATGCGCCGTTCTTTCGGGTGACGTCGGCCTGATGGAGGAGGATGGACGTCGGTGGTTTGCTCCTCCAGTGGGAGAGCTTTCCGGCCGAGAACATCAGGTTCACGGCCGGCATGGAGACTCCCTGCTCCGTGCTGGGGACTGTGGGAGGCGGATGGGGAGCGAGTGGTGTGGAGCTCTCATTGGAGCCACCGTCCTGCGGGAGGGGGGGGGGTACAACAAGGGCAGCACATTTTTATTTGTTTCCATTATCAGAATCAGAATATTTATACTGGAGAAATCTGATGAGCTATAAAGCGATTTTTCACTGATGTCCAGTAGCCATCCATTCAAAGATTTTACGTGCAGACAACGGCTCCTTCAGAATAAACATTGTTCATGTCACTATCACAATCACCATCATCATGATACCACAGCACTGTGTGCCAGGCTAGGTACACTTTGGTCCAGAGACACAGCACAGGGGCAAGAGAGACAAGAGGCCTCACCTGGTAGTGACTGATGAAGTCCAGCAGCTGCAGCGAAAGCTTTCGGCTGAAATGCAGCAGCTCATCCAAACTGGGGAAGGGAGCGCAAAAAATTCAAAACGGCGGCGGCTAGGAAGTCGTACGTTCCTACGTGTGGATGTCGCTACGCGAAACCGAAACGTTCCTCGCTTTTATACCCCGTGTAGGCAGTGAAGAGTTAATTCTCAAGCGCACGACGTGCGGACACATCGCGGGCCCAAACTGTCGAATTTAAACCCACGCGGATCGACGCGTCGTTACGTTGCCTGCCAGCCGGGGCGGGCCATTGTGTGTACACACTCGCGACAACGCTCACCTCTCCTTGCGGAACAGCGAGTGGGAGGCCACCCTCTCGCACACGCTCTTGTTCAACTCCGAGTTGAAGAGAGGAATCCCGAAGCAGAGTTCCAGCGGAACCCAATTATCCGCTGGCGACACGGCAGGGGGGGGGGGGTGGGGGCGGGAGGTGGGACGGAGACCAGGCGGACGGTAATTACGCAGAAAACGGACGCATCGTCACTTGCAATTGGTTCAGCAGCTCACCAGCCAAGTGTGACCTCTTGAGTGTTATCCATTAAGTCCTCGCTTAACCGCGTGTTCACACGGGGCGTTTTCGCCATAACTCGGTTCATAACGCGGAACGTGCCCGCAATAACATGGTACGCGCAACGCTACAACGGAGTATCTGAGCGGTCGACAACTACTTTCTTGAGCTGCACGGCTGAGCGGAGTGACAAAGTACGCGGAATGATATAGTAACGCAGCGGCGTACCCTCAGTTATTTCTCCCGTCATCCTACTAATGTCATGTGCGTACATCGCATCCCGCCAACCTTTAACGTGACATTATTTAAGGGGAAATTGCTTTCACTTAACGTGGCACTTTTCAGGAAAGCATCTACCGCATTAAACGAGGACCTAAACCGTTGTTTGCATGGGTTTTCTAAGGGTGTCACAGTTCCCTTCCAATTGCAACTAATTCCTGAAATGAAAATGGCCAAACGTCTTAGTGCAGGACCCTCATGAAAAGTCCTGAGACTCGGTAAAGCTTTGATGAAAACAATGAAATAGAAGATGAACATTACACTTTGTAACTGTGAGCTGGCCAAATGGCCACCCGATAGTTATCAACACTGCCCAAAATTATACGGAGATCTTCCAGGCATGGTCAATGCTAAAAGATATGTGCCGAATTTCCCGGCAATTTGTTCAGGCGATTTGCAGTATTCGTGAAACCAAGGCGAAGTGGCCACTGGCGGACGCACGGACAGACAAACATTTCCTGGGCATGGCGACAGGTGCATCACCTGCCTGAAACGAACGAGCGCGTGAACAACTACGAGGACACGCGAGTGCGCGCGGCGGTGCGAGCGTGCGGCACTCACCCTGGGCCGTGGGAGCGCTCGGAGGGGCTCTCCTCGGCGCCGTCTTCTCGACCGCCCCCTCGGCGTCGCCGCCCACCATCTCAAACGAGTCGGCGCTGCCCTGCGTGTCCGAGTCGGCCGGCGAATCCTCCGCGGTGCCAGCAGGGGGCCCCTCTGTTTCATCGTCGGGACACCCGTGGCAAACGAGCGCAAGCACACGGAGGCACGCACCAGCACCAACGTGATGAACACAACGACACTCGCCGATCGCCGCTAAGCGGCGGTAACGTCACCACGGCACCTGTGCCAGGCCGGGTGCACTTTGAGGCCACGTGAAGTGTCGAAGTGTCGACGGCTCGCTGACAGGAGGTCACGCGACAGACCCAGGTGTCATGGGTTGACTGACTGCTGCTCGCTCTCTCTTCTCCCGACACCTGTGCACTCTCTCTCATTCCACTCGCACCTGTGACCTCTCGACTCCTCGGTGTGACCATGGCGATGAAGCCGCACGAGTGCTCGAGGTCGAGCTTCTCCCGCAGTGCCTGCACAGCCGGGTGCCGGCACATGTGCTCCAGGCTGAAGTCTGTGGCAAAAAGTGAGCGCCAAAACAAACACAAAAGTTCAGATTAAGAGTCATAATACAGGCAGGATGCGATTTCTAGGCAGCAAGTACGCACTGGTGACTATAATGCCTCGCATGCGTGTAACATCACCATATCGCGTGTATAACAAACCCAGGATTTTGCATTTGGTCAACCAACTCAAGCGTGAAAACTGTGGCCATGTTACTTGAGAGAGGAGCGGGAGAATGTACGTATTTATATTGTAGGTATGTTGAACTTCTTTCGCGCCGTACATAGCCAACCGTGCTAATCGGAGGTGCCGAGGAAGGACAACAAACTAAACACTAAAAAATTAGACGAACGCTATACCGGTTTCAACCTTGATGGGATTCATTAGTACAGGATAGCCATCATTGTCTACTGCTGCCTTATCCCTGACAGATATTTGTTCCCCTTGTGGGTACAAGTCTTCACCTCCGACACTTACCTCCCTTGATGATGAAAAATTAGACGAACGCTATACCGGTTTCAACCTTGATGGGATTCATTAGTACAGGATAGCCATCATTGTCTACTGCTGCCTTATCCCTGACAGATATTTGTTCCCCTTGTGGGTACAAGTCTTCACCTCTGACACTTACCTCCCTTGATGATGGGCTCATCAATCGGGAATGGAACGTAAACGACTTCGCCGTCCGCCTGTGCTCCATGTCCCTGCCGCAAGCAAACACCTCGTTAGCATCATCGCATCGCCATCCTGTGTCGGAGTCATCACAGCAAATGCTCATTAGGGGGCTCATATTATCGTAATACACACACACACACATGACCACTGCAACAAAATAAATGTTATTTCATTACACAAAAAAATCTTCCCCGAGTATCAAAGCACTTATTTCGGGAGGCTCCTTCTTCGGGCGGTTTGACCAATTAAGATTTGAAGGAACGTTTTTGCATGTGAAGTACGCAGAGGAGACCCACCATCGGCTACATTTAGGGAGATTTGGTCACAGGGCATGTCGGATTTTATTTTGTTTTACCCAGGACAGCCTCACTGCATCTCAAAGACTATTTTTCAGGAGGGTCCTGCCAACGTTTTTGCAGTTGGGAGCAATGCTGCTGTTATCCTAATTAAGTCATTTGCAGGCAATGGTTTCAGCATTGGGATGTTTGGCCGATACCAGTTACATTGTAGGGCTTTTTTAAGCTTACTGGTAGGAAACCGGAGAACCCCTGAAGAAACTCATGCAGAACCAGGGGGAGAACGTACAAACTCCACACAGAGTCAGCACTCGAACCCATGTGCTTCTTGCTGTGAGGCACGAGGCTAACAACCATGCCACCTTGCCGCCCACAAACACATGATGAGTAGTATAGATCAGTGGTTCTCAACTTTTCTTGGCTACTGCACCGCCTTGTTGAATTTTGTTTCAACCGAGTACCCCCACCCCCCCCCCCCCCCCCACCTTGCCTGACCCAACATGGTATTGACAAATAAATGTATGAATAATTAACATCAATATCGTTCTAAGTTGCCATGTGGATTTAAATTGTTATCGTAGTTATTTTATATTAGCAGATTCGTACATGATTATTCACCAATAAATCTCATGCATGAAATTATATATGCAGAATATTGGGAAAAGCCCATACAGGTTGGACAGGAGCCACGACGAAGAAGATACATTTATAAATCACCTCGCGAACCCCCAGGGATCCCCGTACCCCCCTGGTTGAGAACCAGATGTATAGATGATAAAGGGGGATGATCCCGAGGGTGGCGAATACCTGAACGAGGACGGCAGAGTGCGTGAGCGCGTCGTTCAGCGTCATGAGGACGTTGGACGTGGCCACCACCCCGGGGTCATGACCCCAGGATGTGATGAGTAACCGCTCGTAGCCCTGAAATGCGAACAGACGCGATCAATACAAAAGCTGTTAATCCTTGCGTGTCGGTACGTGTGTGTGTGGAGCCCAAGTGTACACCTACTATCCACAATATCCACTCCAGATGCCAAGAAGCTTCCGAGATGCGGGACACATTTCCACCGATTTTGCCACAATTACGAATGCTATAACTAAGCTCCATTGTCCGAGTATACAGTTAATTTGCACACGGTTGTGACAGGATTTATTCTTACATTTTTTTTATTTGGATTTAAGCACTATGTATTGTTTATCGTATTTGCAGTAAGTTCTGGCATGGGTGTTGGGGACAAGACTGTTGTTTTTGCTCATGCTAGATTGCCCATTGCCACCCTGCAATGTCCTGTCAACAGTCTTGGGCTGTGGTCTATGAATCTGTATGTAACTCTATGAATCTGTATGTAACTCTATGAATCTCTATGCAACTCAGTGTAACTATGATGTCCTGTAACTGCGGCCACTGGCAACGATCTTTGGCTGTGGTCTATGATCCTGTATGTAACTCTATAAATGTTTATGTAACTCTATGGATCTCTATGTAACTCTATGGATCTCCATGCAACTCGATGGATCTCCATGCAACTCAATGTAACTGATGTCCTGTAAACTGCCGCCACCGCCGATTGTCTATGGCTGCGGCCGTCCTCGTAACAGAGTTACTCATCACCAATGGGGCCATACCAGCGGATAAAATAAACTCCCGAGTTCCGATTTGTCGGATGGGCATTCGCTGGGAATGCTCACAGGTACCTGGAATATAGAGGGCAGGCGCCGCAGCCGTGTGCCTTTGGAGAGGAGTAGGGAGGGCGGGCCCCAGCCGGTGAGGTGGTACACGTACAGCTTGAACCAGATGGAGCTCACCTCTGGGATCGCCGGACCCATGTGCTGCACACAAGATATATCGTTCTTTAAAGCAAACTCGCGCAACAATGGCTACTGTCACAGCCAGAGAAGATTCTATATCAAGCAGCGACGCGCTGCTTTTGTGTTTGACCCGCGTGTGTTGACGTCCATCGATGAGCTTCAACAAACGTGCACGTGTCTGCACATCCGACTACTACGGGCTCCCAAGATTGGCCCAGGGCATCCTTGCCAAGCCTGCTGCCTCCTGATCACGCCCCCTAATGCCCACGGAGGGCGAGACCTGTGGGGTGCAGCTGCTGATGGGGCGGATCTCGTTGCTGAGCGGCGCCATGGAGACGAGTAGGGCGTAGTTCTTGTTCAGGACGCGGCTGCACGTGGCCGGGTCCAGTCCCAAGAGGCTCTCGCAGCGCAGCAGGTCCAGCGGCAGGCCTTGGCAACGCGCGCGCGCGCGCGCGGGTCGAGCAGCAGCGCGGTTGGGGGCAGCGGGAGGTGCGCGCGACCACGGACGGGGGCGGAGAAACGATGAAGTGTAGAGGACACGGGAGGGATGAGAAGAGATCATTTAATTGGCGGCATAACCGGTAGCTTGATTTCAGGCGGAACGGGTCTGCAGCACTTATTTTTATTATCTTGGCGCGTCGGAGTGCATCTCGCCCTATTTTGTATTCACGGATTGTGATTATTATAATAGGAATAGACAGTAAAGTAATACAGGATTAATTATGGATAACCATACCCCTGTACTCGAGTGGAGTGCTTTATTTCAATAACCAATGATTCACTCCCAATTCAGCCAAGCAGCATTGCAGAAAACTGAGGGTGAAAAAATTACACCTGGGATATTATTCATGACCTAAATTACATTCTTACGCTCATTGTACGTGAACTAAAGTGTTTTTGCGTAAGAATGAATTGTTCCCGATTAGCACGGTTGGCTACGTACGGTGCAAAAGAAGTTCAACATACATATATATTTATTGCAGACCGATATATATTCATATCAGTCCTGGGAACACCATTCGTCAACCCCGCATGAAGTATGGTAAAAAAAAAAAATCCACAGTCCCAACACAAAGTGGGGAGGCATTTTTACAGCAGTAAATTGACAAAAGGCTCTACATTATTATTATAATACCACTAGATTCTACAGATTTAAACCACAATTGATTATCTAGATTATTACCACTATAGATTCTACATACACCACACGGGGCAAAGATGGAACGGATTCATAAAACAAAAAACTAAATTCATGATCCCAAATTTTCATAACTTGTCTAATTGCAGCAAGGGACTAAATTGTCACATTCATAATTAATTGCCCCCGCCACCTCCCGAACGATTTGCGAAACCAACTCTTTGTTTTTGTCATATTGGAACTTTTTTTTTTAATCCAGATTGTGCTTTCAGACGCAGAACCGATGCGGGGACCGTCGCAGAGCAGCGCGTCCTGGCCTTCAGGTATCGCGCGGAGCAGCTACCGTTGGGATGCATCTCGGGGTCCGGCGTGAGCTCCCGGTTGTGCCTCAGGAAGAGGATGGTGTTGCGCAGTGTGAGCGCGTGGTCGAAGTACCTCTGGGCCTCCCCCTCACCCGCCATCTGCACCTGTACTCGACGTTGAGGCAACAGGAATTTGACAAGAGAAGAATGAACTAAGAGGACACCGGCCTGAACCAGCTAATGATGTTAACGAGGATGCACCAAACGGTAAATGTTTTGTAGAGGCGCACAAGGTCTGTTTGCCGCCAGCTGTCAACGAGTTGAAAATATGAAGCTTCGTTAATGAACACTCTAGCGATGTCACTGCAGCACACCACTACCACACCTTTCAATACTGTTAAACATGACCAATGTTCTAGCGACACCAGAATGACAAAGTTTCACTGGGAATTTAAATTATAACTTTCGAAGCGCGAGTAGAGTTCTCAAAACCAGAGCACGGTGGCGCTCTGCAAAGGGAATCTTAACCACAATAATTATGACCACCGGTTGTTTCTCGCCAGTGGCTGTGTACCTTGTCAAGCTCCTGAAGGAAACTGTCCAAGCTCTCATCCGATAGCTTCCCCACCTCAAACATTGTCACCGCGTGGCTCTTGAGATTCTGCAAACGTCACGCGCCGTGAAGGTTTTACGAAGCTCTACTGGCCGTCACCAAATCAACGGGATTTGGTGAGAGATGGGACAGGGAGAGACAGATACAGAGGTAAGGACAACTGCATTTAATGCAAATGTTCTTGCTTTAGATAGCAACAAACTGCTCAAACAAAAAAGGAATATTGAATATGCCAGCGGTTCTCAACCAACCAGGCATGCTCCCCTGGGGGGGCCCAAAACCCTTTCGGGGGGGGCAGTGGAGGGGGGAGAAATTGAGGCTGCAGCATGGATACCATACAGGAGAGAATTTCAACGTGCCCAGTAAATGTCAGCGCCACGTTTGGGTGACAAAACAGGAATAAATAACATGATGAAACAGATGACTTACTAACACGGCATTGACTAGATGTGTGGGCATGCAATCTCTGTGTATTGTGGCCTCAGTATCTTGAGTTTTTTTTTGGGCTCAGAGGAGGGGTGGGAGATTTCAGGACAAGTGGTCTTGATTGGGTGGCTTTGATTGGGGGTTGGGGGGGGTTCAGAAACCCAAACAGGTAGAGAACCAATGGTATACGCACTCCAGTATCCTCCACTTACACAATGGCTTATTCCAACCTTTTTACCAAATTATTGAGCAATTTCAATAAGCAAATGATATGCCCCCTTCAGATGTTTTTCATATAAAAATTTGCATATTCCTTACACAACCCATCAGACACACATCCTTCTGGGAGCGTACAATTTCAGAAATACTGGTTAAACACATGAAAGATGGGTGGATTGGTTTCGGCATACAATATCTCATCAGCAGAGTCAGGCTTGATTGAAACAATGAAATGCCAGATGTGCATTGGCAAGGGCCCTCTCTGAAAAACGATGTAATATATAACACAATATAATCACGAGCATCATTGTGGAGAAAATGAGAAAAAAAATATGTAAGCAGACGAACACCAGTTGTGTTCTCCGCAATGACACCACTCACGACAATTTTGTATTTGCATGCGTACGCGCGAGTGTGCATGCGCCGGTGCGTACGTACGGGCGAGAGGTTCCCCATCATGAGGAAGGCGGTGAGCGTGGAGTCGAAGAGGAAGGCGATGCGCTTGCTGTGCGTACCCGGAGTCGGCGCGCAGCTCAGAGTAAGGCTGCTCACGCTCGCCGTGTCTGCGTGCGCGTAAAAGACGGCAAAAACATGTCCCTCTCGTGTAGCCTTAACGGGGTGCCACGGTGGTACTCCAATGACTTAAGACTGGCCAAGCCATCACTTAAAAGCCAAGAGTGGCGAGATTTGGCCCCGTGGTGGCAAGATGTTAACTACCTCGCCTGGTATGCAGATCAGGAACCAACCTCAGGTGGGTGGATTTGTGGCGAGTTATACTAACTGCGCCACTACCTCCGTATACACTTACAGGGATGCATGCCGCTCCTCTGCAAAAGTCTCAGAAGATGTCGATCTAGATTATGCTTTATAGGTAATGATTGCATCAAGAAGCATGGAAGTAATGGGGCTTCTTAGGCAAGGGTATCATGGTTCATTTGTTTTCAATAATGGTTCTAAACCAGACTCTGCTGGCCCATGAACAGCCCAATAATAGTTCAATAACAAAATGTGTGTAAAACAATCAAGGTGATCATGTTGTTTACATTTGAAAAGACAAATTAAATCAGTGTTATCATTAAACCTATCAATATCGTTGCAAAAATAATTTCAACTCGGGATTTATTTACCTTTACATTGTGTTGCCATGATGATCAAAGTGACCCCATCGAGCCAATCGCAACGCAACGGTGAGTACAAAATCAACAGATTCTATAGGACCTGCGAGCCACAAACCCACGTGCAACCTTACTTTTCCAGCTTTGCAGCCCACGGTAAACGACTCGACATGGACAAGCAAAGACATCGTTGCAAGACACCACCGCCATAGGGAAAAGCGTGCCCGTTATCGCCAGCTTCGCTGTGCACAGCCGTGGACATTCACCCGGATCGTCCTGGCTGGCAGTGTCGGTGTCGTTGGCGTCCTGCAAGGCTCCAAGTCCCACCGGGCGGCCTCCGTCCACTCCCTCGAAGCTCAGCAGCATCTTCTGTGGGTCCATCGTGGCCCTGGCGGGGTAAAAGGCGAGGGGGAGGAGACCGTAAGCGCCAACCGTGATCTCCACCTGCAGCACTCTCTCCACGTCCAAGCTGCATCAGGTCCGTGCCGGGCAACAGCGTGGCGTGGCACCATTAATCCAGCTGTGCACGAGTGATATCTGAACCAGTGCCGGGCCCCTCCCCTCATCCAGCAGAGGATTTGCTAGAGTACTATAATTCTCATTTCTAACTTTGGCATGAATAAAGCTTACGTGACCACTAACTCACTAGAGACGTAAGAAAACATAAATTCTCGATTCCTATGAAGACGTACCCCAAACTTTTGCTTTAAAATGCAGGAAAAATTAAGTGTGTGTTCTTTTTTTCTGCGAGAACACAATACTTCTGAATAATGAAAACGATGCGTAACGCACATACACGTCGAAAAACACACCAAACAGTTGTTCGATCAACGCTTCGTTACACCCGTGGGACGTCGTTATCGTCGTGCCGTATGTTTCACAACACTCTCAGTCAGCACCGTCGGAGCCACCACCTGAGCCTGTTGACTTGTGCCACCTCCCTCCAGCTCAGGTGCAGGGCCTCCTGAGTCAGCACCTGGACCTTCTTGCGGGCGAAGCCCAGGCGGTTGTAGAGCGACACCGCGTTCTGTGAATGCAAACGACACGAGCGACAACATCAATTGCCGCGCCTGCCGGTATCCCGCTAGGCAAAAAGAAAAACGAAACACTCGCGGCGGCGGCGTCCGACTTAACACTGCGGTGCATCGTGGCATGTTGAACACAACGCGTTAACGTTCGCGACTCCAAAGCACGCAGGGATCTTATTTTGCGGACATGTATGGAGGAGGTTGCGTGCGAGCCCAGAGCTCTCCAAAGACGAGACCAAAGCCCCATTAATGAAAGAGAGTATTTTAAGGCACATCATTATAGCACTGCTGTGACACCACTGCAATGTCAATCTCGTGCACTTTAACATGTCACTACGGCGAGGTCACTTGAGGGCTTTGGTGGTGCACCCAAACCATGATTCTCACGAATAAAGCTTCAAACCTCAATGTGCGGCAGTCACAACCTAGGTAGGCATCTACAAAAAGGCCACACTTGTTTTCCATCTTATTTGAAGGGAGTTTCCCAAGCTCTTTTGCATTTGGATGAATTACAGATGCTACAAGCGTGGGAATCCCTATTACAGTGAGAAAATTTGTATCGACACAATTGTGGGACAGACCGCTAACATATTTACCGGGGCTGGCATATGCCAAATTAGGAGATAAACTTGAATAAGATAGGTCTTTCTAGATTTTAAGTTTACGTGACTGCAAGGATCCATATTCTTTGGTTCTTTCGGTAAAGTCACGTAGGTAAAAAAAGAAAGATAGGTCTTCTTTTGAATCTGTGGGGACTTAGGTGAGCCCATGAACTCAATACCACTGAGAATTCAGTTGGTGGCAGATACCTAGATTTGGACACAAGATGTGAGCAGTGCTGGCTTCCTTCTCTGACACAGTACAGGGGCCCTGAGCCATCTGGCCACCACTGGGGCCAATAAACTGAGTACCACTTTGTTGAATATCAAACAGCGGTTTCACAATGTTTCTACTCGTCACCATCATAGGAATCTGAAATTTCCATTACTGGTTTAAGGCTGTAAACAACTAGGCAAGGGCCACCCCGTTGTTCACTTGAGCAGGGAGATGGTGACTTTGTACCTAATTGACAGACAAAATGACCAACATTTTGCTTGTACTGGAGTGTGTTATTGTGGCCACTGCAGACACAGGAATTCAAATCCAACATGCTCTGTAAATAATAATGAAAAAAAACATCAATGCGTTCAAGCTGCAAACTATTAGAAACAGCTGTCTCGTGTTTCAATGCTGCCTGAAGGGACGATAACACTTTAATTTCTTTTGAGTTGGAGGTCTAAGCAAGGCGGAGGAGCATTGTACATGCAACGTGGCGGTCGCAAGACAAACATGCAAGGCATGACGAGTGAGTCATGCCTGCAAGAAGCACGCCTGCAAGTGTTGGTATTTCTAGGCACACAACAACAGTGTAATTACAATCACATGATGTTCTGTTGTATAAACCTGGGGCACCAATTCTAACTTGACTTTCTGTGCTCGCACTCGTGCGAGCCGAATGTAAGACATGTGGCTGACGCAAGCATTCGCCAACAGCGATGAGTTGATGCCAGAGCAGTCGTGGCATCGTGTGGAAGTTGAACAGGACATGACAATGAAGTGCACGTTTAATGCCGGAATGATTCGAGGCTTCTTTGAAAGCTCGGAGATGGGCCTACCTTCACCAGGGACAGATCAATCTCCAGCACGCTCGCCAGCTGCACAGGAAATTAAAGAAAGGATTAAAAATAACAAACACACTCCGAAACATTTGTGCCGCGGAACAAACACAATTTTATTACTCTGTAATCTGGGTCATTACCACTGCTGCATTATTGCTATTATTGTTATCACTTCTTCTTTCATGCGGCCCATACATAGCAAGTATTGGATATTTAAGTGATTTAGCCATTAAATTGCTTTGTCTGACCCCGAGCGCAAATCCTAGCAACGGCTAACGTAAGTGGCGAGCGATATATGAACCAGCCCCTGTGCCTCTCACTTCACCAACTTGCACAGACCAAGCGTGGTGAAGTATGGTCAAATAACCTCCATGACCGACACGGCAGGGGGAAGCCTTCGTCCAGCAGTGGCTGGACAAAGGGCTGATTAAATTTTGATTTAAAGCTTTCGTGACTGCAGTAATTCATATTCTTAGCTCTTTCGGTAAAGTCACGTTGAAGGGAAACAATAAAATATATATAAAACAATAAAAATTCTCACGACGTTTCGACCATAACACAAACGTTTGTGTTATGGTCCAAACGTCGTGAGATCATAACACAAACGTTTGTGTTATGGTCGAAACGTCGTGAGAATTTTTTTTATTGTTTTATATATATTTTATTCTTTTATTGTTTCCATTCAACGTGGTGACTTTACCGAAAGAGCTAAGAATATGAAAGGGCTGATTATTACTGTAAATGAATATGGTGGGGAACACAAATAAAATAATTCACTCTTGGGGGGTGGGGGGGGGTTCCTGACTTAGGACATGAATCTTATGATGTAGGGAAGTTACCTGAATACAAAATTACATTGCTCCCATAACGTAACAAATGTCTCACAGCCCAGGTTTGTTTTTTGCCGAGGGAATCCCCTGGTGGCAGCGGCCCCTATGTGGCACAACGTGATCACGTGATCAACACAAGTGGGCATGTCTGCCAATGAGCGATGTTGCTTATTAGCTTTTCCAATAAAATAATTCGCCGGTACATTTTGGGTTTTACTTTGCCAAATTTGTCGCATGGACGTCATGCCGGCAGCGCCCACCTCGGCCACGTTGGTGTGCTCGTCGATCGAAACGAAGATCTTGTAGAGCAGCGTCTCAAAGTAGTCTCCCTGCAGCCGGTTCATGACGAAGCCTTCGAGTGGTGGAACTGCCAACGCAAGCGGGAAGGATGGACATTGCACCAACAAACACACACAGCTTGTACCCGCTCGGTCGCTCAGTCGCTCAGTCGGTCCTTCGCTGTCTCATTCAATTAAATAGACATTCACTCCATCAATCAGTAACCCACATTGCGTAATCTGGGTGCCATGATGGAGAGATGTTAACTACCTCGCCTGGTATGCAGGAGATCGTGGGTTGGCTCCCAACCGTGATGTCTGTATATTTGGAGTTGGCATGTTCTCCCCATGGTTGCATGGATTTTTCTCCAGGTCCTCCGGTTTTTCCCTCCACATTTAGAATCAACATCACGCGTTTAGAGAACCTGGCTGCAATAATTTCCACGTGATAAGCCACTTTAATTGAGCTATCATTTGTGGCCACGTCACTTCTAATAAAGAGCTATATAGCTCAGTGGGTCTTACCTGCTAGAATAATGTTTAATAGTTTTTAGTTTGAATCTGTTACTCACTTGCTCACTCCATTCAATCTCTCAATAATTCACTAAATCTATCATTTACTATATCAGTAAATCCCTTATTCATGCATGCTCACACACAATCGTATGCTCACTCATTCAGTGACCAGTGTGGTAGGAATGTACCAGAATGTCAGTTCTGAAACCTTATACACTACACTATACACTACAATACACTATACACTACGATATACTACCCTAGTATACACTACTACAGTGAGGGGAAAAAAGTATTTGATCCCCCGCTGATTTTGTACATTTGCCCACTGACAAAGAAATGATCAATCTATAATTTTAACGGTAGGTTTATTTGAACAGTGAGAGACAGAATAACAACAACAAAAATCCAGAAAAACGCATGTCAAAAATGTTATAAATTGATTTGCATTTTAATGAGAGAAATAAGTATTTGACCCCTCTGCAAAACATGACTTAGTACTTGGTGGCAAAACCCTTGTTGGCAATCACAGAGGTCAGACGTTTCTTGTAGTTGGCCACCAGGTTTGCACACATCTCAGGACAGATTTTGTCCCACTCTTCTTTGCAGATCTTCTCCAAGTCATTAAGGTTTCGAGGCTGACGTTTGGCAACTCGAACCTTCAGCTCCCTCCACAGATTTTCTATGGGATTAAGATCTGGAGACTGGCTAGGCCACTCCAGGACCTTAATGTGCTTCTTCTTGAGCCACTCCTTTGTTGCCTTGGCCGTGAGTTTTGGGTCATTGTCATGCTGGAATACCCATCCACGACCCATTTTCAATGCCCTGGCTGAGGGAAGGAGGTTCTCCCCCAAGATTTGACTGGTACATGGCCCCATCTATCGTCCCTTTGATGCGGTGAAGTTGTCCTGTCCCCTTAGCAAAAAAACACCCCCAAAGCATAATGTGTCCACCTCCATGTTTTACAGTGGGGATGGTGTTCTTGGGGTCATAGGCAACATTCCTCCTCCTCCAAACACGGCGAGTTGAGTTGATGCCAAAGAGCTCCATTTTGGTCTCATCTGACCACAACACTTTCACCCAGTTGTCCTCTGAATCATTCAGATGTTCATTGGCAAACTTCAGACGAGCATGCATATGTGCTTTCTTGAGCAGGGGGACCTTACGGGCGCTGCAGGATTTCAGTCCTTCACGGTGTAGTGTGTTACCAATTGTTTTCTTGGTGACTATGGTCCTAGCTGCCTTGAGATCATTGACAAGATCCTCCTGTGTACTTCTGGGCTGATTCGTCACCGTTCTCATGATCATTGCAACTCCACGAGGTGAGATCTTGCTTGGAGCCCCAGGCCGAGGGAGATTGACAGTTCTTTTCTGTTTTTTCCATTTGCGAATAATCGCACCAACTGTTGTCACCTTCTCACCAAGCTGCTTGGCAATGGTCTTGTAGCCCACTCCAGCCTTGTGATGGTCTACAATCTTGTCCCTGACATCCTTGGAGAGCTCTTTGGTCTTGGCCATGGTGGAGAGTTTGGAATCTGATTGATTGCTTCTGTGGACAGGTGTCTTTTATACAGGTAACAAGCTGAGATTAGGAGCACTCCCTTTAAGAGTGTGCTCCTAATCTCAGCTCGTTACCTGTATAAAAGACACCTGGGAGCCAGAAATCTTTCTGATTGAGAGGGGGTCAAATACTTATTTCCCTCATTAAAATGCAAATCAATTTATAACATTTTTGACATGCGTTTTTCTGGATTTTGTTGTTGCTATTCTGTCTCTCACTGTTCAAATAAACCTACCATTAAAATTATAGGCTGATCATTTATTTGTCAGTGGGCAAACGTACAAAATCAGCAGGGGATCAAATACTTTTTTCCCTCACTGTATGTTGAACTTCTTTCGCACAGTACATAGCCAACCGTGCTAATCGGAGGTACTGGGGAAAGACAACAAACTATAAACACACATCTACAAAACAGCCAATATAAATTGTATTGGAATCCGATCTTCCAGGCAATAATTACATAAACAATACAGCAAGCAGCTTTCTGAAGAAACATATCTGTGTGAATGCTCTCCTGTAATATACTCAAGTTTACTTTGTGTTGTCATTAGCTCGAGGACTCCGTGTTACTTCCAGTGTAAAGATCTTGCATGTTTTCAATTAAATGCATTCCGAAGATTAATTTTATATTAAAACAAACATCCCACCTAATGGATCAAGACTCGATTAGTTCCCTATTTGTTCAAGCGAGTTTAAAAAAATAAATAGGAATGCCGACTATGGGCCAACTTCTGTAGTAGGGTGTTAAAGCTGCAGTACTCTTAAGACTCAACAATCTGGAAAATATCCGGCCAGGTGGCTCAGTGGTAGAGCGAGTGGACTCACAATCAGAAAGGCTGTGAGCTCAAATCCTGGCTGGTGGTTGACTCAGTCCACCATCCCTTCAATAAAGTAAGCACCACTTTGTGAGGAAATCAACAGTGACTGTTCAATGGAGAGACTCGCCCCAGCATTAGAAAAGTAGAATTCCCATGACAGGCTCATAGTATATGAGCATGTATGCGTGTGCCGTACTACTCCTCTACACGTGTATGTTTAACTTCTTTTGCACCGCACGTAGCCAACTGTGCGAATTGGAGTTGCGTAAACAAGAATTTCTCCTTTAAACAAGAATCAAATGTACTTGTTTGACTATGTGGCAGAAACAGCAGCTTATGGATACTTGCAAGGAATCAGGTGGGTTGTAGTGGGTCCTGGCTGCATTATCCACATGAGCACCCAATTATTAACCAGTAAGCAAGCAGTGCATTACCTACAGTGTAATCCTAGGAGATTACTACCTATCTGTAACCAGATGCACCCTGAACTTTAGGCACGCAAAATAGCATTGTATAACTCATGAGCAATGTGTAGAGACAATTGCATTTATTGTATTATAAAAGCAGTAAGTATGGGGGGGGGGGGTAAAGGTGCAGCACTGCAACTGCCTGCTTCACACAACTGCTGGTGGAAGGACCTCCACTAGAGGGAGACAAAACAAATCCTCCTTTAGAAAGTATTGTTTAGTGCTGACCACACTTTATCCCACCCCACCCACACACGACCTGCCGATCGACCAACAGCGGAGCACCCATTTATACTGCTGGGTGGACAGAGGCAGGAAAGGGGATTTAAGAAGCTTGCCACCATTGATTTAACTGCCACTGCTGGGCCAGGACATTGCGAGCCGGGACACTTAATCGAACCAGGCGACGCCTCTGGAATGCATGTTCAGTGTGCCAACCATTACACCCGTGCCAGAAACCCATCGGCAATGTTTACATTAAAAGATGAAATACAGGGCAGCGAAGAGTCGCTACAGCTTGCAGTGCAAACCAACTAGAGGACAAGGTTAACCAAGCGAGAGACTGTCCCAGGGCTAGAAAGCAAATATGGAAAAAAAAGTCAAGGCAGAAACAGCTGGGCCAACAAGCGGTGCCCAGTGCACACCAAGTCCAACACATCCAAAGCAAATAAAATAAAACATCCACACATCGGTGGGCTCTGTGGCTTTGGCATCAGCTATCACATTGGGTTTAGAACAGATGGGCCTCTGTTACCTATGGCTGCTGGAGAGTGGTGGAAATGCTTTTTCCTCGATATGTAATGAACATTCTAAATGAACAGGAGACAGAGACAACGAATTGCGGTACACATCTCCCAAGTGACCGAACACATGAGAGGATAATAGTAGTAGTGATCCCCAGCTGTAATCTAGGTGGTGAGGACTTCATAGTGAGTGAAAAATAGCGGTTCACCCCAACCTCACCATCCCACAGTGAATGACAATACAAGCCAGCCGGTCTAACGATAACATCACGACTGTACAAACCCTGTTATTGTGTAACGTCTGAGTATGGACACATCTCTAAACGAGGAAAAAATGAATGGCAAATGAAAAATAACTCATTGTCATTTGTTTCTCAGTTTTATTTCAACTATGCTTTCAGTGTCATGCCATGAAACAAAGTGTCTATTGAAAATTCTCAATATATAGGGAACTAGCGGTAAGTACCCGGCGTTGCCGGGGCGAAAAATAAGACACACACATGGACTTACACACAGACATCGACCCACACACATAGAAACACATCGACTTACACGCACACACACACATATGGACTCACACAGACAGACATCGACTTTAGACACACACATGGAGTTACACACACACGGGCCGACGCACACACATCAACTTACACACACACATCGACTGACACACACACATAGATAGACTCACACACGTCCAGAAGCAGTTAGGTGTTATCACAACTACTTCTTCAATGCCTTCAAGCAAACTCTTATTAATTATCAATACTAAGGACGATGTTCTACACGTTCTACTACAGATACAGATATGATATTTAATTGCAATTAAATAATACATTTTTTTTTTATTTAAAGCTTTCGTGACTGCAGGGAATCATAATCTTGGTTCTTTCGGTAAAGACACGTAGAAGGGAAACAATAAAATAAAATAAAAATATAAAACAATACAATTCTCACGACGTTTCGACTGCAATACAAGCAATGAACATCAGGTCTGAAAACCACAGCAAGAAAATTTTTAAAATGTTTTGAAAAATATATTTTTTCAAAAAATGTTCTTGCTGTGGTTTTAAGACCCGATGTTGATTGCTTGTGTTGCAGTCGAAATGTCGTGAGAATTTTATTGTTTTCAATTTTTTTATTTTATTGTTTCCCTTCTACGTGACTTTACCGAAAGAACCAAGAATATAAATAATACATGTTATTATTTTTTTAGTTCTCAGAGTTACATTTTTTTTGTCCAGTGAAAGCCCAAAATAAATTATTGGCGGTTTTTTTTTGCGCAGTCATTGGTGATCTGGTTGGGACCACCACGTCGCTGCATGCAAGAAACGTGTTTAATCGTGAGCAGCTGAAATCAAACCCAGGATCTCAGCGGTGTTGCCACAGTGGCCTGAGCCCTGAATCACCCAGGCCAGCTCACCAGAGCGGTTTCTGTTTTCCAGTGCCGTCAGCCAAGTGACTTACCCACAATGCAGTCGTCATCTGATATGGGTACATCCAAGTATATGAAGCCTTTATTGTAGAGCCCTGCAAAATAAAAACAGCACAATGCAAGCTTAAAAAGTAACCTGCAAGAAATACTGCGTCATTTTATTTACAACAAAAAAAGTTAAAAGGTAAAGGTGTAGCCTTGCAACTGCTTGCTTACGCTACTGCTGATGGAAGGGCCTCCGCTAGAGGGAGCCCGAGAAAGCCCCTCTAGAGGATATTTTGGCCTGCTCAGAATGATTCCAGAATCTCCACACCACTTATGCTATCCTGCTGTGAAATTGCTAGCATCCTTTGCATGCAACTCCCAAGTCTGTGGAGAAATAATAATGCGAAACCAACGGGTACGTGGAGGTGCCCACAGAGTGACAAACAGATCCCGTGGACCGGAAAGCGTTAAGCCAGTGATATGCGGAGCGAGCGGACGAGCATCATACGGTGGACCACGGCGTGTTCGAGCGAGCCCGCCAGCTGTGGCCCCGTGTCGATGATTTTGTCGATGGTGTTCTTCTCCACGATGCTGCAGATCTGCGCGTCGGGTAGGCATTCGGGCGCAAAACACAAGGGGTTAAAGAAAAAAATATATATCACAGCCCAGTCTACCTTCCATTAATGGCTGTGTAAACATCTTATGCCAAGAGCTCTTAACAAAAGTGAACGCTCAGTTTTATAAAATATTTATTGCCGATGCAGCCATTAATAATAAATTGTAAAAATCCATCAGAACCTGAAAGTTTTTTGGTCTATGCAAGCATAACAGATATCAACTTACTTTAAAAACGCACACAGAACAACCCAACTACATATCGACCTTGGTTTCCACTATTCAAGACCTTGTTTTGTCTCAGTAGATGTAAACCCCCATCTCCCTGGGCTGAAACTTCAGCGCCATCCTTACCTTGATGTCATCCTCAGTGATGAACCCGGCTTGGATGACCCACCATGGCTCCACGGTGATCTCCACGGGCTTGATTGGCAACAATTCCCGCACCGGCCGCCTCCGGAAGAATTTCTGCACACGTGAGACAGACACCCATCAACAGCCCTGGCGTTTCAATTTAAACAATCGTCTGCCACTACGAGTGACTCAGAAATAGGGAAACGTCGTCCATTTTATAGTAAAACATTTTTTATATAAAAAGCAATGTTTCGCCAAATGCCCCTTTGCCATGGAAAAAAGAAAGTCCATTGCCCAAAAGTCTATTATAATTGCCTTGAGAGCAGTGTTTTAGACGAATGTGTCAGGTTTCTGTGAATTGTGTGTGTGTAAGGGTGAGTGGCAGAATCACGCGAGCCCGAATGCGCACACTACACAGGTCCGGGCGAGCCTGCACAGTGACGGAAACGAGCCACAAAGGCGGGGGGGGGGGGGTGGGCACTTTTTTCTCCAAACAGGAACACATGGAGCACGTAACACAGCCAGGAACGCTCTCGCCCGTACCTTCGAGGAGCGGCACTGGTTCATGAGGTCGATGTACTGATTCCTCCCAATGCCGAGCAGTCGCAAACCTGGAGGACCAAACAAGAGGCACCCCTTCACTGAACACGGTAGGACCAATACCTCAGATCCGAAACACGGTAGGACCAATACCTCAGATCCGAAACACGGTAGGACCAATACCTCAGATCTGAACACGGTAGGACCAATACCTCAGAGCCGAAACATGGTAGGACCAATACCTCAGCCGTGGCTGATCATTATTTTAACGCTGTGGGCACACACGAAATTGATTTTGCAGAGACGAAGGTACTCTGCAAACCCACTGGCTATCAGCAAAGATTCGTCCATGAAGCCATCCAGATATATATACGCAGACAATTTCAACCGAGAAGATGGGTACAAACTGAGCAATCATTGGAAGGACGTTATTAACCAGTTTAGGTCATAACTGGATGTGTTTTTTCCTTCCTACCTACCTATTTTAGCAGTTATTTTCGACTCTCTGAGTTACATTCACTAACACATCCACCGTTAACTGTTAGTAAATGGCGGCTTGCCATCCTTTTCCACCTCCATGTGGCAATGTTCCTTTCCGAGCTCTCTCCGAGCTTACATTTACAAGCAAATTTCTTACATTGACATGCTAATCCCTCACAATACAATGGCCACCCCCACATTTACATGCAAATTTCATCTCTAGCCCCGCCCACTGACCCTTGGGCCACACCCATCTCAAACCTTTATAAGTCCCTGCCCCTTAGCAGTGCTCCGTCGTGATAGTGATTATTTTTTATCATCTTTCTATCTACGTGGCTTTCCCCAAAGACCCAAAGAATAAGACATGGTAAATTTCTCATTTGTATCTACATTGCATTACTACAGTAATTTGTTCCCCAGTTGTATTTTGCTCATTTGTCTGCATACTTTTAAAATATAAACACTACTTAAAGCTTTCGTGACTGCAAGGAATCATCTTCTTTGGTTCTTTCGGTAAGGTCACATAGAATGAGAATAAAATAATAAAATAACACAATAAAATTCTCACGACGTTTCGGCCACAACGCAAGCGGCCGTCTTCAGGTGAAAGGTCGTCTTCAGGTGAAAGGTACACGTCTGTACCTTTCACCTGAAGACGGCCGCTTGCGTTGTGGCCGAAACATCGTTAGAATTTTATTGTGTTATTTTATTATTTTATTCTCATTCTACGTGACCTTACCGAAAGAACCAAAGAAGATAAACACTACTCTGAAGCATAGGGGAGTGGTGGAACTGTGGTTAGCACAGGGGAATATGAACCTCGCAACCCGAGCTTGATTCTCAGCCATGGCTAATGCCAGCGGCGAGTGATATTTGACCGGGACCTGGGTCATACCAATACCAACCAACTTTGACCAGTGGGGTGAAGTACAGTAAAAACCAACCATTAACTCATTTGGTGGGGACGGGGCTTCATCCAGAGGTGTATTGACAAAGGACTAAACATTATAATTATTATTAATCTAGCGTCAATAACGGATTCCCAGCCACGGCCAACATCAGTGACAAGTAATATCTGATCAGGTCCTCGCCCCCCCCCCCCCCCCACGACCTCTCACACCTCCCTAACCCACGCTCCCCATCTTTACTATCCTTCACACCTTCACCAAACCGACACTGGCCAGTGTGGTGAAGTATAGTCAAACAATCCAATGACCGAAATGGTAGAGGTTGAGGCCTTATCCTCAGCAAAGAATTGACAAAGGGTTGTGAGAATTATTATCATCATCATGCATGATAATGAATGTGGTGGATTGCTTAGTCCTATTAACTTTAGTCCTTTTATAATCTCCTTGAGTAATCAGCAGAATGTTTTAAACAACACAGTAACCTTTGATTTAAAGCTTTCGTGACTGCAGGGATTCATATTCTTGGTTCTTTCGGTAAAGTCACATAGAAGGGAAACAATAAAATAATAAAAATATAAAACAATACAATTCTCACGACGTTTCGACTGCAACACAAGCAATCATCATCAGGTGTGAAAACCACAGTAATGAATTCTAGATTCTATGATTCTATGGTCTTCCCAAGATCCATAAAGAAGGTACCCCACTACGACCCATCGTGTCCACGATCAACTCCCCTACCTACAAACTAGCCCGCTTTTTATCAGATACTCTGCTTCCCTTTACTGGCAAGGCCACCTCAGCGGTACTTAACTCAACCCAATTGGTTTCTATGGTCAAGGACACTGTATTATCTCCTGACGATATCCTCGTCAGCTGTGATGTGGTCTCGCTGTTCACCAAGGTCCCAGTGCCTGACACCATAACAATAATTGAAGATTTGGTCCAACATGGACTGAACCCTGATGTACCTGCGCTGGTTAGGCACTGCCTCACCAACACTTACTTTACCTGGAATGGTACCTTCTACAAACAAAATGAGGGTACCCCAATGAGTTCTCCCTTGTCACCAGTGATAGCCAATGTTTTCATGGAGAAATTTGAATCAGAGGCCATCCAGACATCCACCCTTCGTCCTTCCCTGTAGAAAAGATGTGTATGACACTTTCGTCATTTGGCCACATGGCCTCCCAGCTTTAAATAATTTCCTAGACCACAAATTCCAGACACCCATCATCAAATTCACCATGGGAGAAAGATGGGCAAGCTGCCATTTTTGGATGTTCTGTTTGAGAGGAGGACGGATGGCTCTTTGGGACATTCTGTTTACACAAAGTCCACCCACACAGATGCATACTTGAAGCCTGATTCCCACCACCACCCAGCTCAAAAGAACTCTCTCATCAAAACATTATACCAAAGGGCACATTGCATTTCTGACCAACACCACCTGGCCAGTGAATTAAAACAAGTACATCTGGCTCTCAAGAGGAACAGATACTGACTGTACCATCCGCCAAGCTGTTTCTCCCACCATAGAGAAACAACCACCTGATACTCCGATCAAAACCATCACAATGCCATACATAGCAGGCGTTACCAAAAAGATTTCCAAAATTCTAAACAAACACAAGATCCAGGTCCGGTTCAATACAGTACACAAAATCTGGGATCTGATCCCATCTGTAAAGGATGTCATTCCTGACTTACAGTACCCCGGTGTTTACAAATTGAGTTGTACCTGTGGTGACTGCTATATCGGGGAGACGAAACGACATATTTCTGAATAAAAATTCGCATGCACAAATCATATTTTAAACACGGCAGAACGAATTCTTCGGCCGTGGCTGATCATTGTTTCAAGACAGCGGGTTCTCATGACATTATTTCTCCGATACCAAAGTACTATGCAAACCTCCCAGTTATTACCAAAGATTTGTCCATGAAGCCATCCAGATATACAAACATAGACACAACTTCAACCGAGAGGATGGTTTAAAATTGAGCAACTTTTGGAAAGATGTCATCAACCAAGTCAAACGTTAGCTGGCTGATAATTGTACAGCCGTTTCCGTTTCTACCAGGATGGTGCTTGCTCTCGTGCAGCACGCCATCACCCTCCCCCCGAACCCCCTGCAGCATAACAAAAGGGGGTTTTACCCGCTTTCGTGCAGTGCACCACCGCTCCCCCCAAACCCCCTGCAGCATAACAAAAGGCGGCTTAACTTAGCCCTCCCCTCCCCACCCACGTCCCTTCCTGGCTCCTCCCCCCCCCTTAACCTTTATATAAGCTCGGGTGTCCCAGAGCTGTTCACTTGATACAGCGAACTTTGCTGTGTCTGTTCCACCTGAAGACAGAAGCTTGTGTTGCCTCCGAAACGTCGTGATTTAATTTAGTTCTTTTCTTTTATTTTAATTTTACCTACGTGACTTTACCGAAAGAACCAAGAATACGAACACAGTAACCGTGTGTTTTATTTTGGGACGCCATGGTGGCGAGATGTTAACTACCTCGCCTGGTATACAAGGAGGTTGTGGGTTCGATGCTGACCCAGACGCCTGTATATTTGGAGTTTGCATGTTTTCCCCGTGGTGTCATGGATTTTTCTCTGGGTCCTCCGGTTTTTTCCTCCACATTTAGAAACATGCATTTTGAGTATTTGTCTGCTATAAATTCCCCACATATTAAGCCACTTCGCTGAGCTATCATTTTTGGCCAGGTTGCTTCTGAAAAAGAGTCATATAGCACAGTGGGTCTTACCTGGTAAAAAAAAAACAAGTTTAAATACAATATTTAATTACAGTCCTCATAACAAAGTAAGCATAAACAAACTCGATAAAGTAAGTTTATGCAAACCAAGCTAAGAGCACAAATTGTAAACAGCCGCATTGGCCTTTTTCCTATTTTTAGCACTTACAGTCAGCTGCAGTAAAGTTGGGCAAGGAGTCATAACTTCTCTCATTTGACATGATGTCCTGCGAAAACCAAAACACGTGAAATCAATTAATTAGGAGACGCACGCAAACATTTTAACAGTGAGAACTTGCTACGAAAAAAGACTCAAGAGCTGAAAAATACGCGAGGCTGTGCGTGCGGTCGGCAAAATTAAACGGTTCTCGATTGTGATGCATTTAGATTTTGGCTGCCGCGCAGTCGGGCATCAAGTTGCAAGATGGCGGTCCATTCCCGAGGTTCTAGTTTGTAACGGGGCCGCTGCCTTGAACCAGTCTCGATGCGTTTACACATTGCATGAATCGTGCAAATAAAATAGCTGCTGTTCCGTTAACTCAACGCTTTCGTCAATAACGCCGCCATAAAAGAGGGTAAAAAACAGGGTACACAAATTTTGATTTAAAGCTTTCGTGACTGCAGGGATTCATATTCTCGGTTCTTTCGGTAAAGTCACGTAGAAAGGAAACAATAAAATAATAAAAATATAAAACAATACAATTCTCACGACGTTTTCGACTGCAACACAAGCAATCATCATCAGGTGTTGCAGTCGAAACGTCGTGAGAATTTTATTGTTTTATATTTTTATTATTTTACTGTTTCCCTTCTACATGACTTTACCGAAAGAACCAAGAATACAGGGTACACAAAGTCAATGTGTTGAAAAACGGAATGTGCTTCTACATCACTGGCAGCGCACCGTCAAAAAAACAATGCGTTTAACCGTTAGTAAGTAGCACTCTTAATATAAAAGTTGACTATGAAAAATATAAATATATAAGCTGAGATGACTGATTTTATTGTGCATTGTATAGCAACCTTTTCATTTACACACAAGTATTTTTTTCAGAAGATTCGAAACAAAAAACTAAAACCGGTTTAAAGACACATTGTGTAGTTACAATTACACCTTGTGATAGAGGATGAGCTAGAACCTGCGAGATTGTGTGTGGTTAATGGTTGTAAATCTGAAGCAAGGATTGGGGGGACACTACAAGATGACATGTAAGAATATAAAACACGGGGTTCAATATCCACCATTCATTCTGCACGTAGACACAGGCAAATTGAAGGTTTAAACATTATTGAATAGGGTACAAAGTGCTTGCATCACGTGTCCTTGTGACAGCCCTACATAACAATCAAAATGTACCCGACATCCAATAGAGACACTCGGAGAAAGGGGCTTGTGCCAATTCAAGTGACCTGAAAACAGAGGATCAAAGCTTTACATGTAAGGCTAACGCCACGGAAATAAGCATGAAGGGTTGTGCATGCAGGTATATGACAGAGTAAGTCTTGTGTTGGCACCAATGTAATATAACTCCCATGGGCTTCTGTGTCAAACATGTATACGTTAGATTCAATAAACTCCGATGGCTCATGATTCGATTAAAAATGGGGTCTCTTTTTATTGCTTATGCCGTCTTATTTGAACGTCTCATATTTCGTATCTCATTTGGTCTGTCTTGTCTGTTCAATTACCATACAGTTATATTGGAAAATAATCTGCCACCATGGTAAACAATATATTTTTATATTCATTATTGGATGCATGTGTTGTGTCAAAATTGCTTATATGCCGTGAATCACTCTTCAATAAGCTGAAGCAAGTACATCACCCTGTGATGACAACTGAGAATCGTATGTATGTTGAGCTCTTTCTCACCTTACCTAGCCAACTGTGCTAATCGGAGGTGTGGCAGGCCAACTTTGTGTGTGAACAAGGTCGAAGTTGGGCAACTACCTCCATCATGCTGCAGTAGTAGGCGAAAGGGGTGATGCGGAGTCCCTTGACCATAATGTCTGACAGGTGGTAGGGATAGAGCATGAGGTGCTCCCGGCTGTAGCGCAGGAGGTCCTCATAGTAGCGTCGCTCATCTTTCTTGATGTGCCTCACTGGAAACAAGAGGGCGTTCGCGTTATTATTCGAAAGTCAATTCATTTGCGTGTGTGGGACCCAATCAGAGGTCTCCATCACAGTCTGAGTCATCACACTGTGCGGCTGTTGAAATATATTCACACCACTTGCTGCAGAGGTTCTTGGTTGGAATGCGGGTGTAGTTACCGTAAAACAAATGCGCGGTATGTTTAACAAGTGGACATTCAAGATGCTGCGAGGTCATTCGAAGTGCAGTCCATTGAGTGTCGGCATCACAGTCCAAATTAGAAAAAAATATAGTCAAATTACTTTATTCAGAAACACGTATCAGTCGTCGACCCCTACTCTGACATGTATAGCAGGACCCTCCTGAAAAAAAATATTGAGACTCAGCAAGCCTTTCCAGAGTAAACAAATATAACAAAAGCAATTCAAAGGGAATATTTTAATACAACGAAACAGCAGTGGGACCAGTTACGAAACTTTACTGGGAATGACAAATCATACTTAATTTAAAAAAGCCATCTACTTCCCTACACTGCCCGCTAATTTAGTACACAATGCACAAGCTCTTACCGGAATTGATTAACTTTGCCAATGTATTTGAGAAATCTCTGTATGTCAAAATAAAACACACAAATATATACTTTGGGGCAGCATTTAGAATGGCGCTGTTGTTTTGCCCCTGGGCGTTACGACTGCCGCAGCAAAAATAAGTGAACATCCCGCGGTGTGCGCGCAATGCTGTACCCAGATTGCTTCGGTACCGCAATTGGTTTCTGACGCTGTAATTAACAACCAGCCGCTCGTACTCGCGCTGAGAGTTTCCCAGGCTCTGGAATGACAAGCAAATACAGTAAATCAACAACACTCACTGCAGAAACCACTCTATAAATCACCAGCACATAAAGAACCATTATTCCATACCCAATGAATTATTAATACACTGTACGTCACACACATTCAATCAATTTATAAGTCAGCTTACATAATAAAAATGCATTAGTACCTCTTCTCATTTCACAGGCCTACATCATTTTGGTTTTAAATACTGTACAGGTTAATAAATAGGTGACCTTCTTCAGGAGAATAACGTTTTTCTTATTTCCAAAAATGAAATTCTTCTCTCAGGAATCATGAAGTGGAATCCATGCAGAACTCTCGCAGATCAAGGCATCATCATCACCCTGTGCTAACAGTGGCCTGCAGAAGGTGACATCACAAAACGACTTTGGAAATCCCTTAAAAGTGCCCCGCATTTACACTTGGAGCCAGATACTCCCCCACGCACCACGCACCAGAGATGTTTGTGGCATGGTAGTCAAGCTGAAATGTTATTTTTTTCTTACAGCCGGAATGTTTGCCAAACTATGTGCATCACCAACCAAACGTAATGATATGTGATCGGAAATGTTTTGGGTAATAGTCCTTCTGTATAGCATATTAAGGGGTCATTGCCCACGTCACCGATTCTATATTTACCAATGACTAATGGGCACACATTTTTTTGTGATAATTGTGCACCAGTGACAAAGCAGTAGCAGCAGCATCATCACCACCAAGTAACTTGTCACATTTAATGCCGCTTTTTTCAGCAGTCATTGATGAGACCAGGCTGAGTGCAGTTAATGCAAAGGTATTTGACATAGTATCCAGATGCAACAATAATATCTCGAAGTGGGACAAAAATTGTGGTAATCCAGTTAAGGAAATAAGTTGAAATAATATGACAAGAGACAGATAATGGTAATGGGGTTACTGCAATATAACAATAACACACAAGCTAAGACAAAACAAATTATATCCGCAATATACGGAATACACTTTTTGGATATTTATAATTGTATCTTTGGCTCTCAAATTGTCACTTATATTATAAGTTCTACAGTGTAATCATGAAGGCAGAGGAGGGCCGGTAGATCTTTAAATCCCAGAGATGTGGTAGAGATTTCAGTAACTTGTTTTCTGCACAAGTATTCCAGGGCATGGAACGCGTCTGAGATGATGGTGCTGGTGATGATGATGATCAACCGTGGAGATGGAGCGATTAAGTCAGTTCGAATGCAGGCATTAGGTACTTTGAGTTACTGCACTGCATGAGGTTGAGTTGGTGCATGCATGGAAAGGTCTTCATCCAGCAGTGGACAGACGAGGTATGATGATGATTATATCCAATCAAGCGTTATCTTGAATGCACATTAAACAGGGTGATACCATCGTGGGGGGGGGGGGGGGGTATGGATAGACATGTACAGCCCTTCTCACTCCACTGCTGGACGAGGACATCCGCCACCATGCCGTGCGGGGGGTTGAGGGTAATCGTTTGACCATACTTCACCACGCTGGATCGACGCGGGTTGGTTTAGACGAGGCGGGTAGCATGCACAGTGACGATTATCTGAACCGGTCCTGGACCTCGCCTAGGTCGATTCAGCCTCAAATTACTGCCTTGTATTTGATGTAGTAAACATCGCCGCTGGGGAGACAAAGGCGGTCGGGCGTGGTTGCTGGCCACCCGCCCCCTCGTGTGCCGCGCCGACCTTCACAGGTGCTGCTCGCTAACAGCACTTGCCCCTGCAGTCTGTTAAGGCCACACGGGGGATCTTTGCCTTGCATAGTACTGTACAGTACAGTAGTACAACGAATGGATGTCACTGCAGCACTGCTGACGGCGTACGAGGGCCTCTCTCTCACAGCAGCAAGAGTCGAGCGCAAGCCTATAGCACCCGTGAAGCACGTTGGTTGGTGGTCGCACACACGAGGCCACTCTAACGTCTTAACAAACAAAAAATGCCCCCTGATGAGCTTCAGCGATCTCTAAATGAGTAATCAAACCCCGCCGTGAGTCGAGACGCTGGTGGATGCACTATACTTTTCCTATGGGGACGTAATATTGTCGTTGTACATTATACGGAAGCGCGCACACACACACTCGTTAAGAGATATATATTTCAATAAAATCTGTTTAAAATATACAAAACTGAGAGGGACGAGGCCTTGAGTGCCGGGGGGGGGGGGTAAGGAATCTAACCCCTCTCACCTGTCTCACGTTCACAGGCAGCTTCGCCCACGCGTAATTCTGACGGATGTGAAACTCCACGTCGATGTTCATGTCGGCTTGTGACTGACGCTGCGATAAAGTTATTCGGTTTTATTAAAATGAAGAAAAAAAAACAACCACCCCTTCTCCCCGCCCCTCCGCTTACAACAATATCGACGAGGAAGCTGGATCTGAACTAAATAAAAACAAGGCGGCGGCAGCGGACACTGCTGCAGGGCCTCATCCCTTAACAGAAGCACCACACCTGATACATTGGACAGATCGATTACAATACGTACAGCGCATACGCGCGTCGAGCGTCTGATTGGCCGTGGCGAGCGCGAGGTAGGGGGCAGGCGGGGGGGGGGGGCGCGAGCGGGTGGGAGGGGGCGGGAGCGGGGGGGGGGCGTGGGCGGAGACTGGCGCGCCAAGGCCGCATCCAGCGCGCCCGTTGGTCCGGAAGCGGAAAGGCCGCCAGCCAATGGCGAGCGATCGCGCCCGCCTCGCCTGTGCTTATGCGCGCTAAGAAATGTAGCGCGCCCCCCCCGCCCCCTCGCCCCACCCCGCCCTTCGTTGTCACCAACGCTTCCGGGTGGTTGGCGCGCAACGTGCGCGTAATAGCAAGCGAGCGATTAATTAACGTAGACTAACGATTAATTGCCGATTAAATAATAGTAATAATTAATTACAAAAAAAAAGCTTTTGGGTTAGATCGCGTTAAATACAAACCTGTCAACCCCTTATCAGTGCCCTCTACCTTATTACAGACCAAATCAGACCTTATCGGTCACCCCGCGCCCCTTATAAATCTCAACATTAATCCTACAAAGTCCCATCACAAGGGAGAGAAACACAAAGACCAAAAACATAGTTTTTCCCTTTTAAAACGGCTCTACGTCGTTTGGATCTGAAATATCAATTTCCCTGTACAAGAACACGAGTATACCGTGTGTTTTGCCAGGTTTGTAAACATGAATGTGTCGTTAAACCCGCCACCACCCGACACAGTTAATTAGCAAAGGTTGTGTCACGTAATCAAAACGTGCCAATTAGTTATTTACTTCAGCACCACCGGTTGTGTGTTGGCAGAGTAAACCCACAACGTTTATGTTTGGAGTACGACGTTTCGCTGGTGATTACAACCAGCTTCATCAGGCGATCGCTCGCGAGGGTTTTTATTTGCTTGCCTAGGGGCCCCCTGCGTTGGCAGCTGTCCCTGTGCGTCAGAAGGTGAACAAAGCAGCGGCATAGGACTGCCAGAAGGGGGTGGTGGGTGTGCTATTATTCTACTTAAGTAATTTAGGAATATATATAACAATTTACTGGTAGGAACCTCCTGGTTACACCAGCCCATACGATGATTATTGTGTCCGTCCGTCGTGCATCCAAAAATGGGAGGGGTGGGGCTGGGTGGAGAGGGTGGGGAGGGGCTGGGTGGGGAGGGTGGGGAGGGGCTGGGTGGGGAGGGGCTGGGTGGGGAGAGTGGGGAGGGGCTGGGTGGGGAGGGTGGGGAGGGGCTGGGTGGGGAGGGTGGGGAGGGGCTGGGGTGGGGTGGGGAGTGAGGGCCTGGGTGGGGAGGGTGGGGAGGGGCTGGGTGGGGAGGGTGGGGAGGGGCTGAGTAGGAGGGGTGGGGCTGGGTGGGGAGGGGCTGGTCACCCCGTGGTGCCCTTATAAAACTCAACGTTTAACCTACTCACGCCGGCTTGTGCACGCCCTCACAGTCGGGCATATTTGCGGAATACACCACGTGGTGCCGCCGTTGAGCCTGGCCATTGACCGAGCAACCCAACGTTCCTACCAGCTCCCTCCGCAGGAATGTGTTCAACCTGTAACGCAGCGCACAGTATTCATTCACTCTCGTAGAGGGATGACGACTCAGACGAGCGGGGAAGGCAGCAGCAGCAGCCACCGCAGTGAGCAGATGACAACGATTGCCCACGCTCTGCCGTCCTCAATATGTGAAGGTGTTATTGGCCAATTCATGGGTGGCTTACAAGTGGGAGGAAGCCGAAGCACCCGGATCAAGAAGTGGCAACACTCCATCCCCGTACAGATGGAAACAGATGGCGAACAGTCCGCATGCACTACTGCCTTCCCCTGGCGAACCAGGGTATATCAACGTCGATCTGTGTACCAAGCGCGGTGTGACATCAACACTGGGAAGACAAAGGCGGGCGGGCGTGGTCCTGGTCTCACCACCCAATCATATTTGTGCCGTTCCGGCCTTGATAGGTACTTGCACTGAAGTCAACAGACAGACTCATTAATCGTGTCTGTTGACTTTGTGCAGACGCACACTCGTTTAGTGTGACACTCTTTCAGTGTGTCTGTGTATTTATTATGCCCGTTTACACGTGGGGCCGTCCATAAATGACGTCACGCGATTTTGGACCATTTTTGACCCCCCACGTAGTGCTTTCGCGACCAATATTATTCATTATAAAGGTTTTTGGTTTAGATCGCGTCAGAATAAACGTGTCGTAACCCGCCACCAACCGACAGCCAACCGGTAAGGTTTGTCACGTAAACAAAACGCGCCAATTAGTTACCACTTCAGCCCACCGGCGTGTTGGAGAGTAAATCCACGACCTTTACAATTTGAGCGCCGTGACGTTTCGCTGGTAAGGCGCCGTCCATAAATGACGTCACGCGATTTTGGACGATTTTTGACCCCCCCTCTTTGTCACGGCGTCACAAAAAGTCAGACCCCCCCTCAAATATGACGTCACAAAGCCCTGCCCCCCCCCCCCCCCAAAATCAAACATGCTTCAAATCGCTTTAAACTATTGTCATTGTAGTGCGTATTTAATGTGGCGCTGCACTCTGATGTTGTAGGAGAAAACATTTATTATAAAGTCTATTTAAGTAGAACGTGTTGTCTATATTTATTTAAAGTTGCGCATTTTAATGTGACGTCACATTTCTCAACCCCCCCCCCCCCTCGTCACACATCGTCACAAATGTCTGACCCACCCCCCAGGTGCGTGACGTCATTTATGGACGGCCCCTCACCTTAATGGTACGGCATTGCTGTGTTTGTGCAAACTCAAGTCAATTGTCAGTCGCACACAAAAGAAAAAGGTCCCCCGTATAGCCTCCACAGGCTGTCGGGTCAAGGTGTTGTTAGCGAGCGCCCTATGAATGGGGCAACAGCACACAAGTGGAATGGTTTGTTTGGCCAGAACCACGTACTGTACTCATTTAAGGCTGAGTCGACTTAGGGGAGCGCCACAACCGGCTCAGATAATCACCGCTAATATTTAAAACTGCCCCAAAGAGAAAGAAAAAAACTTGGCAATATTTCTGGTATTTGCCCTTCATAATATATCTATGAATCAGGGCCATTAACCGAAACGTCGATTATATATTTACTTTCCTTCACGGCAGTGCCATGAACGAACGTGTTGAGATGTGTGTTGTTTGTGATTGTGCCACACTGCCAATGCTATTGACATGAGCCGTGTTAGGGAATCATTTTTTTTCTGGACATCTGTGAAACTACCGGACATCTGTGAAAAAGAGCTTCATAGCTCATCGGATTCCTCCAGTATAAATAAATATTTGGATTCTCAAATACAGGACTGTACCAATACAAAGCTCCCCCATGTAGCCTTCAACAGGCTATAGGGGCAAGTGCTGTTAGCGAGCACCTCTATATCGAAGCCCGCACAGCGCACCTCTGAGGCAGTGGTGTGGTCAGAACCACCACGCCAGGCAAATCTCCCCAGTGCTGATGTTTACTACACACCGCGACCAGTTACTCATTTGATGCCGAGTCGACCTAGGGGGGAGGCCCAGTACCGGTGTCAGATAATCGCCACCGGTGTTGGCCGTGAGCGAGAATCCAACTCAGGGTTCGCCAGGGTCGTAGCGCAGCGTAGCGCTAACCGCCATCCCACCGCTCCTCTATACAGCCCCTCTCTCTCTCTCTCACACACTCACAACACAAACGCCCCAACGCTTGCACTGCCACTGGTCGGCAACGCCCTGCTGCTGCTTGTGTCTGGGTCTTATCGACCGCCGATTTAGGCACCGCCCGAGGGGGGGGGGAGAGGCGGGGGCAAGGAGACTGCACAAAGCCGGCAGGGACACAATCTGCCAACAGAGCTCTGGTGGGTCTCAGCGCGACACCCTCTCTTGAGCAACAAACCATGGGCAACGTGCAGGTGAGTCCGGCAAGCCCTCCATCGTGGTAACACTGTCAACGCCATATGGACGTGTGGCACAACGTGCCGTAGACGTTAAATCCGCGCGCGTAATGTGATAACTGGGGAATATTCGTCAATAACTCTGCCCATAGAGAGGGAAAATAAATGTAACGGGCGACCGTTTCGAACAAATGGTGCCGTATTCATCATAGCAGTCAGATTTTTTTTGTACTCACAATACTTGCACATTAAATCAGTAATGATCGCAAACCCTTTGTCAATTAATCCACTGCTGGATAAAGACCTGGCCACCCGTCCGTCTTATGTCGTATCGGTCGTAAGGGTCGTTTGAACATACGTCACAGCGCTGGTCAGTGTGGGTTGGTGAAGCATTCACTTAAGCAATGGACTTTTAATTTTGATTTAAAGCTTTTTTTTTCTTCAAATTTTCTTGCTGTGGTTTTCACACCTGATGATGATTGCTTGTGTTGCAGTCGAAACGTCGTGAGAATTTTATTGTTTTATATTTGTATTATTTTATTGTTTCCCTTCTACGTGGTGACTTTACCGAAAGAACCAAGAAAGGCATACACGCCTGCAGGGGTGTTAGGGGTTACAGGTAGCGTGTTATGTAATGTGCAGTGACGGTTTATGCTGGTCTGTGTATAATTATGGCAGAGGTGCAGTTGCAGACGTAAACGTATGGACTTTATACAATACGTACAAACGTAAAAGGTAAAAGGCGCAGCCCTGCAATTGTTTGATCACGCGACACTGCTGGTGGAAGGGCCTCTATTGGGGCGAGCTATAGAGTGCCCCTATGGAGGGTATTTGGTCTACTTTTCCACACTGGACAGGCATCTCAGAAAGGTGTATAAAATGCAAGGCCGTAATTATTATATATTGGGGGGGGGGGCATCTCCCCCAATAATCAAATATGCTCAAAATGTCCCCCCCCCCAATATATTGCTATAAAAATATATTTTTTTTAATAATAATTGCGATGCTATGTAAATAAAAAACGATTTGCTTAACCTTGGCCACAATATCTGGACTTGTCTTCATATAACAATGCATAGATTTCTGTTTATATGATTGTGGTTATGGTTGTGTACTTTATATCTCTGGCATTCCAGACAATGAAACAAGAAAAGGTAAAAAAAAGAAAAAAACAGAGAAATGTAATACAATACACTATTGGACATTATTGTAAAAAATAAATAAAAAGTCCATGTCCATCCCATGTGTTAGTGATTTTTTTATCTTTTAGGCAGGAAATGAGTTTTCAAATTAAAAATTTTTATGGGGGGGACGACGACCCCAGACTCCCTGGAGGATTTGGTCCCCCCAATGTTGACTCCATGGCTACGGCCTTGATAAAATGTCTTTATTAGATAATGCACCTGCACTAATGAATAATGCCTGTTGTAATGAAGACATCAGTTTGGAAATGTATGTGTTACTCCCTCGTATGTTTGGGGTTTCTCCAGGTTTCCCTCCAGTTTCCATCCACGCGAAGCGAAACACTCATTCGTGGAATGGACCAAACATCCACATTGAGGACTTTCCTGGAAACAAAAAAAATCAGTATTTAGCTGTGCCTGGTGCTTTATTTCATCCGGAACTGTCCGGAACACGGTTCGGGGAATAATGTTGACATCCAGTCACATCCATCTCACCTTATTTTATTCTCATTCTACCCTACATTCTTATAAAACTGTTCATAGGGTTATAGGGATTTTTTTTGTTTGGTACAATAATATAGGATCATGGATAGGTGTATCTTGTGGCTCTCTAGTGGTAGTGCCTTACGTTGATAAACCCTACTCCAAGACGCCCTGGCAGCGTTCCGGGGAAAAAAATATCGAGTGAGAAATCAGGTTCTTATCTGTTTTTTTCGGCTCAGTTAGGCTTTCCTGGGTCAAGGAAGGGAAATTATTACATTTATTCCCTGCAGCAGTCGGCGCGGGAGGCAGAGGAGAGGGAGATGACATCATCCCACTGTACCATCCATTACTTCAATTGTAGGGCGTATGAAGGAGCATTGCGTATGGGTTTACAGCTACACGCGAATGGAAAATGCTGATTGATTCCGATTAATGGTGGTCATTGTAATGATAACAACGGTGGGATCAGTGCCGGATTAAGCGAGTGCGGGGCCTGTAGCATATGTTATAAAGGGGCCCTAAATAAATGAAAAACACAAATATTAAAACACAATTTTTTACTTACGCAGTAAAGTAATTGTATTTTTTCATTTGCTATGCAACCAGAAAATACGACAAATCGCTAACCTTAAACACCCAGTCGTTCATAAACGTTGAAGGCAATATAGTACTATAGTAATAGAGCACGTGCAGAATCACTGATTCGAATATTGATAGGTTGAAAGCATTTAGCGCGGGGCCCTTGAAAGTGCGGGGCCCGTAGCTACTACATATGTAGCTACTTTTGCTACGATGATAATCCGGCACCGCAAAGATGGGGTGGCTATGCCCTTTGCATTTGGGCCATTTTAAAAATGTAGCCTGCCAGGTTGGTGACTTCAGCGATATCGTGGCTCGCAATCCAAATGTTGTGAGTTAAAAATTTGATTGGGGGGTTGACTCAGCCAATCATCCCACCGCGGTAGATACATTAGTACCAAATAGGAATATGTGAGTGAAATTATAAAGAATCGACAGCTTAGCAGTAAATCGTGATTTAGATTGGAGAGCAATCTCACATCTAACTAAAAAAATTGGACAATAACAGTGCCGTAAACGACAAAAGATAGAATGGGCGACGTTTCGGGCAATGGCCCTTCTTTATAGAACATGCACAACACTTCGCCTGTTATACATTTTTCTTCGACGGCAGTGTCACACACGAAACGCGTTGACTTTTTGTTGTTGTTAAGGAGCAACCCACACGTCTTTTTTTGTCCGCGACTGTCTGTCCCAGCCAGCCAGCAAAACTTGTATTCTTACACCGAGCCCTGTCTCTGTTCACCTTGCACCACTGCAGCACAGCAGCGAGCAGCATCGACAAGACTGTTCATCGGAATTGTATGAGGGCGGTGGCGGTGACCTTCCGTGTGTGTCCCCGTGCGAGCTCACAGCCGACCGTGGAAGACTCTCCGGACTTCGACGCTGAACAAGATGCCAAGGATCTGTGCAAAGCGTGCAGAGGGATCGGTAATGATGACCAAAGACAAAGATCCCCCGTATAGCCTTAACAGACTGTTGGGGCAAGTGCTGCTAGCGAGTACCCATGAAGGCCGGCACGGCACACGAGGGGGTGGGTGGCCAGCACCACGCCCGGTCGCCTTTGTCTCCCCAGTGGCGATGTATACACACCGCACTAGGTACTCATTTGAGGCCGAGTCGACCTAGGGGAGGCCCAGGACCGGTTCAAATGATCATCACTGGTGTTGGCCGTGAGCGAGAATCGAACTCGGGTCGCCAGTTTCGTAGCGCAGCGTAGCGCTAACCGCAACACTACCGCTCCACACACACACAGACACAACAACAACCGCCATTCGCCACTAAGTGGCGGTGACGTCACCACGACGCTTGTGCCAGGCCATGTGCACCTTGAGGCCACGTGAAGTGTCGAACGCCCGCTGGCAGGAGGTCACGGGGCAGACCCAGGTGTCACGGGTCAACTGACTGAGATGACTGAGATGACTGGCTGATGCACCACCTGTGCCCCCTATTGTGCCAACTTGCTGTGCTTTAGCCACCCGGCGCTCCGCTCGTTGTTGTGAGCGTCGCTCCTCCGCCGTTGTTGGAGGGCGACTGCCTCCAACTGCCCAGTAGCGTCCTTCACGAGCCTCCTCCACAGAGGCCGATCTTGACACCGCTGGTACCAGTCATCGGCAAGTCCACTCAGCTCCACGTCCTCCTGTACCACATCACTCCATCTCTTCTCTAGCCCGTGCCGCGCCCTTTTAGCCCCCTCGATCCTGCCGGACACAGACACACACACACTCACACACACCGTCCTGCCACCGGGTGGACATGCCCCACCCCCCCCCCCAACATTGTTTGTCTCTCTCCATGTGCTTCTCTGCGTCCCTCTGGCTGTCCGTGTGTCTCTTTGTGTTTGTCTCCCTTTGTATTTCTTTCTGTCTCTCTCCTTGTCTTTCTCAATCCAGTATTCACGTATTTCCGTGGGTCTCCCTGTGTCTGTCTCTCTAGCTCTTTGTGTCTTTGTGTCACTCGTGTTTGTCTCCGTTTCTGTCCATGTCTTTCTGTGCGTTTCCTCGTGTCTTCCTGTCTCTATCCGTGTCTCCGTGTCCATCTGTCGCTCTCCTTGGGCTCTCAAAGCCCCTCTCTGGACCTGGTACTATGCTTGTCTCCAGGGTGCATCTAAACACTATCTACACAGCACTCCACTCTGGTTCTGAGGTGGCTCTGACTGGCCCATTAGAACACGTTTAAGGGGCAAGCCATAATGCTGAATTACAGGTTGGTCGATATGAAACAACAGACTATGGAGCCTTGAGGTCTGTGTGGTATAAACTATGAACCTGTTCAAATACACGCCTTGAAACAGCCACAGCCACAGACACATGCGAAAACAAATAAACACCTTATAGCCTACACAGGCTGTTGTGGCAAGTGTTGTCAACGAGCACCTAACGAAGGCGGCGTGGCAAGCTCTACACCCAAACAGCCTTTGTCTCCCCAGTCATGACGTTTACACGTCGCACCAGGTACTCATTTAAGGCTGAGTCGATCTAGCGGAGGCCCATGATCGGTACAGAAACATTCGTCACTCATGTTTGGCCGTGAGCAGGAATCGAGATTAAGTTACCGGGTTAACCACTTACATTCCCACCGAACATAAACACAAATGACACCAACATGCATACGGTACAAAGGCCAACGATCCCCCCCCCCCCTCCGCTTTAGCCTCAAGAGACTTTTTAAATGTCGGGGCTACACTGCCACCGCGAGTTAATAGATCCGCCCATGCTCAGAGGCCATCAGAGCACGCGGTATCTCAGTGCGAGAAAGGCGTTGTTTGGCTCCCGTTTGTGTTGGTGTATTTGCGGCACTGCGGACAGCGCCTTTTACGCCTCGTCCGAAATTCTCGCTCACTGCATCGCGCGGCGCTTTCGAATGCGCTTCAGCGGCCGTCTGGAATGCTCTCCTTTGCGATGTTGTGAAGCCGCTGGAGCTCTGCACTTTTAAATCTAGATTTAAAATTAATGTATTTAAAGATTATTTCCGTGTTTAGTTTGTTGTCCTTTCCCCGCACCTCCGATCAGTGTGGTTGGCTACGTACAGTGCGAAAAAAGTTCAACATGCGTACATTACTCGAGTCTGGTTGCGAGATGTTTTGCTGTATAGTCTGCTCTGAAGAAGGGGCATTTGCCTGAAACGTCGGCTTATGTACCAAAAGCACAACGCGGTCGTCAATAACACCACTTTCCCTGCAAAAAAAAGAATTAATGCAATTTGCCAAATATCCCTAATGCATGACACTCCTCAAAATGCAGGCTTTCTTAAATAAAGGCTTTCATTATTTAACATCTTTAACTCGTACGATTAGCCAAGGGGCCATGATGAGGTATCTGACATGTCAATACCCACCTTATGTGGCAAAACTTTAGGTAAAAAAAAACCTATCCAAACAAGTTCTGAAACATGTTTACTCTCCAAGTAAACAAATTGGTACCACGAAAGTTTTGTGAAACAGCGTGGTACAGATTTATGCTTCCGCCCATGAGCTAAAAGCAAACAGTTTATTCTAACAAATACTCATGTGAATATGTTTATCCGAGAAAGCCTCACTAGGTGTCAGGAATCTTTTTTTCTCTCCAAAATATTTGGCCAATTCCATTTCGAGGAGTGTTTTGCACATCGAAGGAAACTGCCGCTACCCGGAGATGACCCGTCACGTCACGAATGTGCGATCTGAACCCCCTCTCGCTGCACTGCCACGTCCAGCCCATTGACTTTGAGAGTCTCACGAATCTGTGCCTTTCGCCAATGCTTACCTCCAGAAGCGATGGGGGTCCAGGCATGATCACTCCAAAGCGGTCATGCCCCCCCCCCCTCCCCACCGGCCACCCCGGTTAATACTGCGGCTGCATTAACGATTAATGCACGCCGTCTGCATCGCAGTGGACGTTACGAATTTCCTGTGACGTCGTTCGAAAGAGACTAGGCCTTGTAATACCGGCAGTCGTGGTCCAAATTTTCCACGGCTCAAATTTGTCACGGTCCAAATTTACGTGCTCGCGAAACAACACTGTCATTGGGAGAAAAATAACCGAGAGCAACATCGCCGTCCCCCCTGACGAATGATTGCCCACCTGTGGGCTGGTACTGCGTCACCTTGTGTCACACAGCTGTCATCAGGGCCCCCCCCCAGGATAACATTTTTTATAATACTGCAGATGGGCACAGGAATGATTGTGAAGTTTACCTGTAGGGAGCGGTGGTGCAGCAGTATCTGGTGTGGTGTGTAAACATCGCCACTGGGGAGACAAAGGCGGTCGGGCGTGGTGATGGCCACCCACCCCCTCGTGTGCTGTACCTGCCTTCATAGGTGCTCGCTAACAGCACTTGCCCCAACCATCTGTTACAGGCTATACGGGGGATCTTTTTCTTTGTATACCTTTGTGCTTAGAGTTGCTGGTGCCATATGAATACAATTCCTTATCCATATGAACCGTGTGCTCGTTACGACAGTGAAACCTCAAGAGTAACTCTCCCTCGGCAGGCACGGACGAAGACGAAATCATCTCCATCCTCGCCAACCGCTCGGCCCGGCAGCGGGAGGAGGTCGAACGAGCGTACAAGTCGATGTATGGAAACGTAAGTGGGATTCCCTGGAGCAAGCCGCACCAGAGCTGAAGTTTCCCCACTCCTCCAGTCCTCCTTGGTGGCAAGATGTTAAGTACCTCGCCTGGTATGCAGGAGGTCGTGGGTTTGATCCCGACCCTGATGCCTGCTGTATATTAGGAGTTTGCATGTTGATCTCCCTGTCGTCGTGTGGATTTTGCTCCGGGTCCTCCGGTTTTTCCCCCTCCACATTTAGAATCATGCATTTTAGAGTATTTGGCTGCAATAAATGTCCACATGATAAGCCATTTCGTTGGCCAGGTCGCTTCTGAAAAAAAAAGCTTCATAGCTCAGTGGGCCTCGCCTGCTAAAATCTAAATAGTTTAGTTTGTGGGTTATCTCATGGAAGGCTGTAACACATGGAGCTGCCTTTCCCGACACACACCATTAGGCTTAGAGAGCGCCTGTACGCCGACAGTCGTCAGCCTCAACCACAGTCCAGTAGTGTTTCTTGTTTTCGTGAATGGAAAATCACCGCCGTCAACGGGAGGGGGTGCAGTGGGGGTGCCGGATGACCTTTGACCCGGAGAGCAAGGAGCAGCAGCGTACGAGTTTACCAGGCACTGGCGCATTGCGCAGCAGCAGCAGCACAATCTCCCAAGCCTAGGCTCGCTGTGTATACACAGATTAAACGGGCGATAACAGATCGTCGTGACCGGCCCTAGACGTCCTTTGCTTAGGTAAATGAAACGAGGCAAAGTTTATGTTTTGAGCGTTGGTGATCCTGAAGCTGTGGGGATAAATTTGCATTCTGTGTTCTGTCCATAGACAGTGGGCTTTTCCTGGTAGAATAAAAAATAAAAAGTTAAGTTTTCGCCTACTTCAGCATTTTCCTGCTGTGGTTGTTCCACCTGATGAAGATTGCTTGTGTTGCGATCGAAACGCGGTGATTTGTTTTATTTTCCTTTATTTCTACCTACGTGACTTTACCGAAAGAACCAAAGAATAAGTTTTGGTATATTTGTCATTTTTTTGTGGCTTGCTCACCTTTCCTGTACTTTGCACTCCTATCGTATTTATGTATTGTCTGTTGTTGTGACGTTCTGACCCGCCCCTATTGGACATCTGTGAAAGAGAGCTTCATAGCTCATCGGATTTCTCCCGGATAAATATTCTGATTCCGACGTGTTTGCACTGAATTCGGCGGCGAGCTTCGCCTGTCCATACGCCCTTGTCGAACATCGTCTAGCATCGTCATTATTTTCCTTCCCTCAATCATCTCTTTCAGCTCATTCCCTCTGACTACCGCACATCCACTCACCTCCATCAACTCATTCCCTCTCACTACGCGGCCGAACCTTGGATTATCATGGCCAGGACGAGTAGACGTACCGTGCATATGTTTGTACTTTTTTTTATTCGTGAAAAATTCCGGGCCTTCACGCCGGCAAGCACGGGCTTCTTTTTTCGAGCAATGTCGCGGGATCTCGCTCGCGACGATGCAGAGGAGACGATGCTCATCGTGCGTTCGTGGTGAATATACCCGGGCAGCGTCCACCACAGCCGGCAGCGAGCGGCTCGCGGTCGGCAGGTTTGCGATTTCAACTCGTGTTTGAAAGTTGACCGAGCCGATCGTCCCTCTGGGGTAAGTGAAACTAGCGCCACATTGTTGGGGGGAAATCGACAGCGGTTGTCCTACGGATAGACTCACCCCCCGCCATTGGAACTTGAAAGTTTTTACAAAAAAATGCCTCGGGGCCACGAACGGGCTATGAGCGACTTTATGAATGCTCGATGCCTTGACCGTTAAAACTATCAAACTATTATTGTTTATTTTACCAGGTAAGGCCCACTGAGCTACGATATAGCTCTTTTTCAGAAGCGACCTGGCCACAAATGATAGCTTAGCGAAGTGGCCCATCACGTGAAAATTTATAGCAGCAAAATACTATAAACGCGTGATGTTGATTCTAAATGTGTGGAGGGAAAAAAACAGAGGATCCGGAGAAAAATACACGTGACCACGGGGAGAGAGACACGCAAACTCCAAATATACAGCAGGCGTCATGGTCCGGATGAAACCCACGACCTCCTGCATACCAGGCGAGGAAGTTAACATCTGGCCACCGCGGTTCCCCATTAACCAGCACAGCTGCGGGGAGGGGAGGGGAGAAGGGGTGGGGAGGGCCGAGGGCAAACCTCAGCAACACGCGGAAACACGCAGCGCTTCCCATCCACGTCTCGGCGTGACGTATGTATGCTGAGCTTTGTATATGTATGAATGTATGAAACTTCTTTCGCATCCGTAAGTAGCCAACAGTGCTAATCGGATGTGCGGGGGAAGTGACTATGTGCGCTTGTATGCGCGTGTGCCCCGCAGGACCTGGTGGACGTGCTAAAGGGCGAGCTGCGCGGCGAGCTGGAGACCGTGGTGGTGGCGCTGATGGACCGGCCGTGCGTGTACGACGCCAAGCTCCTACGCGGCGCAATGCGGGGCATCGGCACGGACGAGTCGCTGCTCGTCGAGATCCTGTGCACGCGGCAGAACGCGGTGAGACGCTCGCGGCCCCCGCGCTGATCGGCCTGGCGAAGTATGGCCAGACAGCTTCCATGGCTGAAATGACCTGGAGGAGGCCTTCATCCAGTGGTGGAATGATGAGAGTGCTGTAGCCTGCTAATTAACCCTTTCCCAAACTGATGACGTGCATGTACGTCACCGCAGAATCTCGTAACGCGCGTTCCGAGATTCAGCGGTGAACGGGATCCATCCTCTAACTTGCAGTTGAGCAACAAGGAATAATTAAAGAACGTGTTCAGGATCGCAGCAACCAATCATAGCGATGAATTACGTGACTATAAACCACTGAGCAGATCGACGCTTGACAGTAGAGTCTGTCTCAGCTGTGAGCAACCAGTTGCGCAACTGCTCGCAACCGATTGCAGAGACATCCAGGTATGAGCAATTCGGTTGCACACAACGACGTTGCGCAATCATGGTATCGCTGATGAGAATACAATAAAAATGAAGCTACAGAAACATTAAGCAGATATAGGGTGACTCTTGTACCAATATGTAAGCAGACAAGGGCGTATGTCAAATGCAATTGCAAGTGCGGTTATTGTAAAGAACCAATATTGAAGATATAAAAAATCGGCACATTTTTTTTTATAATTTGAACATATTTTTTGCGTTGTTATTTTAACTGTGTTTACTGTGATTTAAAGCTTTCGTGACTGCAGGGATTCATGTTCTTGTGTTTAATGTGTTAAGAATGTGTTTAAGAATTAAAGTACCGTAATTCAAGTTTGTATCACTTTCACGAACTGCACCTATTAAAATTAAACTGCCTGATTATAATGCCCTAACCCATGCTCATCCTGTGTTCTGCAGAATATCAACGCAATACGCTTGTCTTACAATGAGAGTAAGTAAGAATTTAGATTTTTATTTATTTGGTGATTAAATTCCCCAGTGTCACATCTCAGTCACTCCAATCTTAAGCCTAGGGGACCCCCTGGTGGCAGCTGGCCCTGTGCGTCACAAGGTGACGCTGCACCGGGCTGCGAGTGGGCATTAATCCGCCAGTTGTTCATTTGTGACAAGTACGTTGTGTGTAATGAGTGCGACCTTCCAATGTATGGGCTCGGTAACCGGAAGCCAACGCAGCTCAGCGAGCACTGGACGGACCACGGTCGGATCTTCCAGTACCCGTCAACCACACGTGCCAACATTTTTTTGTACGCGCTGCAGCTTGGTAATGTTTTTTGCCAGACGTCCCGTAAAGTAGCGAGTTGCATATTCGAGCCTTATCGATGCTATGCCAGGCGCCGCCGTGTTGGCAACGTCACGACTCATTCGTGGTCGAATGTGTCGTAGAGCCCTGATATGAAATCGCAGGACCTGGCTTTATTTCGCACGCGGTGACCTGATTTGTTCGAGCACTGACGCCCGCCCGCCAGTAGGGGGTTCCTAAGTGCCATGAAGTTGGGCTGGGGAAGAAGGGGGTTCTGGGACTGTGGTTTGGATAAGGGGGGGGGCGGGCGAAGGAGTGGGGGGGGGGGGCTGCCGTACTAGAGAGAGACGCCGCGTGTTGGTGTGGAGGTCACTGATGGACAACGTCGCTGACCCTTTGCAGTTTTTGACCGAGACTTAGAGTCGGACTTGTCGAGCGAGACGAGCGGAGACCTCAAGAATCTTCTCGTGGCACTCGTGCAGGTACAGTTACAGTCCCACTCCTGCTATCTGTGTCTCTGAATCATCCGGCGCAAAATCATATTTTCCACATGGCAGATCTTCCTATTATCCGCCGCATTTGCAGGGTATTGGCAAAATTATTATTTTGTCTGATCCTTTGCAACCATAATGCAATAACAATGCAGGCGCTGGGTGGATTGTTGTCATCGCAGGATCGTTAGAGGTACCGGCAGCTTGAGGAGGCCTTCATCCGGCAGTGGTCTGACTATAGCTGATGATGATCATGATAATGATGAGTGATTGTGATGATGACTGTTGATGGTGGTGGTGATGATGGGAATAATAAATGATAATTGATTCACTATGATAATGTTAATGATAAGCAATTAAATTGATTGCTTGATGAGGTATGTGTGTTGAAATTCTTTTGCACAGTGCGTAACCCATCGTGGCAATCGGAGGTGTGATGATAGTAATAATGATACCGATGAATGAATGGCGATGACGATAATTGATGGAAGATAATTACGACGATGATGAAGATGACGAAACTCCTCATGTCTGCCGCAGGGAGATCGAGACTCGGAGTCGGACATCGATGAAGATCAGGCGGAGGAGGATGCGCGGGAACTGCATGAAGTACGCCTGACAGCCCCGCGTTCTACGGAGGGTGGCAACGTGGCCTCGCGTTCCGGGTTCACGGGTCAAAACCCGGTTAAACCTTTCCCATTCCGATGACGTGTATGTCATCAGTTTTTCTTCTGATTCCATTCCGATGACGTACGTTCCGATGACATGCGTGCGTCATCAGAATGGAATCGGCAGAAAAAATAAAATCACTTTATTGGGACGTCTTCAGGCGTGTGGCACAGTTTGGCTACAGTTCACCGATGACGTACGCGTGTCATCACCTCTCCTTCTGATTCTGTTCTGATGACGTACGTTCCGTTGACATGCGTACGTCATCAGAATGGAGCCGACGGGAAAAAAAATTATAATAATAAAATAAATGTATCGGTACATCTTCAGGTCATGCGGGAGGGCGTGTGGCACAGTTTGGCGCGCGGCTATCGTCGAGTGCGGTGGTCGTCTCGCTACAGTTGTCTGTGGTGAGCGCAACGTCTTTAAAAACAGCGGCGCCACGCCTCTCTTAATTAAAATTTACGCCGAGCCGCTTGCGCGTCCCTGAGATTCGGCGGTGAGAGGGACCCCCACCCTGCAACTTGCAGATCTCTCGCAACGGGAAAGGGTGAACACCGCCGTGGGTGGATCAAACCACAGCAACGACCCGCGGCGTCCCCTTCACGGTGGACGTCACAGATCCCGTGACGTCATTCGCAAGAGAGGGGGGGGGTGGGGGGGGTTGGGCCTTGCGTTGCCGACGTCACGTTCCAGATTTGCCAAAATGATGTCAGGTCGAGTCAGAATTATACTTTCCCTTCCGCACGCGGTGGCATCGCAAATAGCGGCAATCATCGCCCCCTCACCCCCCCAATACTTCACAGGTGCCTCCTTAAAAGGAGTCTTGAGACTCAGAGAGGAGGCTTTTCCGGGTAAACAAGCATAGTAGTAATAATTATAGTAATATACAGCAGAACTCCTCTTATCCGCGACTCTATTACCCCCAACTCCAATTATCCGTGGCAGCTGGAAATTCCGCGAAATCTCATGTTTCCCTCAGCCCTGCGTTTAGCACGGTTGGCTACGTACGGTGCGAAAGAAGTTCAACATACAGATAACCATAACCCTCCAACTTTCTGTCATGATCCACAGTTTTTTGACCCGGCGGATAAGTGGAGTAAGGATCTGCAATATCGCTCCCCTTATCCATCACCACGGATAAGGGGAGCGCTCTGCGCTCCTGTGTTTAAGCAGACTACACTCGAGCAAACAGCTCAACAATGCCTCAATTCAACAAGTCACATCCCAAAACACAAGCAACTCTCATCTTGGAGATGAACAATGCTTTGCGTTGCCAGTGGTCTGCATGCACATTCGTCAATAACACTGCCCTAAAGAAGGAATATAACATTTAAAATATATATAGTGTACCAGCTTTGCTCCCCGGCTTCGCCCGAGACTTGGATTCTTGCCGTGGATTAAGACACGGCCTATGTGGAGGGTGGGGGGGGGGGGGATGCGTGACGTCAGCAGGCACACTCCGTGACGCTGCCACATGCGGGTGACATCAGAGATGTGACGTCACCGCTCACTTGCCGTGCAATATATTATATCCATTATTGCACTTCCCCCCACCCCCCAAAATAAAAAAAGTCTATTTTTATACGTTTTGCATTGTGTGGAGTCTGGAAGCTACCCACGTGCCAAATTTCAAGTTAGTTGCATGTTCGGAAGCATGCAAAATATTTCGAACAGACACACATTCACAAATTTCCCTTTTATATATATAGGTAAATATTAAGTGAGAAATTAATATCCTAATATAGTTAAGCCCAAAAATGTCGAATTTATTGAGATTCCACATTCGTATGATGGGGGAAAGTCTGTCCAGAGGACAACCGCTGGTGACTTTCCCAGTGGTGCACACTTTATCGACCCCAGTAGAGATGATGGACCGAGTCAACCCCCTTAACCAGGATGTGAACTCGCAGCCTTTCCGATGGCGAGTCGCTCGCTCTAGCGCTGAGCCAGCCGGCTGTAGCGTGAAGTAAAGAAGATGAATTGCGCTTGGAAATGTTAAACTTACTGCAGTCACTCGCCTCCTTATCACTCTGCTATCGCTACTACTACTGTGTATGTGTGCGTGCGCATGGGAAACGGTGATGTTGCAGTTAGCAGGCCCGAGTCCAATTCCCGCTGACGGCCAAAATCAGCGACGATTATCTGAACTGGTTCCTGGGCCTCCCCTAGGTCGACTCAGCCTCAAATAAGTACCTGGTGCGGTGTGTAAACATCGCTACCGGTACTGGCCACCCCATGTGCGCCGTGCCGGCCATCATTGGCGCTACTCACGTATAGCACTTACCCCACCAGTCTGTCCCATTTCCATTTTTCCATTTATTTGGTATAGCCCTGTGAGCCATTCGGCTCTTGAATCGGGTGCAACCGCAACAAAAAAAAATATGAACAAGAAAAACATCTTAAAGTGATTATGTGACTGTGCAAACAGAAAATCCAGGAAAAAAGCATCAAAAATATTCCTGAAATAGCACCATACACCAACGCTGTGTGCAAAAATCCCAGTGGGATGCAAGTCAAACAACAACAACCACAAGACAACTAAGATTAAGGCCATCAGTCTAACTCTGTACTACAATAAACAAAAACATGGCCAAACCAAAAAAAACGTTTTCGAAATCACCAAAATAAAAGCCATAAATGCAATGTAACAGTGATCATAGGGACTGTGACCGAATTTTTTACAATAAACTATATAAATAACATGTAACACCAAACCCTAGAGCCATATTTTAGGCCACTGAATAGCAGTGGCAGCTAGGGGTGTACAACTCCTCTAGAGCAGTTTTGAGTGAAGATCTCATAGGTAGTGATTCAAGTTGCAGTTTATTGGCAATAGCATTCCAGACGCTGGGGGCATCAATAGCAAAGGCCTTTCCTCCGGTTTTTGTACGGCAATAGGGAATTATGAAGCTGGTAAATGACCGAAGACTTGAGGTCAAATTTGTTCTTTGAAACAGAGGAGATCCAGCAGGTAGTCTGCGGATTTTTTTGTAAGTACATCTTGAATAAATAAGATCTGGTGCACAAGCCGTCGAACATTAAGAGACGTTAAGTTTGACCCAATGTAGAGATCACAGTGGTGAGTCCTATATGGGCAGTTCAATGCAAACCTTAAGGCCGAGTGATAGATGGAATCAAGCTTCTTCAGTGCAGTACTTGGGGCTGATTTATACACGATGTCACAGTAGTCAAGCAGAGGCTCTACGGGGGGACCTTTTGCCTTTGTGCGATGACAGGCCGGCGAGGGCAAGTGGGGCACGGATGAGTTCGTGTTCAACGCGGTGCTCGCCAAGCGAAACTACATGCAGCTGCGAGCCACGTTCTGCGCGTACGAAATCGTGAGTCTCAATTCCTACGGACAAGCTCCACTCCAATCGCCTCCTCGTCTCTCTTCCATCGATGCTATACCACGGTCGCCGAGTAGCTCGCTCACCGGCGGTCAGTCTCTTCCTTGTCACGCTGCTATTGCTACCACGTCACTCGCCAACTCCACCAGCCGCGTTGAGGACTCGGTCAACCAGACTCACCGTTTCGTCTCAATCGCACCGTGTTCAACCGCCACCACGCTGCAGGTCACCACGAGACACTCACTCACCCACTAGCCCGCTCACCACATTGCAGGTCACAATTACACACCCATCCACCAACTCACCACCCTGCAGGTCACAACTACACACCTACCCACCCACTCACCCGCTCAACACGCTGCAGGATACCACTAGACACTCACTCACCCACTCACCCACTAGCCCACTCACCACACTGCAGGTCACAACTGCACACCCACCCACCCGCTCACCCGCTCAACACACTACAGGTCACAACAACTCACTCACCACACTGCAGGTCACAACAACTCACTCACCACACTGCAGGTCACAACAACTCACTCACCACACTGCAGGTCACAACAACTAACTCACCACACTGCAGGTCACAACAACACACTCACCCACCCACTCACCACACTGCAGGTCACAACAACTCACTCACCACACTGCAGGTCACAACTAGACACTCACTCACCCACCCACTCACCACACTGCAGGTCACAACAACACACTCACCCACCCACTCACCACACTGCAGGTCACAACAAGACACTCACCCACCCACTCACCACACTGCAGGTCACAACTAGACACTCACTCACCCACCCACTCACCACACTGCAGGTCACAACTAGACACCCACTCACCACACTGCAGGTCACAACTAGACACCCACTCACCACACTGCAGGTCACAACAACACACTCACTCATCCACCCACTCACCACACTGCAGGTCACAACTAGAAACTCACTCACCCACCCACTCACCACACTGCAGGTCACAACTAGACACTCACTCACCCACCCACTCACCACACTGCAGGTCACAACTAGACACCCACTCACCACACTGCAGGTCACAACTAGACACCCACTCACCACACTGCAGGTCACAACTAGACACCCACTCACCACACTGCAGGTCACAACAACACACTCACTCACCCACCCACTCACCACACTGCAGGTCACAACTAGACACTCACCACACTGCAGGTCACAACTAGACACTCACTCACCCACCCACTCACCACACTGCTTCTTTCCTAGCACTGCTCCACTTTGGAATCCCCTCCCATCGTCTCATTTCCCAAGTTATTATAATAACCCTGCTGAATTCAGGAAAATAATATTTAACTCTTACCCATTACTACCGTTAACTATAACACAATACATTAGCCAATAACACATTACAACGTTAATCGTGCTATTTGTTGCTGGCCACTTGGCGTTTTGTGCTTTTTTTCGGGGGGGGGGGTTATGCTTAGCTACCCCGATTTAAAAAATAAATCACCCACGACAGTCCCCTCTCTCTCATCACATGTCTGACGCTCAGTGACGTCGAGCCTGTGCCGTGCCGGGTTGGGAGACGACCCCAGCCATTACCAGGCGCCTGTTGTGGCCTTGCTTTGCGGCCAGGAGATGGCAGCACAGCAGTTGATTCTCGAATGGCCAATGGCAGAATTATTGTTATTTTTACCAGGTAAGGTCAACTGAGCTATGTAGCTCTCTGTCAGAAGCGACCTGGCCACAAATGATAGCTCAACGAAGTGGCTTACCACGCGGAAATTGATAGAGGCCGAATACTCCAAACGCATGTTTCTAAGCATGCCTATCAGTGGAGGGAGCGACCGGGTAGGATGGCACATCGAAGTTACTAATCAACGATTGAGTAGCATCCTGTAGGCCACTGGCGTGTCACTACCCAGGTACACTGCAGCCTACACCTGATCACCACCACACATGGAGTTCGGGCTCAGAGCGACATCTCAAAACACGAGGGGCTCTGGAAGCCGCCACAGTCCCGCCGCTTTGTGTAACTTCATTCAAGAGCGGAAGCGGGTGGATCTCTTGACAATTCTGGCAAAATTGCTCGGTGATGGCTGGATGTAATTAGGGGCCGTCCATAAATGACGTCACACACCTGGGGGGGGGGGGGTCAGACATTTGTGACGGTGTGACGAGGGGGGGGGGGGCTTGAGAGATGTGATGACATCACATCAAAATGCGAAACTTGAAATAAATATAGACAACACGTTATACTTAATTAAATAGACTTTTTAATAAATGTTTTCTCCTACAACATCAGAGTGCAGCGCCAAATTAAATATGCACTACAATGACAATAGTATAAAGCGATTTGAAGCATGTTTTATATATTTTTTGGGGGGGTGGCAGAGCTTTGTGACGTCATATTTGAGGGGGGATCTGACTTTTGGTGACGCCGTGATGACGGGAGGGGGTCAAAAATCGTCCAAAATCGCGTGACGTCATTTATGGACGGCGCCTTACCAGCGAAACGTCACGGCGCTCAAATTGTAAAGGTCGTGAATTTACTCTCCAACACGCCGGTGGGCTGAAGTGGTAACTAATTGGCGCGTTTTGTTTACGTGACAAACCTTACCGGTTGGCTGTGTCGGTTGGTGGCGGGTTACGACACGTTTATACTGACGCGATCTAAACCAAAAACCTTTATTATGAATAATATTGGTCGCGAAAGCACTACGTGTCAGATTCATTCAGAGATTTAACAATTTCACGATGCCCGCAGAACGGGTGGTGCTGTTTTAAATTGTTACCTGAAATATGCAAAACTTCCTCCGGGCAATAACTGGTGCAGAGTGGCGGGGTGGGTTGTACCCTCGCAAAATTAAACAGCTGCTTTCCAAAGAACGGTCTGGCATAAGCCACGGTGAGGAAGCGTGTTTCGCGTGGCGATGATAAAAGGGAACCGTGATTGTCGAACGTTAAGCGGTCAGACGAACTGCGTGTGCATCCTTGTAGCGTGTGCTGTATAAAAAAAAAAAAAAAAAAACTATTCAACTATATATTTATTTTACCAAGTAAGGCCCAGTTGAGTTACATAGTTCTTTTTCAGAAGCGACCTGGCCACGAATGATAGCTGAAACAAAGTGGCTTATCATTACGTGTAAATGTATTGCAGGCGAATACTTTAAATGCACGTTTCTAAATGTGGAGGGAAAGCCCGAAGGACCTCGAGAAAATGGCACGCAAACCTCCAAATATACAGGCGTCAGCCAGGATCGAACCCACGACCTCCTGCATATCAGGCGACGAGGTAGTCAACATCTTGTGTGTGTGTGGCGCAAGGCTGCCTCTAAACGAACGGCCGTCTCTTCCCTGCTGTCCTCTTCCTCCATGTGCGAGCAGCTCCATGGCAGCGACATCGAGGAGGTCATCAAGAGCGAGGCATCAGGAATCCTACAGGAGGCTTATCTGACAATTGGTACGTACGCACGCGTCTGTGTATGCATGCACGGTATGCACTTCACACAGCCACCACATTCGTGACTTGCACAGTAGGTCACGAGTGAGCGAATTATCTCATTTTTTTTCTTCCCTAGAATGGTCTAGAAAGCTGAAAAATTAGCACAAGTATATTTTTTATTAGCTCGATTTTAATCACGTTTGCAGAGTGGTTGAGTTGCTGTGACCTGCAGTGTGGTAAGTGGTTGAGTCGTTGGGCACTGGAGTGTGGTGAGTGGTGATTGGTTGAGTTGTTGGGCGCTGCAGTGTGGTGAGTGGTTGAGTGGCTGCGACCTGCAGTGTGGTGATTGGTTGAGTTGTTGGGCCCTGCAGTGTGGCGAGCGGATGAGTGGCTGCGACCTGCAGTCTGGTGATTGGTTGAGTTGTTGGGCCCTGCAGTGTGGCGAGTGGTTGAGTGCCTGTGACCTGCAGTCTGGTGATTGGTTGAGTTGTTGGGCCCTGCAGTGTGGCGAGCGGTTGAGTGCCTGTGACCTGCAGTGTGGTGATTGGTTGAGTTGTTGGGCCCTATAGTGTGGCGAGCGGTTGAGTGCCTGTGACCTGCAGTCTGGTGATTGGTTGAGTTGTTGGGCCCTGCAGTGTGGCGAGCGGTTGAGTGGCTGCGACCTGCAGTCTGGTGATTGGTTGAGTTGTTGGGCCCTGCAGTGTGGCTAGAGATTGAGTAGCTGCAACCTGCAGTGTGGTAGTCAAACACAGCAGCACACTCACTTGTGAGCTATGGGCACCGCGAGACGCGAGCGTAGCGTTGGCGACCGTAACGTAAACGGGCGCCCTGGTTCCCGTGTCCAACTGTGGTCCCGGCAGTTCGTTGAGTTGTTGGGCCCTGCAGTGTGGCGAGCGGTTGATTGGCTGCAACCTGCAGTGTGGTGGTCGAACACAGCAGCACACTCACTTGAGAGCTATGGGCACCGCGAGACGCGAGCGTGGCGTTGGCGACCGTGACGTGAACGGGCGCCCTGGTTCCCATGTCCAACTGTGGTCCCGGCAGTTCGCTGCGCTAAGGACGCTCAGGCCTACTTTGCAGAAAAGATCTACCGGTCCATGAAGGGCGCCGGCACCGACGACGACACTCTCATCCGCATCATCGTCAGCCGGGCTGAGGTAGGGTGGCCTCGTGGGGGAAGCGGGGAGGTGGGGGGGGGGTGTCTGGGTAGAGGCACGATTCTGGTCTGGAACAGGTCCGGATAGTGTGTGCCACCTCTTGAGTTCCAAAAGAAACCAATTACATACCTAAAGTCGGGTCCACACCTTTGGAATCAGCTGCTGAACTAAATCGTGCAATATAAATTGCCTGTAACTGCTTTGCACAAAGGAATTAGACAACGCATTATCCTGGATCGTAACGACCAATGACAGTTTGCAAATGCGTCACATGGTGGTGACATACATCGCTACAAATCGTCTAGGTCAGGGGTGGGGAACGTCCAGCCCGTGGGCCGTATAAGGCCCGCAAAATCATCTGGTGTGGCCCTGCCAAGGCAACCGCAGGCGGGACTTGAAATCAATAAATCTAGGAGCAAACCTGGAAAAGCAGTTGCGAGTAGCAACATCATCAATACCAGCTAACATCATCACACGCCTCGCCAAAGAGAAGCAGTTCCAGCCATCACATCAGGGGTGAGTTAATTCAATGTTTGACCAAATCTAACAGGATCATTTTTAAGTTGATAATTTTGTATGGCCCGCGAATGATGTTATAAATATCCAAATGGCCCTTGGCAGAAAAAAGGTTCCCCACCCCTGGTCTAGGTGATCGACGCTTGAAAGTTCGCAACCGGTTGTGCAACTGCTTGCAACCGGTCGCGCAACTGCTCATGCAACCGGTCGCCTAGACCCTGCGCAAACCGATGGCTTGGGTGTGAACCCGGTTCAGCGGCGAATTTCCACCAAATATCTGACGGGCAGGAACGTTCGGCAACAGAGCAAGATTCTGGATGGGGGCGGCCTGACTGCACCTGCATGCTGCCGCGTCATGTGCACTCAGGTGGACCTGGGGACCATCCGGGAGAAGTTCAACAACGAGTACGGGACTCCGCTCGGAGAGTGGATCGATGGCGAGTGCGGCGGGGACTACAAGAAGATTCTCCTGGCTCTCCTCCGCTAGGGCCGCCGTGGTGGTATGCAGGTCGTGGGTTCGATCGCAATGCCTGTATGCTTGGAGTTTGCATGTTTCCCTCCCTCTGTCGCGTGGATTTTTCTCCGGCTTTTAACTATTTGACAGCTATAAAGCTGCAGCCAGAACCTATCCCTGTCAGCAACCTCCTTGTGATCTCCGGGTGAAAGGTGCTTTATAAGTATAAATTATGATGATTTTTGAGGCTATTTGTTCTGCCCCAACGTGTTGCTGCCCCTCCCCCCACCATCTGCTTGGCGGTGGAGGTCGGCGACGTGGGGGGGGGATAGCCCCCTTTTCTCCCAACCCCCCCCCCCCCCCCCACTTTGGCACTGCCCAAGCCAGGAGCCAAGGATGTTCAATGTTTATCGCGACGTGTTCACGATGCATGCTGGCATCCTCTGTTGGTGTTGGTGACGTGGTCCGGTGTGTAATCAACTGTTAATTCAGAAAGGCATGCGACTTCCAATGTGAAAACTGGGTGAAGTAAAAATTGCGTATAACGTCGATGGTATGGATGGAGGTGTGCTCTTTCGTTTGTTTTGTTACGCGAAATATCCTTTGGATCACACCGAGAGACAGAAAGGGGAGAGCGTGGATTGTAGAACGCACGCCAGGTTCAATGGCATCGTCCAGAATGTAAAGGAGACCGAGAGGGCTTGGGCGGGACGCGTCATGGCTGGAAGGGACGGTGACCGACCTGGGCGGGAATACTAACGGAGTGGCGGCCAGCAGAATTGAACGCATCCGAGAGAGGGTCATCCACCGTGGAGATGGAGCGATGAAAAACACGTTCGCTGGTGCTGGGTGGATCACCAACATCACAGTATCGCGGGAGGTGGTGGCGGCGGCGGCAGTGGATTGACCATGGCTGCTGATGATTATGATGAAACATCTCAAGTGAACATTGCCCCTTTTGCACGGCTTTAAACGGCAAACCCAGTGTGACCCGAGGTGTTTCGTTCCCGATAGGATTCCAAAATATGGCACAGAAACCCTCACTGCAGAGGTTCACAATCTCCTCTGCAGGGTGGTGTGGCGGCGCAGTGGTTAGCGCACTGAAGCCTGCGACCCGAGTTCAGTGTATTGCCACGGCTATGAGATCAGCGGCGAGTGATATCGGAGCTGGTCCTGCCGGATGTATGTTAAAATGATTTCGCACCGTACGTATCCAACCGTGCTAATCCGGACTACACCTGCAACACTTTCTAAGCACACTCTATTCCAAACGTCAAGGTTGCTTACCCCTATCCCCCCCCCCCCCCATGGTAAAACAAGAGGCACTGGGAATGCAAATTGTGGTCAAGGACATATATATTATATGGGCTTAACATATACAGAATGTAATACATACAGTACATACACATAAATGTTTAACAGCTCCATAACATTACCATACATCGACTAGAAGGTAAACCCAAAGCTTACAAAAACGTCTCTCCGATCGCCTAAGCACAGGACGGGGGAGACCGGGGGGGGGGGGGGGGGTTATGTGTAGAATGCTACCACAAAGCACAGAACACAGCAGCAGACTATAAACCAGAGGGTTGCCAGTTCGGCTTTGACCTGGACACAGCACGGGAATTGGCATTGTGTTCGTGTGGCAGCACGAATAGACCGGTACCGAGATCTGGTACCGGGTATGGCTGCGTTGTTGACCGTCAATGCAGGAGACTTTGCACAGGTTTCAGAATAGACCCGGATACCTGGTGCCTCGTGCCCGCTTGGAAATACGTGCGGGTTTGCGAGCAACAGGTTGGCAAGCAGCCCTCCGGTAGAACCGTCGCTTAAATGACGTGCCCCGGCCGTCCGTCACGCTGCTGCCACCGCCGCCGAACGCGGCCGCCGCTGGGAAGGTGTCCAGAGTTCTGGGACCCGACGCTCAGCAAATTGCCCGACGCCGCTCGTTAGCGACCAAAACAAGAGTCCTGCCGTGGTGGGGCCCCTCATTTGGGCGAGGGCCCCACAGCGAATTGCCAATTACTTCGGCGCTGGCTCGAAGCCGGAATGCGTACGGAGCAAAATCCCCACTTTGCTGCTGCCGCCACTCGAGCGCGGGATGATGACACGACACACGACTACCCACCCCCCCCCCCCGGCTCCCCTTCCGTGGCAGCATGCCCATCGTCGCGCAGCGAACGCCCGTCGCGCGCTTTAGGGTTCAGCGAGCTCGCCTCTTCGAACCTCGCCAACATACATCTGGAGATCGGCGTTCTTCACTAATTTTCAGAGGTGGGTGGGGGGATAGGGCCCACTTTCGCCGATAAGACATCAGCGTTGAGAGGCAACCACACCGCTCGCAAGGGGTGCGTTCACATGTTGTGTAGTCGGGGGGGGGGGGCACTAAAGGCCACCAGGGGCCGCCAGTGGCCTGCGGGCCTTGCATTGAGGAACACACCGAGCTAGAAAGTAAAGGTGCAGCACTGCAACCGCTTGCTTGTCCACTGCTGGCAGACGAGCCTCGATTTGAGGCTCCGGAAGTGCCTCTCTCCCTCGAGAGAGGGAAATTTGTGAAATTTGTCCTCCCCTTCCGTGCCGGCCAGACGTTCTTGAAGAGGCGAGAGTGTGCCCACACTGGGTGGACTGAGGCAGTGGTGGGGATTTTAAAAATTGACGCGCCTCGAAATGCAAATCAAACCGGCGACCTCTGAATTGCAAGTGTCGGGTGTGCTGAACGTTACACCACGGCAACATCCACTTGGAAATGTATTGTGCGTCTCTTCCCCCCCCCCCCCCCCCCCGTATTCATCATCATTAACCAAGCCCAGCAAAGTAATGTTTCGTGATCGTGGGCACCTGTCTCGCCTCTCCTTAGCTCCTCACCGTCGGGAAGGGGGGGGGGGGGGCAGCTTGACTGCTCACGAGTGGTCAAACATCCCAAAGCAGGAGGACCCTCGTGAAAATCTGTCGAGACTCGGCGAGAGTTCGTTGGAAAACTAAAGGGAATTCAACTCTTCCCGTGAAATCCCACGGTTCACTCCCTCACCTCCCTCCCTGCAGCTCATCATCTCTACGATACAGAAAAACGTGAAATTCGGCACTTAATTTCAGCCAGAACAGTCTGCGAGGCGGATCTGGAAATTATTTTGGCACGCCACATCCTCACAATTTTTATAATCATGTTGATACGATTATACGAATTTAGGGGACAATAGTTTATTATTGATAGGCATACCTCGTATGCGAGTGTTGGTGCCTTCGGGCGAAAATTCCCAACTCCAGGCCAGCCTAGCTTCGTCCTCCAAGTGTCGATCTGCTCAGCGATTTGTAGCGGCGCATTTCCTCACCGTGCGACGCGTTCGCGAATCGCGATCGGCTGGTTACAGCGCCGCACACGCCGGTTCATTTCCTCGCTGCGCAACTATTCGTCCAGACGCGGACAACAGCGGTTGCGCGGGGGGGGGGGGGGCGATTGCGTTGCACAAACCGAGCGCCGAGGTGAGGGAAGTCTCGGCCAAAATCGGGAATCTTCGCAGAGCCAGAGCCGACCAATCAGAAACCATAAACGCGGGGTGGGTAAATCCAAGCTGCGAACAAGCCTTCCGATCAGGTGTCTGGAACAAACAAAAAATGGACCCCGAACAGTCTTTGCACGTCGTACTGCTCGGTAGCTACGTTACCGTCGAAACAAAAAATACAAAAGTACCCCTTGAGTGACGAATGAAATGCTGCGAACGTGTGCTGAAGACACGGGGCCGGGCTTTAACTGCCCGCGTAGGTGACGCCGCCTCTTCACAAGGTGCGTACACAGGGAGCTTATTTCCAGAAATGAAAGTTTCAATTTTATAGAAAAATATCACTGGATGAGCATGTCGAGGTGTGTGTGTGTGTGTGCGTGCACGTGTCCATGTTTACGAGCTAAAAGGGGTTTCAATTACAGCCACAGCAGTTCGGAATGCCGTTCCGGGAATTCTTTCAGCAGAGCACTTCCATCGCGCCGTAGTATACACCCGAAACCTGTTCATAGGATTATAGGACTATAGGGTACAATCATAATAATAGATTACTTATGGCTAAGTGTACCATGTACAGGTTTCCCATGCTCTATGCGGGTTCGGTTTGTGCGATTTTGCGCTGTACATGCGGCCAACCTATTTCTACCCAAAATTCGCGATACGTGGTTTTAATTCAAGCATACGCGACTATACGGTCGGACGAATCGCCGCAAGAAAGCCGTCCCCCCGTGCAGTTTTGCTTTCTGTGCCCTGTTTTTTTTTGGAATGCATCTGCTACTGCACAAAGCGAGGGAAACCTGTAACTCTAGCGGTAGTGCCTAACACCGATAGTTCCTACTCCAAGCCAGCCTACCAGTGCTGGAGATCCTAATTGGTGAAAAAGAATTCAAGCCACCGACTGGCCACGAATCCGAACACCTGTGTTGGAGTTTGCAAGCAATACCTGTCAATGATTCTGGCCTCAAAACAAAATGACACCGGGTAAGGCCCCGTGTTTTAGGGGCAATGTACAAAGTCATATTAAACTGCGAAGCATATAACCACGCGTGCAACACGAGTTAGCATACGTGTTATGCCGTCGGCCCCTGCCCCCAGCCTCCCACCATAGCCCCCCAAAATGTAATGCGTTGGTGCTGCCAATGCTAGCGAGCGCGCGTTATGTGTGCGTGTGCGTGCGTGTACTGGTGTGGGGAGCGGTGGTGTAGCGGTTAGCACAATGCGCTACAAACCCGGCGACCCAAGTTCGATTCCCACTCACGGTCGACACCAGTGACGATTATCTGAACCGGCCCTGGGCCTCCCCTAGGTCGACTCAAGCCTCAAATGAGTACCTGGTGCGGTGTGAAAACATCGCCACTGGGGAGACAAAGGCGGCTGGGCCTGGTGCTGGCCACCCAGCCCCTGGTGCGCCGCGTCGCCCTTCATAGGCGCTCGCTAACAGCACTGGTCCTGTCAGGGCGGTATGGGGGTATTTTTGTCTTTGCGCATGCACGCCAAAGTGTGCATGCACACGGGTGTGGGTACGTGCCCTTCATAGGTGCTCGCTCACAGCATTTGGCCCAACAGTCTACGCTGTACGGGTGGCGCGGAGGGGTGGTGGGGGGGGGGTCTTTGTCTCTGTACGTGCACAAGTGCGAGTTCGAGTCGGCGTGCGCGTCTGTGACTGCGCGGCGACTCGTGCTTGGTTGGCCAAGCGCGTGTGTAGCGCGGAGTGCCCTGCAGCTCGCTAGTATCGGAAGAGCTTCATGAAGTCCTGCGGTGACACGGAGATGAAGGAGGTTTCGGGGTCGTTGGCAGAACACGGGTGCCCGGTGTCCTGCAAAGACACACGCACAGTGGAGGAGCGTTTCATAATCGTGCGTTCCAAATATTTCTCCACCACCCCCCCCCCCCCACCCCCATGCCTTCATATTTACATTGTGATGGCGCTAGTGGCAGAGGTTCGTGGTTCAAATCCAGAAGACCGCCCCTGGTTAATACTGTAGGCCTATTGACTATCAACAAGCACGACCGCCTGCTATATCGTGGATGTTTAAGACCCAGATAATTTACTCAATTGGGAAAACACATGGGGGTCATTGTCACGCCGCTACTGCAAAAACTTAGCAGGACCCCTCCTGAAGAAGCCTTGAAATGCACCGAGGCTTTTGTGGGTAATCGAGTGTAATAAGAACGTTGTGAGATAAAGTGCCAAATTGGAACACTGGCAAAGGAGCGCATCGCCCCATGTGCATGGCCCGCAGAAGCAGATTGTACAGAACTACTTTCGAGATCCATCCAAGTGGGCCTCTGATCCGCACCTAAGGGGGGCTGCGCTTTCCCACGCACCCCGCTACAGAGATGCTCATCGCATGGCACTTGTACCCAAACTTTTATTCTTTTCGGAGTTATTGCAGTGAGCAGTGCACCATCCTGTGTCAGAGAACGACTGAGGAAAATGAAGTCACAAAACTACTTCTGATGTCACTTCAATACCCCGCTTAACCACGTTACCGTTTATATGCCTTGAAAGCAGTGTTCCTTTTTTAGACAAAGCAAAGTTAAAAACATTATTTTTAATTTACACAAATGCCCACACAAACACATATCAAATTAAAGAAATCAGTGTTTCCACAATAACCAGTAACTAGGTTGAGACCAGCAACTCAAAAATGGCTGCCCATAAAATGGCTGCCCAAGTCTCTTTAAAATTAAAACAGCTCCTGAGGTGGCCGGGTAGCTCAGAGGTCAAGGGCGCTGAGCTGACACTGCTGAGGGGGCCTGGGTTCGATTCCAGGCAACTGCCTGTGATTAACCTGGGTTCACATCTATAGTTATCTCAGCCCAGTCACCTAAATTCAACCTCTAAGAATAAAAATATTGGTTTGACTGCCAAGCGATAAACATTTACTGTCATAGTAATAGGTTTTTACCCTTTTATCTGGCACAAAAACTGACACCTTTATACAAGGGCTCATGTTTGCAATAACCACAACACAGTCAAAATGCAAACAAAAAGAGACAACTCTGATAATGATATGCACTGTCCTTGAAATTGATTGGTCCATTGATTGGACCAATCAATTGATTGGTCCACACCCGAGACAGCTTTTCTTAGAGCCTAGTCTCTATTGGTGTTGTGCCAGATAAAAGGGTAAAAACTTATTACTATATCTTGCTACTGGCAAAGGAGGTCTCAGTGTAAATTTACTGTCATATGTATAGCGAGTGGGAATGTGCTACCCTCTGCTGTGTCTGGACCAGAGGTCACTTAAAGGGTTCTCAGCAGTGGCTCTGTGATATCTGCTTCCTCAGGCCATTGTCCAAAACGAACAGGTTGCCCTGCTCTGCGACAGACCCGAATAGATACTTTGTCTCGTGACACCAAAAGAACAAATTGGGATAAAAATGGAGAACTATGAAAAATATCTATTGATATAAAAAACAACCCTACGTCAGAACACACATTTCATCACTCTGCAACAACGGTCTGCAATGTTATTGAGCGTTTTGTCAGACAAGAAGCAGATCTGGCGGCTACCGCGCAGAAAGGTTCCCACGTTGCCAGTCTGTGCTGAGGCGCCGCTTGGTGCAACGCGGCGGCACATGAGGTGACGCGTCGGGATGATCCCTCGCTCCGCGCAACCGGAGCCGACAGCCAAATTGCAGGAATAACAATAACACTGCTGTCCAATTATTGTGTCCCCCAAGTAATGGGGAGGCACAGGGCTATGAAGGACAGAGGCTGGGTTTATCCCGGTTAAATAAGCAAGAATAATACTCATGACGGGGTGTGTGGGGGGTGGTGAGAAGCGATGGCATGAACCCGGCGAGCCAAGTTCGATTCCCGGTCACGGCTGACGGTGGCGAGTTAAATCTTAACTGGTTCCTGGGTGACCCCCTTCACCAACCCGCACTGACCAGCGTGGTGAAGTACGGTCGATCAACCACAATTACCGACATGGCGTGGTGAGGCCTTTATCTAGCATTGGATTGACAAAAGGCTGAAAATTATTCTTTGTTATAGAACGACAAATGAAGAAAGACGGACATCCAATATCCATGACTTTCTCTGCTGCAAAGTCATTTCTATGTATGCGGATTTTATCACCTCTTTTCCATTGGCACATTCGAGCTCAACCAGCACACAGGGCCAACACGGCACAGGTGTTTTTCCACTGCCTGTTTACCGAGCCGTGTCAGAACCAAACCGTGATACACTGGCCTCGCAAAACATCAGAATCTGACTCTGGGGCCAAGCAGGGCCAGGGTCGGTCAGTACAAGTCGAACACAGCATTGACGCATTGGTGGGCAACTTGCCGGCCGCAGGTGGTGGGCAACCAGGCCCATCATGGTGGCCTGGTCTAAGAGTGTCTAAGGTTGATGTGTGGGGTCATGATGAGTGCACAAGCACAATGTCAAGCTTGTGGCCCACTGAGTTGAAGGAGGGCCACTTATGTGGCAACTGACTAGTCTAGGGTTGCCCATCGCCGACCTACGTGCTTCTTAACGTCACTCGCATTCTGCGTGTGACATCACCAGCATGGATCGGTTCTCGTTTGGTGCGGTGGAAAAACAACCCCGTCACCCCCCTGACCCGCACCAGCCTGGCTTAACACGGCCCTGGCACGGCATGGCTGTGCCAGTGGAAAAGGGGTGTTGTGAGGCGGTGAGTGACGCATGCATTGGTAAGCACATGTAACTTTGCGATGGACGCGTGAGGCACGACGCGGGGTAAATCCGACTGCGTGTGACAAGGACAAAAAATAAGGAAACGGCTCCTAGGTTACAGATGCAACTTTAATTGTGCTGTCGGTTGCTGTCCCGTTTGGAGTTCTGGGCCTTTTGGGCCCTGTGCATGGCAACCATTGTAAAAAATGTGCATTGCAGGCAGGCCACGAGTGCCGTGCCCGTGACTTGCAAGCGACTTTCACGTGCACTGTAATACGGTCACCGCATTGGTGTATTAAGCGGTACCCCATTCCGCAGCAAACTATCATCACTTGAGAGTGTGTGAAAGTCACTTTAAGAGTCCTCTTATTGCCGGGGCTGCCAACTTTTAAGTCGGATACTCCCGACGCACACAGAGCCTACGTGTGTTGCTCCAAGATACGAGCTTCCTCTATTGCGCGTGGTGTCGCATGAGCCACGGTTGGTGCTCAGCTATCGAGCCACATGCAGGCTTTTCATCAGCGGTTCCTGCAGGCAAGTTGGGCGTGTTTCTCAAACTCAAGATCAGGAAGCTATCGTGCTCATGGCTGTCACCGCACAGGGCACACCAACGCGGCGTGCACTGCGCCAGATCCCAAGACTGCTGCACAGGAGGACGAGCGACCTGCAATCTCGTCTCCACCCCTGGACGAACACCTCTAAAGGTCTGGCGACGCTGGTCACACCGGCCTACGGCGGTGGGGGGACTGAAACTGGCCCGGTCTTTAGCTGCGTTAGCTCCAGCGGACTGTCTATGACGATCAGAATAAGAGTTGTCTGTTTAACACGTAGGAGGCTTTCGCGACTAATATCATCCATAACAGGTTTTTTTGGGGGGTTAGACACATTTATATATTTAACGACACATTTATATATTTACGCGATCTAACCCAAAAAAAAAAACCTCTATTATGGAAGAGTTGTTTTTTTATTTGGGGGGGGGGGGTGCGGGGGTGGTTCTTTTGTCTCCGTTGCCCATTAAAAGCACCATGGAGTCTGGCAAAATGGCAGGGCTGGGTGGTGTGCACCACGGTGTCCCAACAACCGAATGGATGCAGCACAAATACACCGATGGCTTTAAGATCCGATGAGAAAAAGACGTGGGGGCGGGCGGGGAGGCGAAAAAAGTAATGATGTGAAATTCAAAAATAAAGTGATGATGCTAACACACGGAGAAGACCCGTCTCTCCATATTGAACAGCAACGGGTGAAATGATCGTAAAGGAGAAAGGACAGCATTGTACCTCCCACACGACAGCCAGGGGATAGTCCTGTGAAGCGCCGAGGGGAGGAGAGACAGGCATTAGCAGCTTGCATTTCAAAAAGGATCATGAGGAGAGGAGAAAGTTCCACGATCGCATTTGTGACCAAAGGTCTTCCGTCAGTCAACCTCAGTCGGCCTTTGCTCGGTGGGAGATCACTCCTGCCCTGCTTCCGTTGTCTATAATTCCCGTTGCACGTTGCATGCGCAGTGCTCTGCTGCGAGAGGTTGTCTCGTCATTTACGGAAAGTCGTTAGGAAGATCATGCACCTCCTGACACAGCCAAACAAATTAAATTGTCGCGTGTGCAAGCGTTTAACAACGTGCCAAATGGTCATTGATTGAGCTCGCCGGTAAGTTGAAGAGCAATTCCCACAACCATCTAATTGATAACTTTACTCGTTACATCTATTCTTCACCTTCCTGGCGAACTTCAAAAACAATAATTGGCTCGTCGTCAAATGCGTGTACACCATGGGACAATTTAGTTTGTTTGGCTGTGTCAGTCGATGAGAGGGACTTACGACACAGAAATTGGCCAGATCGTTACGTGGCCGAACCCAAGTGCCAATTATGAATCGCATACTACGCCCCGCACAAAACCTACGCTTTAAATTTACAAAAAGCACTGCATATGAATTCCCTTGCTCTCGCCATCTCCACTGTCGAGACCCCTTCGCCGTTCAAAACTCCAGACTCCAGACTTTCCTCTTCTCCCCCGTCTACGACCGACTCCTTCTCTCCCTAATAATAATAATGCAATTTATAACGTGCGCAATGTTGCAGACCGAAGACGTAATTCCAAGATGCGTTCCATCCCTATTCACATCCGTAACGTGACTTAACTCGCACTGACGCCATAAATGTCATCTCAATTCGCTCCCTGGTCAGTGGAATTCTACCCAGCATTCCCCATACCGTTTCCAAAAAAGTCTTTGCTTGGGCGCATTCGCGTCTTCAAATACGGTCGCGCTGTCAACAAGTAGACGCTTCGAGAATGCAGATCGCAGTGCAGTACGCTAAGATCATTCGAGCTCACCGTTCACCCTTACCCCTTTCCCCTCCCCCATGTAAATCTTCATGGTCGCTTGCACGTGGTCCTCACTTGGGTGGGGCAGTGAGCCCAATTCTCCCCCCTTCACAGGGCCCTGTCACCCCCAAACTCCTCGGGCTGCTGTTCTCGAAATTTCTGTTCCCCCCTCCTCCCTGCCCCATTCTGCTATCAGCGTACTGTACCGGGCTCGCGTTGAGTTGCAATAACACATTTTTTCTTATTACGTTAAATATTAGCGCACGTCAAGAGGTCAGATATGTTTAGGTGCGGCTATGGCCGTGTGGCTACGTGGGCTGACGTCCACTCACAAGAGAACATTGCAAACGTACTTAATCATTAATTATCTTTCTTGCGCATCTCGTGCGTACCTCGTGTAAAAGTCACGTGTAAAAAGCGTTCGCTGTGGAAAACGGCGGCTACCCCATGCACAAACAGCGCACCGGACGAACACAAAGTGCAAACCGATTTTAAGGCTTAGCGGACCGACAACATCAGGGGCTGTGAGCGGCGCCCCTGCGAGGCCTGGCCACAGGCTCGCGCTGCCGACCACCGCGCCGGTACCTTCCAGAAGAGAATGCTGCAGTGGCGGCAGAACTGAAGGCTGTCGGCGTACTGCTCCCGCCGCGGGTACAGCTTCTGCAGGGTGAAGTAAGTCGCCTTCCAGTCGGCCGAGCCGCCCTCGCGCACCACCAGATGCCGACAGAACTGCCGGTCAGTCGCAACAGCCGCACCACGCGCACGCAAATGAGGATCAACGTCCCCTCCCGTGTAGCCTTAACAGGCTGTAGGAGCAAGTGCTGTTAAGCGAGTGGCATCTATGAAGGCCGGGACAGCACACGAGAGGGTGGGTGGCCAGCACCACGCCCGGCTGCCTTTTGTTTCCCGAGCACCAATGTTTACACACCGCACCAGGTACTCATTTGAGGCCGAGTCGACCTAGGGGAGGCCCAGGCCCAGTTCAGATTATTGTCACTGGCGTTGGCAGTGAGGAGGGTTGGTAACGCAGCGTGCTAACCGCGACACAACCGGTCCTACAGCACACATAACACACACACACGTATAAGACAAAGACAAAAGACCCACCACTTGTGTAGCCTTAAACAAGCTGGAGGGGTAAGTTATCTTAGCATGCCGCGACGGCCGATGGAAGAGAGGGAAAGAAAAACGGCTTTTGGCTGGTCACTGAACAAAGATGGTCGCTGCACCGCGCACGTTCGGACACGCTTCGGCGGCCATCTGGAAACGCTCTTCCTTCCGATATTAGGAAGCCACTGGAGCTGTGCACTTTGAAATTTGGATTCAAAACTTATTTCTTAAGAACACTCTTTTGTTTGTTGTTCTTTACCCCCCCCCCCCGCCACACCTACGATTAGCATGGTTGGCTACGTACGGTGCGAAAGAAGTTCAACATACGTACACGCGTACATCGAAAGAAGGACACAGGCTGTGCCGCCCCGTACCTGCTTGTCGGTGAAGTGGTATCGGCAGAGCGTGCGCCAGAGCGTGCGGTCCTCGCTCAGCGAATGCAGCGTGGCGGTGACGCGGCCCAGGCTCACGATGTCTCGCCCGTCGTCCAGGCGCTGCAGGATCGAGAGCTGCGTGTGTGGCGGGAGGTCGCTCAGCGTCAGCCCCTCGTCGCCTCTCTGGTTCCGGCACGGAGAAGTGGGGGGGGCGAGAGAGAGGCGGGGGAGGAGCGGAGGAGGTCGGACCGCTGCGATGCCGGTGTTCCCAACGACGCGCGATTCTGGGTGGCCAAGCGAACGAATGCCCCTTTTCCGCTGGCGCCTCTGAGCAGCTCCGTGCCAGGCCGTTGATGTCAATTCTTCCAAACGGATGAATGGATGGTATCAGCGGCCCAAGAGTTGTCCGTAGATTCCCATTCGTTTGAATGGAAAATCCTAGGCCGCCACACGGCAAGCATTGGGAAAGCACCGTCAGGAACACTGGTGATTCCGACGACCGCATCGGAATCGCCACTTCAACCGAGCGAAGACTTTAAGGTGAATTGGCATGGAGGAACTACCATTATAAGTAGGGGATCTGTATGCACATTTGTTGTTTTCATGTTTGTCCGTAGAACTCTTAGATCGCACCACCGATTTTAATAAATGAGGTGCCAATCGCTTGCGAGCTCTTGAAATCACGAGAGGTGCTGCCTTCCGAGCCGATAACTCGGCCGCTTATCCGCTCCACCATTTACAACAGCCCCAGCATGTGCCGCGAATCCCGTTTCAAAATCATACTACGGATAGGCATAGATGGGCACGATAAGTATGTACGGAGGTTGAACTTCTTTCGCACAGTACGTAGCCAACTGTGATAATCGGAGGTGCGGGGGAAGGACAACAAACTAAACACAACAAGCAGTTAAATCTTGACTTAAAGCTTTCGTGACTGCAGGAATTCATATTCTTGGGTCTTTCGGTATAGTCACGTAGATAGGTTCAAAGTAAATAATCAAAAATAACAGAAAGCTACGACGTTTTGATCGCAACACAAGCGGTCGTCTTCAGAAAACACCTTTTCCTGAAGACGACCGCTTGCGTAAGACCCAAGAATACAACAAGCAGTTCAAGAAATTAGTTTTCAATTTAGTACATGCCCGTCTGAAGTGTGCCAATGAACATCTGAATGATTCAGAGGACAATTGGGTGAAAGTGTTGTAGTCAGATGAGACCAAAATGGAGCTGTTTGGCATCAACTCAACTCGCCGTGTTTGGAGGAGGAGGAATGCTGCCTATGACCCCAAGAACACCATCCCCACCGTCAAACATGGAGGTGGAAACATTATGCTTTGGGGGTGTTTTTCTGCTAAGGGGACAGGACAACTTCACCGCATCAAAGGGACGATGGACGGGGCCATGTACCGTCAAATCTTTGGTGAGAACCTCCTTCCTTCAGCCAGGACATTGAAAATGGGTCGTGGATGGGTATTCCAGCATGACAATGACCCAAAACACACGGCCAAGGCAACAAAGGAGTGGCTCAAGAAGAAACACATTAAGGTCCTGGAGTGGCCTAGCCAGTCTCCAGACCTTAATTCCATAGAAAATCTGTGGAGGGAGCTGAAGGTTCGAGTTGCCAAACGTCAGCCTCGAAACCTTAATGACTTGGAGAAGATCTGCAAAGAGGAGTGGGACAAAATCCCTCCTGAGATGTGTGCAAACCTGGTGGCCAACTACAAGAAACGTCTGACCTCTGTGATTGCCAACAAGGGTTTTGCCACCAAGTACTAAGTCATGTTTTGCAGAGGGGTCAAATACTTATTTCCCTCATTAAAATGCAAATCAATTTATAACATTTTTGGCATGCGTTTTTCTGGATTTTGTTGTTGTTATTCAAATAAACCTACCAGTAAAATTATAGACTGATCATTTCTTTGTCAGTGGGCAAACGTACAAAATCAGAAGGGGATCAAATACTTTTTTCCCCTCACTGTAGTAGTGTAGTGTATACCAGGGTAGTATATAGTAGTGTATAGTGTATTGTAGTGTATAGTGTAGTGTATAGTGTAGTGTATAGTGTAGTGTATAGTGTAGTGTATAGTGCAGTGTGTAGTGCAGTGTGTAGTGCAGTGTGTAGTGTATAGTAGTGTATAGTGTATTGTATAGTGTATAGTAGCGTATAGTGTATTGCAGTGTATAGTGTAAATGTATGTTGAACTTCTTTTGCACCGTACGTACCCAACAGTGCTAATTGTGTGCATGGGCCAAGGACAACTAAACACAAAAAAGGAGTCCTAAAGAAAGAAGCGAGCTTTCAATCGAGGTTATTTAACAGATGCGCGGACGGCGTCGGCGGTGTGAACGCACGCGGCTGATCTGCAGGCCGCACAGCAGCCGCTGCCACAGCAGGATGGTGTCGAGGCGGCGGGTCCAGGTGTTCACGTTGCCCACGAGGGGTGACTTGCCCACGCCGCACACGAGGCGCGCCACCGACGAGCACAGGCCGGAGAGCAGCTCACGGATCGGGCGCACGCTGTGCTGGTCGTCCACCACTGCCGCGCACAAAGACGGAGATTCACCGTGCAGCCTTTGGCGGGGCTTTTTCGCGGCAAGTGCCGTTAGCGAGTGGCGCCTATTAACGGGATCATCAGCGCAAGAGTCGTCTGCAGACTCCCATTCGGTCGAACGGCAAATTCCTGGACGTTCATTTCAAATGAACGGGACGCCAATGGGGAAAGTGTCGTTAGCCAGAATTATCTACGCCGGCCAGCGTGGCACGAGGGGTTGGTGGCCAGCACCACACCCACGCCCGGCCGCCTTTTTTATGTATGCATGTTGAACTTCTTTCGCACCATACGTAGCAAACCGTGCTAGTGGAAATGTTTGCAGATCGCACCAGGTACTCATTTGAGTCCGAGTCGACCTAGGGGAGGCCCAGGACCGGTTCAAATCATCGTCACCGGTGTTGGCCGTGAGCAGGAATCGAACTCGGGTCGCCGGGTTTGTAGCCCAGGGTACTAACCTGCTGCACCACCGCTCCCCATAACACACAGCACACTCTCACACACTCGCTCGTACGCATGCGCATGCATGTATGTGTGTGCGCTCATGTGCCACGGTGGCCGGCCTTCATAGGTGCTCAACGAACAGCACTTGCCCCAACAGTCTGTTACAGACTATATGGGGGGGGGGGGGAAATCTATCTTTGTCTTAGTGTTTGTGCGTGCGGGTGCCGCTGCTGCTGCCACCGAGGGATGCACCTTTGCAGACAACTCTTTCCAGGATGCTGAAGTAGTTGGTCTGAGCCACCCCGCTCAGCGACGTCAGCTGCGTGTCCGCGATCAACTGCAGCAGCTGGGGGCCGGGGACACAAACGGCGAGGGGTGGAAAAAATGTTACGCTCTTCTCTATGCCAACCATGTTCCACGTCGATTCTGTTTAACCACCAGGTGAGAGCACGAGAGAGATCGACCCGGAGTCTCGTTTGCAAACGTGACCTGGGGGCATTAGTCTGCCAGTAAGGGGGGGGGGTGGGTGGCAATGATTGTTGCTGTGTGTGACCCCGATTTGGTCATTTACGGTGTAATTTTTTAACTTGGCAAATTTTAACCCTGACGCCGCCGGCACGCTTGCGAATTGTGCCCGGGGATCTTTGTTATTATTATTTTTGTTACTATCGTATTAATCAGGGCGGGCAGTGGAATCGAACTGTGAACCTCTGCAACGAGAGGCGAACGCGATCCCTGCCCCGACCAGCGTCTTGGGTCGTGTGTCTGGGCCTCCACTAGGTTCACTGTCTGAAATGAGCACCCGGTGCTGTGTGTAAACATCACCACTGGGAAGACAAGGGCGGCTTGGACGTGGTGCTGGCTACACCGCCCCCTCGTGTGCCGCGCCGTCCTTCATAGGTGTTGCTCGCTAACAGCACTTGCCCCAACAGTCTGGTAAAGGCTATACGGTGGGCGGGGGGGGGAGGGTCATTGCTGTGGGAGTTATGAAATATGCAACGTCTGATAATTTGTCAGGATGACATGGCTTCCATGACAACGACTTCCTGGCAAAAAGAAGGCTTATTGCAATAAAATATTTCTGCCACACTTTTTGTTTCTCACACCGATTATATTCTCAACGTAATGGGACGAAGAGACGTACGCGGTGTGGGATGCTTGCAGCTAACAGTGCACCTCGACGTGCTGTGGAGTGGGCACCCAGAAGATGATGTCACAGAACTACTTCTGAAGCCAATTAACAAAGGTCCATCTATTCAGCCACTCAAAAGTCGAAGTGATTTCCTGCTCTGATGAGCACTGAGGTGGTTCCCGTGGTTGAATTTGCAGCCTTGGGCCAGTGGTGGAAGTTCCACATGCCTATGGCGCGGGGAGCAAGTCTGCTCCTAGCACTACCATCGTTCAGTTCCCCATAAAGCGGTAATAATTTTATCGACCCCGGAAGGAGGACAAGCCAACTCAGCCTCCCCCCCCCACCACCACCACCTGCCCCTGACCAGGAATGAAAAACTCACAACATTTCCGATTGAGAGCCGCTCGCCCAAACCGCCGAGCCACTGCGCTGCATACCACGCACACCGCTAGGACTTCACCCGCACGATCGGCAGAATGGGCAACAGGGGCAGCGGGGTGCACCGACAAATCGACAGGTGCTACCGACGTGACGCAAACGCAAACTGCCAACCGCCCCCGCAAAAATAACCCGGCGGCGGCGGCGGCCGCGGTAGTGCACGCTCCACGCTCCACGCTCCACGCTCCACGTTCCCACGCTCCCACGTTCCCACGTTCGCTCTACCGTGCCGCCGCGCGTTCCCAAACCTCCCCGAGCAACGCCGGTACGTTAACGATAAAAATAAAGAACACCCCCCACCCCACAGCCCCCCCCCCCCCCCACCTCCCCCACCGCACCACCCCCATTCCGCCCCCCACCCTCTCCTGGGGAAGAGAACTGAACGACTGTGGGATTGCACATTGGACAGGGGAGCGGAAGGGCGGCTGGTCGCAGAGGGTCAGGGGAGTCATGGGTGTTGTTGTGGGAAGGAGGAAAATTTGATGAGTGGAAGGAGGGGGGGGGGTACAGGGGTGGGTGAGTGAGTGGAATAAGGAGGTAGATGAATGAGTGGAAGGAGGAGTTATTGGAAGGGGGTAGAGAGGTCAGGGTTTGGTTGTTGGCTTGGGTTGAGCTCAATAAACAACAACGCCCTGCATGTGAAACCCGTGAAAGTCTGCTGCTATGCTGCGTGCTTCACGTGGGTGCATCTTATATAGCTGTGCATCGTTGTTCCATGATTTTGTCCACTTGTCACTTCACATTTGACTCCCTTGTAATGCAGGCATCATGCCGACCTACCTACATATCTACCCACATACTTACCTGCTTACGAATATACCTAACTACCCACATGCCAACGTACTTACCCTATCCATCGCCTACTTATCGACTTACCCACATACATACCTACCACTCATATACCCACGACATGTAACTATAATATTACTCATATAACCACGTGTTTACATATTTAGCCACCTCAGCACTTACCTACCTACACAACTGCTTGACTGCCTACTTACCAATCAACATACCCACCTCACCACTTACCTACTTGCCTACCCGCATCGTAAACAGTGAATAACAAAGCTCTAACACAAATGAATACAGCACTTTACATTATTAGCAACACAATGTTTATAAGAATGTATCATCTTCAGCCATGGTCAATCCACTACTGGATGAAGGCCACCCCAAGCCAAGCCAATTTCGTCGCTCCATCTCCTAGAGAAGCTGCCCTTTCGAACGCGTTCCGTTCCCTGGACGTCACACTCCGTTATCCTCGTTCTTGCCCATCGGCCATCGTCCATCCCAGCGGCAGCGTGTCCTGCCCAAACCCACCGATGCTTCTCACCGGTGTGAATGATGTCATTAACCAGCGTATGTTTCTCTCCGAGCCACGTGTTCGTCCTCCCATCTCTCAGCGCGATTCCAAGCGCGCATCTCTCCGCGCTTCTTTTGCGCAATTTATCAGTCGCCGCCCTCCCGTACGTTTCCCTCGTGAATATCCACGCCTATCGAGAATCAAAAAATTCATAAATTGCAACGCCGCGCTAAAAACAACAAATATCAACTCTCGTCAGGCGCCCGAAATGGGATGTAAATAAACCCGCCAAGCACTTCACTTGCCCGGTGTTATTTCACTTAGGGAAGGAAAAAAAAAAAGAAATGTACATTTTTCGATTGACGGAACAATTTTGAGGGAATATTTTTGGAGGCAAACGGCGCGGAACGCATCCCCTGCCATGGCGCCACAGAGTCAAGAGCGGAGCGTGCGCGGTGCATCGCGGGCCTCAAACCAGACACCCCCCCACCCCTTTGCCCCCCCCCCCCACCCACGCATCCCCCCTCCCCCCAAAACCCTGCCCCCCTCTCCTAACGCCACTCCTTACCAACCCCCCCACTACCCCCAATCTCTCCCACACCCCCGCCCCCTGCCCCACCATAAATCCCGAGATTAAGTCAATGTCAAAGTGTTTTTTATTCTCGGCTAACATTCGCGACAAGTGATATCTGAATCGGTACCAAGAGTCCCCAAAGTGACTTCAAGGCACATGGTCAATACGTCCAGATAGGGGGGGGGGGAGGGAGTCTATCCCAGGTAAGTAAATAATAATATAATTCATGACAAGGGGCGAAGCGGTGGTGCGGTGGTTGTCGCACTGTGTTATGAACCCGGCGATCTAAGTTCGATTCCCCGGCCAAAGTTAACGGTGGCGAATGACGTCTGACGATTCAGTCTTGGGCCCCCTTTCACCAACCTGTACCGATCAGACGTGGTGAAGTATGGTCAAATGCCCCCCACCCCCACAGCCCTTCCCCACATGATTAACAGAGTGGGGGACGCCTTCAGCCAGCAGTTGATTGACAAAAGGCTGTAGATTCACACAATTCATATAAAGGACATATAGTACGTCCCGTTTATACGTTACTTTTATTATTCTCGTTTTTTATTTAGCTCACGCCAAAGTGTCAGTGTAACTCTTTACATCCCTGAGAGAAAGGTATTAACAGAGAGCACTCTAACACTTGTCATCTTATTTTACACACCCATTTGTATGTTTTAATCATTGATCAAAGCGTCTATGAAGGCCGGCATGGCACACGAGGGGGTGGGTGGCCAACACCACACCCGGTCCGCCTTTGTCTCCCTAGCGGTGATGTTTACACACCACACAGGGTACTCATTTGAGGCCGAGTCGACCTAGGGGGAGGCCCAGGACCGGTTCAGATAATCGTGCGAGAATTGAACTCGGGTCGCCGGGTTCGTAGCCTCGTGCGCGAACCGCTGCACTACCGCTCCCCACACTGTATATACACACACACACACACGCGCGCTGCAACAAAAACAACAACATTGAAAATAAAGCAGAAAATCTCACGACTGTTTTGCGGCAAAGTGTGGGAATGTCTGGGGAGTGAGTGTACAGTGCCACGCACGAGTACATATTTTCGTAATGCGCATTAAGCAAAAAATATTTGGAAACTAACTGCATACTCCGCGCTTGCTGAGCTTATCAAACAGCCTCGAGCGCCGATATTTTATAACGCAGCAGCAGTTTATTGCAACAGGCGCGACGCATTTTTATCACTGCCACTGCCCATAGGAGGTTTGTGGGTTAGATCGCGTAAATATAAATGTGTCGTTAAACCCGCTACCACCCGACACAGCCAATCAGTAAGGTTTGTCACGTAATTACTAGTACGGCACACCGGTATGTTGGAGAGTAAACCGGAGTACAACGTTTCACTAGTAATATCAACGAGCATCATCAGGCGACAGCCAGAGTTGTGGAGAAATCCTCCTGTTTCGCTCTTAACGACATATTTATATTCATGCGATCTAACCCAAAAAACCTCTATTATGGATAATATTGGTCGCGAAAGCCTACCTGTTAAACTTACTAATACTACGCCTGTTGAGCCAGGAACGCCTCGCAGAGTCTCAAGACTCTCTTTCAGGAGGGTCCTGCCAAGTTGTTACAGTCACTGGACAATACTGCTGCTGTGTGCGATCCCAATTGAGTAATGTGAAAGTACACTCTAAGCATTGGGATGTTTGGTCAATACCGTTTACATCGTACGTTCAGGATTTTTCTTTGTAGACGTGTTTGAAACGTTTATCGTATCGTTTGTGTCTTGCTGTACTTCCAGTAACGGTAAACATTCAACATTCTAAACTGGAGTACACAGGAAAGAATTCTGCCGCGAGTCTTATAACCGCTGCCTTATAGCACGTGTATTCTGTCAGGTACACGAGGCATAAATAGTTACAATTACGAAAATTATAACGTATTTTTTATTTCCCTGCTGTCAGTTAGTCCGGAAAACATTTTGCAAAACACTGTTATAGATAATTGCGAAATATTTATAACTTTGGACAGTGAGATTATTTTCATTTTTTGCCAGGAAATTACCGTACATTTTTTTTCAGAAAAATGTAATGAGGCAATGATATTCTCACAAAACGGGCGATACAATCATCGCAATTCTGGAATGGCACGACAGGGAACCTCCAATTGGCACAGCTGGCCAAGTACGGTGTGAAAGAAGTTCAACATACATACATACAGGGAACGGTTTGCTGAAAGAGGTGACTGAGTGAGCGGTAGTGAGACGGAAAGTTTAACTGAAAGTGATCGAGAGAAGATTTTTTTCGGAGGAGACCAAGGGGAAGGAAAAGAAACGGCGACGCCAGACGACGTTTGATGAGGAACGACGTAACCGACAGACGGAGAGAGCAGTGGAATACAGAGCATCGCAGACGGGAAAAAATTGGCAGTTGCTTTTTTTGCTCCCGATTTCTATTTGCCTCGTTGTTGTACTTTGCTTTTACATCATTGCTTTAGTTACTGTGGTAGCCCAGGTCAGTTAACACTTGCAAATGAAACTCAACCTGGTCTCTCGAGTTCTCACCTGGCTCAGCAAAGCAAACTTCAATACACGGGCCACGCCCCTGTCTTGGGACAGAACCCTAAACGAACGAGCGAATACCGCGCGGCAATTCATTTGCACCGCTACACCGCGGCCGACCCAAGCGGGGAAACGCTGGGTTCGTGGCGGCGAAGCGACGCAGCTGTGCTGCTGGGAGCACGCAGAGTGGGAGCAGGAGGACGTGGAGGAGGAGAAGCAGCAGCAGAGTGGGTGGGAGAGATGCGGCAGTGCTGGCGATTCCGCGCGGAGGGCGTCGTCGGGAACCCGCATTGTACGGAGGAACGTGGGAATTTCAGAAAAGCAAACACGGCCACAGGTCACACGGTTCCCAGCCTTCCCCCGAGGGGTCGATGCTTCTCAGCTGCACGTCCGTGTCACGCGTGTGCATGTGTACGTCCGTCAGATCATACAACACGCATTCGTAAACACAAGTGTGTCTGTAAACAAGTGAGGAGCCAAGTGCAGCAGATAGTGCACTACGCTACGAACCCGGCAAACAGTGTTGGATTCCCGCTCACGACCAAAAACGGTGACAATTATCTGAATTGGTCCTGGGCGTCCCCAAGGTCGACTCAGCCTTAAATGAAATTAAGGCCACTAGAGAGACAAAGGTGGCCGGGCCCAGTGCTAGCCAACCAATCCCTCGTGTGCCGTACCGGCCTTCATAGGTGCTTGCTAACAACACTTGCCCCAACAGTCTCTTATGGCTACACGGGGGTTTCTGTCTTTACAAATACACACACATATATACAATGACACGCACACACACACAAACACACACAAATACACGCACGCAGGAAAAATAAAACCGTTCTTTTTCACAATAAATTAAAACATACGTAGAGGGTTGAGTAACTCCGGGCTTACGGGTCAGGATTCATAAACGAGCCAATAAAAGCAGGTTAAAACTCATTGTGGCCACTGCTACGGAGACAGCACTTTGCCCAAAGACAGCAGCGATCCTGTCTAGCCTTGTAAACTCTCAGAGCAAGTGCTGTGGGGGCTAGCGGCTTATTCAGTTTGGCACCACACAAGAGCGTCTAAAGTGGATCCAACACCATGCAGGCTCAGCCACCTCAGTCACACCCGGCGCTGGTATTGACATTGGGCGGGCGGGCTGGCGTTCCTCTTGCCGTCTGGCTCCATCATTATGGGACGGTCTTCCCATAAACCTCAGGAGCAGCAGATGGTTTCGATACTTTTAAACATTAAATAGTCCACCTCTTCACTCCACACCTCCCCACTCCCCCCGCCCTCCCCACCCACAACGTAGCAACCGGGCTAATCGCACCTCCGTGTAACACGTTTGGCTACGTACGGTTTTGTATAAGAATGCGTTTCTGTTTTAAGGTAGCGATGCAAATATAAAGTTGGCTCACACTTCGGCAGTATATTCAGTGGGCTGCCTCGTCATAGGATTGTGGAATTTGCATCATGGACTCTGGGTTGTAAATGACAGATTATGTATATGCATCTGTGTATGTATGTTGAACTTCTTTCGCACCGTACGTAGCCAACCGTGCTAATCTGTATAGCATTATGGGTCATGTTGTCCTTCCCCCCCCCCCCGCACCTCCGGTTAGCACGGTTGGCTACGTTCAGTGCGATTGAATTTCAACATACATGCATCACTCCCCCCCCCCCCCTTCCCTCCACCGCCTGAAGAGGTGAGTTCTCATCGGGGGCCGACTCACCCGCACGACGTAGTGGAACCTGCGGGTGTCCTGGATGGCGCTAGAGAAGTCCAGGCGATTGAACGCCTCCCCCAGCGTGCAGTAGCCGTGGCGCTGCCGGCAAAACACAAAGACAAGGATCCCCCAACCCCACGCGTAGACCAACTCGGCCGTTGTCCCAACAAGCAGGGGTGCAAGGCAATTTAATATATTTCTTTGAAAGCAAAGTATTGAGTGATAACTTTTTACAGTTAAAATAGCATGGGTGCCATATGAAATATTTTTTTATCATCATAAATGGCCTTGCCAAGGGGGTAGGAAAAAATACAAACAGAATCTGAAGCAGAGATTCACTCGCATCATTTGCTTGTTCAACTAAGCCACCACGTGTCCCATCCCCTCAGCTACAGCTCCTCCACACAGCTACACTCAGCCTCCCTGTGTCCCATCCCCTCAGCTACAGCTCCTCCACAGCTACTCAGCCTCCCTGTGTCCCGTCCCCTCAGCTACAGCTCCTCCACAGCTACTCAGCCTCCCTGTGTCCCACCCCCTCATCTACAGCTCCTCCACACAGCTACACTCAGCCTCCCTGTGTCCCATCCCCTCAGCTACAGCTCCTCCACAGCTACACTCAGCCTCCCTGTGTCCCACCCCCTCAGCTACAGCTCCTCCACACAGCTACACTCAGCCTCCCTGTGTCCCATCCCCTCAGCTACAGCTCCTCCACAGCTACTCAGCCTCCCTGTGTCCCGTCCCCTCAGCTACAGCTCCTCCACACAGCTACACTCAGCCTCCCTGTGTCCCACCCCCTCAGCTACAGCTCCCCCACAGAGCAGAGCCAGATTATTTCCTCTTGAATATATGTGGCATCCCCTTTGCCTCAGCTCCCTGGCCCCAACTTCCCTGCCCCCTCATGCCCCCCACTTCGCCTCAGATACCCCCCCCACCCCGACCGGTGGCACTGCCCACGACTGGCGATATACTGGCACGCACGTACGACGACACCAGCATCGCAAATCTCACCTCCTTGGTGCTCCCTTTGTGAACATAAATCCACTTGTCCTTATGGAAGTCTGAAAAACAATTTCAAATCGCCACAATGTGGAATTACGATGCCGCATCACGACCGAGCTAATTGTTTGTTAGCATCGCAGCTGTCGTCACTGCTATCAATGCCGTCTCCGTAATGTAACCAGGAGATCCGCACCTCCAATTAGCACGGCTGGCTACGTACGGTGCGAAAGAGATTCAAAAACATACATACACGCGTTAAAATAACCCACCCAGATGGATGCAACAACACCGCCTCTTCTGCAAGGGTGACGTGGGTTACATCAATAATTATTGTTGAACCGCGATATCACAGATATATGAAAAAAAATTACTTAAACACCAGTAGACCACATTCAACGATAAAGTAATACGGTACAGCGATGCGAATAATGCCGAGTAAAATGGTGCGGGTATCTGTTCACGATGCTGGGTGTGGCACGAGAGAGTAAATCACGTGATGGCGTAAATCGCGTTCAAGTTCCTGCCAATTTTTGATACGGAAAAAAAAAAACCGTGTAGAAATCGCCGTTCTCGATGCGATTGCTCATTCAATCACCAAACATTGGCGGAAACGGCCTCTGCACCGGCTCGCGGCTCGCGGCTCGCTCGAGCGTACATTGCGTGCGGACGTTGTTGTTGGCGTTCTCCTTCCGCCGCTTCTTGGCCGCGTTGATGCAGTCGCGACGCTCGTTCTCCTTGTCCACGCCGTCACTCCTTCCCACGAGCCCGGGTTGCGGTGTGCCAGGGTCAAGGTGGAGCGGATGGAGCAGGCGGAGCGGGGGACAAGGAAGGTGAAGAGACATCACGGAAGCGTTGGCTCAATCAGAATAATTTATTTATACTGGAGGAATCCTATGAGCAAAAGAGCTCGTTTTCACAGATGTCTAGTAGGGGCAAGTAAGAATATTACAACAAACAATACAAAAACACGATAGGAATATAAAGTACAAGAAAGATAAACAAATCACCCAAGCACATACAGTGAGGGAAAAAAGTATTTGATCCCCTGCTGATTTTGTATGTTTGCGAACTGACAAAGAAATGATCAGTCTATAATTTTAATGGTAGGTTTATTTCCAGAAAAACGCATGTCAAAAATTGTATAAATTGATTTGCATTTTAATGAGGGAAATAAGTATTTGACCCCTCTGCAAAACATGACATAGTACTTGGTGGCAAAACCCTTGGTGGCAATCACAGAGGTCAGACGTTTCTTGTAGTTGGCCACCAGGTTTGCACACATCTCAGGAGGGATTTTGTCCCACTCCTCTTTGCAGATCTTCTCCAAGTCATTAAGGTTTCGAGGCTGACGTTTGGCAACTCGAACCTTCAGCTCCCTCCACAGATTTTCTATGGGATTAAGGTCTGGAGACTGGCTAGGCCACTCCAGGACCTTAATGTGCTTCTTCTTGAGCCACTCCTTTGTTGCCTTGGCCGTGTGTTTTGGGTCATTGTCATGCTGGAATACCCATCCACGACCCATTTTCAATGCCCTGGCTGAGGGAAGGAGGTTCTCACCCAAGATTTGACGGTACATGGCCCCGTCCATCGTCCGTTTGATGCGGTGAAGTTGTCCTGTCCCCTTAGCAGAAAAACACCCCCAAAGCATAATGTTTCCACCTCCATGTTTGACGGTGGGGATGGTGTTCTTGGGGTCATAGTCAGCATTCCTCCTCCTCCAAACACGTCGAGTTGAGTTGATGCCAAAGAGCTCCATTTTGGTCTAATCTGACCACAACACTTTCACCCAGTTGTCCTCTGAATCATTCAGATGTTCATTGGCAAACTTCAGACGGGAATGTATATGTGCTTTCTTGAGCAGGGGGACCTTACGGGCGCTGCAGGATTTCAATCCTTCACGGCGTAGTGTGTTACCATTTGTTTTCTTGGTGACTATGGTCCCAGCTGCCTTGAGATCATTGACAAGATCCTCCCGTGTACTTCTGGGCTGATTCCTCACCGTTCTCATGATCATTGCAACTCCACGAGGTGAGATCTTGCATGGAGCCCCAGGCCGAGGAAGAGTGACAGTTATTTTGTGTTTCTTCCATTTGTGAATAATCGCACCAACTGTTGTCACCTTTTCACCAAGCCGCTTGGCAATGGTCTTGTAGCCCATTCCAGCCTTGTGTAGGTCTACAATCTTGGCCCTGACATCCTTGGAGAGCTCTTTGGTCTTGGCCATGGTGGAGAGTTTGGAATCTGATTGACTGATTGCTTCTGTGGACAGGTCTTTTATACAGGTAACAAGCTGAGATTAGGAGCACTCCCTTTAAGAGTGTGCTCCTAATCTCAGCTCGTTACCTGTATAAAAGACACCTGGGAGCCAGACATCTTTATGATTGAGAGGGGGTCAAATACTTATTTCCCTCATTAAAATGCAAATCAATTTATAACATTTTTGACATGCGTTTTAATGGATTTTGTTGTTGTTATTCTGTCTCTCACTGTTCAAATAAACCTACGATTAAAATTATAGACTGATCATATCTTTGTCAGTGGGCAAACGTACAAAATCAGCAGGGGATCAAATACTTTTTTCCCTCACTGTACAAATGAAACTAAACAATCTCCATCCTACCAGGCAAAGCCCACTGAGGCATTACTTATTGCTCAAAAGCGTCCTGGCCACAAACGATAGCTCAACAAAGCGGCTCATCATTTGGTCATTTATATCAGCAAAATAATTGAAAGTCGAAACGCATGTTTCTAAATGTGGCTTAATTTGGTCCAAAAATTACCTATCAGTACCACCTAGGGTGGCCTATCCTACAAATAACTTTCTTCAAGCATTCTATCTCCAGATCACAAGTGGGTATGATAGCAAGATCACCGTGGAAGCTTGATGTGGGTGAAAATTTCACTGAAAAGGGTACCGCAGTGTATTTGAAGGAGAATATCGTGCAACAACGCCAAAAATCATATAAGTGATATGAAACATCGACAGGAAATTAAAATAAATAGGAAGAATCCTGGGCAGGTGGCTGACTAATCGTTGAACAGAAAAACCCCCGCGACCGTCAGTTAGTGGTACTTGTTCTGGCAATCAGACACAGCCACGAGGAGCCCCCTACAGAAACCAGGGCACACCTCACGATTAATGCAATTGAAGCGCGTGCGACTAAATGCAATGGTGGTCACGAGCACAGGCACTGCATGTGCGTTGCAGGCTGGAGATTGCTAAATTCTGCTTATATTTACGGCTTGAGAAAAACGTGGTGGCGCAAAAACCCCCCACGTTATTCCAACGTAAAAAAAAAACACCGCCAACACCTCTCCTCCCTCCTCGCCTCATTTTCAATCGAGCAACGCAAGATCATTATTTGAAAAAAATTTAAATAAAACCTTCCCAACTAAAACTCGACATTTGTAAACGTCTGACTTTGAAGGATCAAAGTGGGAAAAAGTTTAAAGCATGGCTGCTGAACAGGTGAAACTATCCGCATGAAAATCTACTTTGACACAGTGCACAAACGCAAAGGTTGGTGAAGGCACACGACGACAGGGTGGTGCGACTGTAATCGTGTCTGGCCACCTTCGTTTCCCTAGCACTAATGTGAATACACCACATCAGGTGCTCATTTAAGTTTGAGTCAAACTCGTGGAAGACCCAGGACCGGTTCAGATAATCACCACTCATCTCAGCCGCCGTAGCCTGGAGTTAAACTTGAGAAGCCAGGTTCGTAACTCAGCGTGCTAGCCACGACGCTCACGCTCAGCCAACTCGCCCAGACAAAAAAAAGACAAAGATCCCCCGTATAGCCTAAACTGACCATTGGGGCAAGTGCTGTTAGCAAGCACCTACGGAGGCCGGAACGGCACACGAGGGGGTGGGCGGCCAACACTACTGCCAACCACCTTTGTCTGCCTAGTGGCGATGTTTACATATCGTATCTGGTACTCAATTAAGGCCGAGTCGACCTAGGGGAAGCCCAGGACTGGTTCAAATAACCATTACTGATGTTGGCCATTAGCGGAAATTGAACTCGAGTAGCTGGATTCGTAGCACAGCGCGCTAACCGATACACTACCGCTCCCCAAACACAAAGATCCCCCATATAGCCTTAACAGACTGCTGGGGCACGTGCTGTTAGCGGACACCTATGAAGGCCGGCACGGCACACGAGGGGGTGGGTGGCCAGCACCATGCTTGGCCGCCTTTGTGTCCCTAGTGGCGATGTTTACACACCACACCAGGTACTTATTTGAGGCCGAATCGACCTATGCAAGGCCCAGGACCAGTTCAGAAAATCGTCACCTGGTGTTGGTCGTGAGCGGGAATCAAACCCACGTCACCAGGTTTGTAGCGAGGCACACTAACCGCTACACTACTGCACCCCACTCGCCTGGACAAATGCACACACGTGAACGCATACTCCGGTACGTACGTGCCACACGCACACAAACTGATGCTATAACTCCCACCTTCCTTATATGACCGCTGACAATGGCCTTCAATCATGCATGAGAAGAAACCGAGCTGGCGCGAGGAGGGCAAGCCGAGAGGGCCTCTCCCAGCGACGAGTGAGGGCAATTTCAATTTGTAAAACAATCCCCCTGTGACACGCGGGACTTCAACACCCCCGATACCGAACACTCGGCACCACCACTTTACGCCCTATTCCCATGGGAATCCGATCAGTTATAATGCTAATTAAAAAGAACGTGCTAACGGCGACTGGGTTATGAAAAGGACGCCTTCTGGAATTTGACCATCGGTTCATACGCAGGTGCTGCTGGCTGCATTTTCACATCGCAGGATCGCGAGAGGTGGTGGCGGATGCTTGCGGAGGCTTTCATCCAGCAGTGGACTGACCATGGATGATGATGATGATGATAATAACAGAAGTGGAACAATGGATTCAAGATCAGAGCGCCGTACTGGCACTGCCAAGACCCTGGGTTCAAATGGGAATTTCAGCCACCCGTGATGAAACTTTGTTTTCAAATGTAGCGAGTTTATGATCCCAATCTGACCACTAATGACTGCATAACAGATTTTTTTTTATTAATTTGAGAAAATACAAAAAAATTACAGTGATGGTTTTTAAAGCAGGTGAGAGATCAATGAGAACTTAAGTTATTTTCCAAGTGAGATGTGGGTACAAACAAGTATAAACATCATCATCGGCCATGACTTATCCACTGCTGGATGAAGGCCTCCCAAGCCATTATCATCATCTTGGAACTGACGTCATTTGAGATTGCTTCCAGAGACTACAGCAGTGAGAGTGTTTGTTTTTCCTGTCGATGTTATCCATACCTCTAAAAATGTAAGTGAGGATTTCATGTTTTTTTACAGTGGACACTTTGTCCAATCCAGGTCTCCTCGATTACAATAAAAACACAGTCAATGGAAAATATCCCTCAAAACACCCATCATCGCCCCGCTAAGTGTAGGGGGCTCTTTCTTATTGATCTTGAAAGGCTTGCTGGGGAGTAGCGTCAGTCCCACTCTGCCAAAGTGGCCGACCGTTCCAAAAACACGGGAACACGTTAAGGATGGAAATGTTCCACAAAAAAAAACTCAACGCATTTGGCACCAAAAGCCCCCTATAAGGAAAATAATTTATAGTGGGTGACGTTTTGGGCAATGGTCCTTATTCAAGGCACACATATATAGGGACCAGAGAGATTGAGTCAATAACAGCTGCCGGTAAAATAACGTGCCGGGCAGTCAAGGAATTTATTTGCAGATAAACCGTCACGTTTAGAATCGGCGTGCATTTAGAGTATTTGGCTGCTATACATTTCCACATGATCGGCCACTTCATTGAGCTATCATTTGTGGCCAGGTAGCTTCTCAAAAAGATGTACAGGCACTCCTTGACATACGCGATAAATGTGTTCCTGGAAAAGCACGCGTATCTCAAAATAGCATTTTGTGAAAAGCAATTTCCCCACAGCTACATCCTCGCCTATATCAATACAATACATGTACACATAATATATATGAAAAAAATGTTGTTTCTAATATACCTCCTATAAAATAAAATGAAATACAGCATTACTTGTAACTACGCCAGAGTTGCGTCGTGGAGTCAAAGGGAAGGGCGCTGGTGTACACGCAGCGAGTATAGCGCACTAGTTATCACATCGCACTGGCTTCTGGGAACGCCACTGGGTGGCGGTGCCAGGCTAGGGTGCCGGTGCCAGGCTAGGGTGCCGGTGCCAGGCTCGGGTGGCATACATCGCGTTGCGGATGACGTTATTCCGAAAGTCGCTTCGCGCATGCCAATAAAAGTTCCAAAGGCAAAGCGTGCCGCGTTATTCCAAAATGGCGTACAACAAAAGCCCGTAAAGCCGAGCATTGCCTGTAAATATAGCTCAGTGGGAGTTACCTGGTGGAAAAAAAATTAAATCGTGTTTATTTATTTTTACGAGAGCAAGAAGATCGTCTCACGCGTGCAAAGAATCCAAGCGGTTGTCTTCGCCGAGATCCGAGATGACAATGCTGCCGATCCCGCCGTTTAGTTGGGGCTCGCTATATCGCTTCCATCCAGCCCGGGTTTTGAACCAGCTGTCACCGGGAGCACGCCAGTCTTGTCCCAGGAACGGCATCTCCTTGACACCACCTGTAGCAAAGAAATAAAAACACCACGCAGCTGTGTTTGGCCAATACTAAACACAAACACGGGCGTCTGTGGCACAATGGGGCATGAGCACGCATGAGAACAACACTAAATAACTTAACGTGTTCGACAATAACATTGCCCAAAAAAAAAGGAAAATACATATAATAAATAAAATGTAGAATAGGCGACGTTTCGGGCAATGGCCCCTTTTCATGGCATTTATTTGAAAATTGTAAAACGAATCCAAAGATGTCTATAATGCACGTGTCGTATGCACGTACGCGCCTTTGTTTGCGTATTCATATTTGTCGATTACACAGTCCATGTATGTTGATTATTGTATGTACGTACAGACGTGTTTGTATGCTTTACATGTGCGCATCTGTCATTAAGAGTTGAGTGTTTATTTGAGTATGTGGAGAGCGGTGGCGCAGTGGTTAGCAGCCTGCACTGTGAACCCGGTGACCCCAGCCACATCCCCGTTCACGGCCAAACACCAGTCACGAATATCTGAACCGGTCCTGGGCCTCCCCTAGATCGACCCAGCCTCAAAAGGAGACGCTGGTGTGTAAACATCACCACTGGGGAGACAAAGGCGGCAGGGTGTAGAACTGGCCACCCACCCCCTCGTTCTTAATAGGCGCTCGCTATCAGCACTTGCACCCAACGATTTGTGTAAGGCTACATGGTGGTGGGGGTAATCTTCGCCTTTGTTTTGTGTGTGTACAGCACGAGACTGTACACATCCTTTGTCAAACGAATGACATCTTTGATAACTGCAGCGCTTACGTGCGCGTGCCGTTTTTTGTAAAAACAAAAAAATACTCACGCCACCCCCCCCCCCCGCGGCACACCACGTCCAGTATACAACTTGGCGTGTGCTACGAGTCTCGTGCCTAACAATAATTAAAAAAATCAGCAATAAACGAAGCCTTGTGGATACGTGTACAGCAGTGTAGTGTGTGTGCACGTGTGCGCATTTATGCATAGCCCTCAACCCATACGGGTTTACTCCGTAGTATTATTATTGTTGTTCTACAGGGAAATTGAGTCCATGACGGCGTACAGCTTGTTGCAATACGGGCACACACACACACGTAAAAAAATTATGTTTTTGTATATTTGTTTGTGTTTCTCCCTTGCGATGGGACTTTGTAGGATGAACGTTTTCGATGCATGAAGGGGCACGGGGTGGCCAACAAGGTCTGAATTGGTGTTTATGTAACACTCGACTGTAGACTGAACATAACTGCAAATGGCATTGATCGCACAACAGCCACCAGCTTACAATTCACGTACAGTACAGTAAACACATCTAAAAAAAACACTCAATAACGCCTTAATCGGAAATATATATAATAGGAGACGTTTCGGGTAAATGGCCCTTCTTCATGGCACACGGATTATTCAGGAATAAATACATCCTGCGTATGTACTACGGTACAGTATATTAATAATGTGTGTGTATGTGAGTTCGAAGCGTTGCCGACATAAGTGACGCTAATCGCGAAAACGCAGTCACTCACCTCTCGGTATACAGCGGAAGGTGAAACTGCAAGTAATATATTCACCAAAGCTGCAATCGAACCAGCGTGGTGAAGTATGGTCAAGCAACCCCACACCACCAGCACCACCACCAATGACGACGATGATGACACAGCCAAATGGGGTAGGAGGCCTTCATCCAGCAGTGGATTACTTGCAACAAAGGGCTGCCACGAAATACGACGCCGATTACGGCTGTGAATTCACATGAACTATTATTATTATCACGAGGAAGCACACGGAACAACACCGAGACGATCAGCAAGAGGCGCAGCAGCAGCAGCAGTGGCGGCAGCTGCTGCTGCTGCTGTGTTGCCGGAAGCTGCAGCACAATAACACGCAGTCGTGACGCGCCCCCTCCACCCTACCCCCCCCCCCTTTATATAGCACAGCCCCACCCCCTCACCAGCCCCACCCCCTCACCAGCCCCACCCCCCTCACCAGCCCCACCCCCCTCACCAGCCCCACCCCCCTCGCCAGCCCCACCCCCCTCACAAGGCCCCCCACCCGCTCACGAGCCCCCCCTCACGAGGCCCCACCCCTCACGAGCCCCCCCCTCACCAGCCCCACCCCCTCACGAGCCCCCCCCCTCACGAGCCCCCCCTCATAAGCCCCCCGCCCCTCACAAACCCCCACTTCACGAGCCGCCCCCCCCCCTCACGAGCCCCCCCCCCCCTCACGAGCCCCTCCCCCTCACGAGCCCCTTCCCTCACGAGCCCCCCCGCTCACGAGACCCCCCCCCTCACAAGGCTCCCCACCCCCTCACGAGCCCCCCCCTCACAAGGCCCCCCACCCCCTCACGAGCCCCCCCCCTCACAAGGCCCCCCACCCCTTCACGAGCCCCCCCCTCACGAGCCCCTTCTCTCACGAGCCCCCCCCGCTCACGAGCCCCCCCTCACAAGGCCCCCCACCCCCTCACGAGCCCCCCCCTCACGAGGCCCCACCCCTCACGAGCCCCCCCCCCCCTCACAAGGCCCTCCCCCTCACAAGGCCCCCCCCTCACGAGCCCCCCCCCTCACGAGCCCCCCCCTCACAAGGCCCCCCCCTCACAAGGCCCCCCCCTCATGAGGCCCCACCCCTCACGAGGCCCCCCCCCTCACGCGGGGCCCAGGCAGTTGCGTCTCGCGCGCTGATTGGCCCGCAGGCTGCGCGTGTCGGAAACGCGACTTCCGATTTGTATCACAATTTTAAATTATTTACTTAGTTCGTGTTTTAATGTTTCTCTCTGTGTTGGTGTATTTGTGCGTGGTTTTTTTGTGTTTGCGTGCTCGACTCAGCTTCGAATGAGTACCACGGTGCGGTGTGTAAACATCGCCACTGAGGGAGACAAAGGCGGCCGGGAGTGCTTTTGCTGGCCACCCCACCGAGCTTCATGTGCCGTGCCGGCCTTCATAGGTGCTGCTCGCTAACAGCACTTGCCCAAACAGTCTGTTAAGGCTATATGGGGGGGGGGATCTTTAGCTTTGTGCGCAGTAGAGTTGATTTGATTTGCGGGTGAATGGTACCGGCGGTGTCAAGATCGACCTCCGTGGAGGAGGCTCGTGAAGGACGCTGCTGCTGCTGCTACTGGGCAACTTGGAGGCAGTCGCCCTCCAGCAACAGCGGAGGGCGCAGGAGCGACGCTCACAACAACGAGCGAAGCACCGGGCGGATAAAAAATAAAAGCGTAGCCAGCTGGCGCAGCGGGGAGCCAGTCTGCTCAGTCAGTCAACCCACGTGCAACCTGGGCTTGTCCCCTGACCTGCCAGAGAGCCTTCGACAACTTCACGTGGCCTCAAAGTGCACCTAGCCTGGCACCAGGCGCCGTGGTGACGGCTCCGCCACCTCGTGTGCGCGTGAGCTCAGCCGCGGAGCGGTGGCGCAGCGATTAGCGACACCCCCCCCCCCCCCTCCGCAACTCCCTCGTGTGGCGTGTCAGGCCTTAATAGGTGCTCGCGAACAGCCAGCTTGCCCCAACAGTCTGTCAAGGCTACACGGGGGGGATCTTTTCTCGTTAGTGAGCTCAGTCGATGCAACCCAAGACGACGATACAATACGTCTCGCCTAATGCACAGCGGTATGGGTCATCACAAAAACGTCGCCAGTATGGTTTGTTGTCGCCCCCCTCCCCCGCGCGCACCTCCGACGAGCACGATTGGCTGCGTACGGTGCGAAAGAAGTTCAACATGCACACGTACCGTATCTTTCCTATAGTCCCGGTATGTTGTTTCGTCTGCGCCCTTTGGTTTGCTGTACCTGGCGAAAGCACGATCCTTGAATTCGCACGTAACGTCGCGTGCACCGTAAACAAATCCGCACAGCCCTCGGACCCACGTGTCATTGAGCACGAGAATTGCGGTAATTTTAATCAAGGGATCGAAGCATCGTCACAATGTTGGTTTCCCATCACGAGTCTCAACCGTCGTCGATCGCGCGCTGTTTTCTCCTCTGCAAATGCAATCGCTGTGCTGAAATGAAAGGGGTCAAGGCATAAATGGATGGGAGCAAAATTGGGTCGGGTATAATTTGGTCAGGCATTTATTGGGGTCGAGGCATGATTGGGTCAGGCATAATTGCTGTTCCACGCCTCGCATGCAAACGTGTCCATATGTTCACAACTGAGGGCTGCCTTGAATGCGTGGCAATCACGGCTTGAAGTGGGTTATACATTCATGGGGGGGGGGGGGGGGGTAGGTGGAGTGGAGGGGGCTTGCCGCTTCACACAGCGAGGCTGTAGCCATGTAGTCAACATTTGGGGGGACCAAATCTTCCAGAGGGTCTGGGGGTCCCCCCCCCCCCTCCCCAGAAAACAAATTTTAATTTTAAAACGAATTTCCTGTCTAAAATATTTTAAAAAAATCACTAACACATAGGATGGACTTTTTTTGTTTTTACAATGTCTAATACAGTGAAACCTTGGGATTGCGAGCATAATTCGTTACGGAAACGTGCTCGTAATCCACTCGTATATCAAAGCGAATTTCCCCATAAGAAACAATGGAAACTCAGATGATTCGTTCCACAACCCAAACATATATTAAAAAAATGATTCATACAAAATACTGTACCTTTTTATATTTTTATTTAAATTTAATATAAAGTAATCAAATGCATTCATTAAATTTAATCGTGGCTGGTGTGAGGGAGACGAGAGAGAGGAGAGGAGGGTTATTGTGTAGGACGACTTTCACTGTCACTAACGGAATCACTGCCATCTGTTGGCTCACTGGAATCTTTTTTTTATTTTTGTGCGACTTTAACAAGGGACCTATCCAATGACACTTGCTTTTGCCTCCTTCTTCTTACCGCCGTCCTTTTCAACCTGTTCTTCATGGGGGCCATTGTTGCAGTACAGTTACTAAAGAACAGTCACTACACTTGAACACAAAATAACAAAAATGCTTTACGCACACACACGTGGTCACAACACTATAGTAGGGTAGTAAACAGTATACACGTGGTCACAACACTATAGTACTGTAGTAAACAGTATACACGTGGTCACAACACTATAGTACTGTAGTAAACAGTATACACGTGGTCACAACACTATAGTAGTCTAGTAAACAGTATACACGTGGTCACACCACTATAGTACTATAGTAAACAGTATACACGTGGTCACAACCCTATAGTAGTGTAGTAAACAGTATACACGTGGTCACAAGACTATAGTAGTGTAGTAAACAGTATACACGTGGTCACATCACTTTAGTAAACAGTATACACGTGGTCACAACACTATAGTAAACAGTATACACGTGGTCACAACACTATAGTAAACAGTATACACGTGGTCACAACACTATAGTAGTGTAGTAAACAGTATACACGTGGTCACAACACTATAGTACTGTAGTAAACAGTATACACGTGGTCACAACACTATAGTAGTGTAGTAAACAGTATACACGTGGTCACAACACTATAGTACTGTAGTAAACAGTACACACGTGGTCACAACACTATAGTACTGTAGTAAACAGTATACACGTGGTCACAACACTATAGTACTGTAGTAAACAGTATACACGTGGTCACAACACTATAGTAGTGTAGTAAACAGTATACACGTGGTCACAACACTATAGTACTGTAGTAAACAGTATACACGTGGTCACAACACTATAGTACTGTAGTAAACAGTATACACGTGGTCACAACACTATAGTAGTGTAGTAAACAGTATACACGTGGTCACAACACTATAGTACTGCAGTAAACAGTATACACGTGGTCACAACACTATAGTACTGTAGTAAACAGTATACACGTGGTCACAACACTATAGTAGTGTAGTAAACAGTATACACGTGGTCACAACACTATAGTACTATAGTAAACAGTATACACGTGGTCACAACACTATAGTAGTGTAGTAAACAGTATACACGTGGTCACAACACTATAGTACTATAGTAAACAGTATACACGTGGTCACAACACTATAGTACTATAGTAAACAGTATACGCTCGCACGGATGTTGACTATACGAGTGAGGCACGCCGACTGAGACCGATCATGGGAGATAATTACCCACAATCCCGCAGCGAGAGAGAAGATCCATTGTCTCAGTTGTGATCACGTGACGCTCGGCAGACAAAGCTGTATACTCTACACGTACTGCTCGTATTGCAAGACATCGCTCGTTTATCAAATTATTTATTTAAAAATTTTGCTCGTCTTGCAAAACACTCGCAACTGTAGTGTATTGTATTACATTGCTCTGTTATTAATATATCTTGATTAACAGAACACGTGTTTCCAATTCACATCGCACTGGTACAATATAACGCCTGAAGTTGGTGTCCATTTGCTTTGTATCACGGAAGGTTCCGATATTGCTCGCACATGATGATGTCCGTCGTGGCTAACAATTGCATTTAGAAATCACCGACACTCCGACCGGTCTCCCCACGCCTCGCGTGCCGTGTGATATTTTCGCACTAGGTTGACCGATGCATCAAGTCGTCAGTTAATATTGGTTCTGAGAGAATCTTATTGCACGTGTAGATAGTTCGTCGCCAAACATCGATGATTGAATTTAGTACCCCAATCCGTCCCTGTCTCCCAGATGAACTGTAAGATGGCACACACCGTCTTCAAGATCCGTTAAGATCTCGCCCCTGGTTACGTCTCCCCTCTCATCTCACTCTGCTCCTCACCTCGCACTCCCCTATCCCTCTCTCCCCTCTCATCTCACTCTACTCCCTTCCATGTAACTCTCCTACCACTCTCTCCCCTCTCATCTCACTCTATTTCCACGCACTCTCCTACCTACCTCCTCTCATCTCACTCTACTCCCTTCCATGTAACTCTCCAACCACTCTATCCCCTCTCATCTCACTCTACTCCCTTCCATGTGACTCTCCCACCACTCTCTCACCTCTCATCTCACTCTGCTCCCACGCACTCTCCTACCACTCCCCTCTCATCCCACTCTACTCCCTTCCATGTGACTCTCCCACCACTCTCTCCCCTCTCATCTCACTCTACTCCCACGCACTCTCCTACCACTCCCCTCTCATCTCACTCTACTCCCTTCCATGTGACTCCCACCACTCTCTCACCTCTCATCTCACTCTGCTCCCACGCACTCTCCTACCACTCCCCTCTCATCCCACTCTACTCCCTTCCATGTGACTCTCCCACCACTCTCTCACCTCTCATCTCACTCTGCTCCCACGCACTCTCCTACCACTCCCCTCTCATCTCACTCTACTCCCTTCCATGTGACTCCCACCACTCTCTCACCTCTCATCTCACTCTGCTCCCACGCACTCTCCTACCTCTCCCCTCTCATCTCACTCTACTCCCTTCCATGTGACTCTCTCACCACTCTCTCCCCTCTCATCTCACTCTACTCCCTTCCATGTGACTCTCCCACCACTCTCTCTCCTCTCATCTCACTCTACTCCCTTCAATGTGACTCTTCTACCTCTCTCCCCTCTCATATCACTCTACTCCCACGCACTCTCCTACCTCTCTCCTCTCATCTCACTCTACTCCCTTCCATGTGACTCTCCCACCACTCTCTCACCTCTCATCTCACTCTGCTCCCACGCACTCTCCTACCACTCCCCTCTCATCTCACTCTACTCCCTTCCATGTGACTCTCCTACCACTCCCCTCTCATCTCACTCTACTCCCTTCCATGTGACTCTCCTACCACTCCCCTCTCATCTCACTCTACTCCCTTCCATGTGACTCTCCGGTCCAGCTGCCAACGCTTTCCGTCGAAGTCCCCAGTCGGCTTTCACTCAGCGTGACGTCGCAGGCCGGGAGAAAGCCGCGCGAGTCCCCATTGCCTGGCGCTCCCTCGCCGCCCGTGCTGTGGACTCCCTGCACCCGTTCAGGTACATTCTCAGACCTTCTTGGGTTTACCTGTTCTATGACAGTCTTTGCCTCCCCCCCCCCCCAATTAATTTTTTTACCGTACTCACTGATTTCTGAGATGGGTTCGCATTTAGACGCTACCGTATTCATCATTGCATTGTATTCAATCGGTATTGAGCACGCGACGATTCGTTACATTGCCGGAGCCCGGAAAATCGTACCTCTCCCTCCTACCACTCTCTCCCCTCTCATCTCACTCTACTCCCTTCCATGTGACTCTCCCACCACTCTCTCGCCTCTCATCTCACTCTACTCCCTTCCATGTGACTCTCCCACCACTTTCTCCCCTCTCATCTCACTCTACTCCCTTCCATGTGACTCTCCCACCACTTTCTCCCCTCTCATCTCACTCTACTCCCTTCCATGTGACTCTCCTACCTCTCTCTCTCCTCTCATCTCACTCTACTCCCTTCCATGTGACTCTCCCACCACTCTCTCCCCTCTCATCTCACTCTACTCCCTTCCATGTGACTCTCCTACCTCTCTCTCGCCTCTCATCTCACTCTACTCCCTTCCATGTGACTCTCCCACCACTCTCTCCCCTCTCATCTCACTCTACTCCCTTCAATGTGACTCTCCTACCTCTCTCTCCCCTCTCATCTCACTCTACTCCCTTCCATGTGACTCTCCTACCTCTCTCTCTCCTCTCATCTCACTCTACTCCCTTCCATGTGACTCTCCCACCACTCTCTCCCCTCTCATCTCACTCTACTCCCTTCCATGTGACTCTCCCACCACTCTCTCTCCTCTCATCTCACTCTACTCCCTTCCATGTGACTCTCCTACCTCTCTCTCCCCTCTCATCTCACTCTACTCCCTTCCATGTGACTCTCCCACCTCTCTCTCTCTTCTCATCTCACTCTACTCCCTTCCATGTGACTCTCCCACCACTCTCTCCCCTCTCATCTCACTCTACTCCCTTCCATGTGACTCTCCCACCACTCTCTCGCCTCTCATCTCACTCTACTCCCTTCCATGTAACTCTCCTACAACTCTCTCCCCTCTCATCTCACTCTACTCTCTTCCATGTGACTCTCTCACCACTCTCTACCTTCTCATCTCACTCTACTCCCTTCCATGTGACTCTCCTACCTCTCTCTCCCCTCTCATCTCACTCTATTCCCTTCAATGTGACTCTCCGCTCCAGCTGTTGAAGACCCCTCCCCATCCCCTCCACCCAGTCGGCTTTTACTCAGTGGTATGACCCTCGGCGTGCATAACGCGCTGTGCATAAATATGCATGGTGCATCAGCGACCTCTATTGAATAGACAGCTGTGGGTTAAACCATTTGAATCTCGATCGGAGGCTGTGGGTTGAAGGTTTCCCAAATTGCACGCGCACCAACGCATACATTCTGAAATTGTTCACAATCTTGATTTAAAGCTTTCGTGACTACAGGGATTCATATTCTTGGTTCTTTCGGTAAAGTCACGTAGAAGGGAAACAGTAACATAATATTGTTTTATATTTTTATTATTTTGTTTCCCTTCTACGTGACTTTACCGAAAGAACCAAGAATATATATTGTTCACAATCGTTGTCCGTCCAGCAGCAGTGCCATTGGGTACACAACAAAGACAAAGGTCCCCCGTATAGCCTTCAACAGACTGTTGGGGCAAGTCTATGAAGGCTGGCACGGTACAAGAGGGTGGCCAACACCACGCCCGGCCGCCTTTGTCTCACCAATGGGGAATGTTTTACACACTGCATCAGGTACTCGTTAAAGGCTAAGTCGACCTAGGGGAGGCCCCAGAACCGGTTGAAATATCCACTTTTATTAGCCGTGAACGGGAGTCCAACTCGGGTTGCGGGGTTTGTAGCGCAGTTGCGCCAACCACAACACCACCGCTCTACTGGGTACGGCGCAGCGTACCGATCGGTAGGTCGCTTGTGTGGTGGGGTCAAGTGTGGCTACTTCCCACCTCTTCTGTTCAGCTTGGAAGAGGAGACCAAAATGCCCTCTAGAGCTTCCTCCAATGGAGGCAATTTCAGGGCTGCTCCTTGACCTCATATTTTTAGGTTGCCTCTGATGTGAGATACAGAAGTTTGTCTTGCATTTGGCAGTACCAATTCGAGCGTTGTGTTTAAACGCGTACATTAAAGCACCCTTTTGCACAAATCAATTTGTTCTTATTCACCAATCCTGGTGACCCCGCTTGTGCGACACATCAAGCCGCGGCACACTTCACACACCTGATAGTTGGTAGTCAAAGCCGCACCGCCGAAGGACCCGACCAGAAGCGAGTTTGAGAAACGCCGCGTAATTGGAATGAGGGTGCGGGCGCTGGCCGAGTTTGCCACTCAAATATTTTCCGTAACCCCGCCAGGCTGGCTTGGGGTGGGGGTTATCGGCGTAAGGCACTACCACTAGAATACAATACAAGGTAGGCCTATCCGTTATAACAATCCGTAGTTATCGTTGCCATATGTTTCTACGATCCTGAATCACCAACCGCACTACCGCGAGAACAAAACAGGGCTGGATGGACGTGGCGAACCAAGCTCATTTCCAGGAAGAGCGTTCCGGACGGAACGCCTCCGTGCAGGATGGGTGGCGGGGGTTGCGCGGAACCCGTTTCGCGTGTAGCCGTCGTGAACACTGTTACACCCGTGAGCAGTGCAAAGTTGGGCCTAGTCGGGGGCCGGCTCGCGAACTTGCGCGTAAAATAACCACGAGCCAGTCGTTTGCGTCAAATTTCTCGTCAAAGATTTGCTTTATTTAATATTACCTGTAAGGTTAAATTGACATGTAATTCGATTACTGATCTGGTTACATAGAAAGGCAAATTACGTTTGTGCTGCTGCTGCGTTGGCAGAGGTGCACGCCGCACAATTAACAATCACAACTCAACACGATCGCCAATAACAACCCTGTGTGCCCTTAAAAGGACACGAAGTCTATAACAGGTGACGTTTCGGGCAATGGGCCTTCTTCATGGCACAACAAGGGTGGCATTGACAAATGTGTTGAGTTTTTGTTTTTCGATGACGTAAAAGGTTTGCGTCGCTTCTAATACATGTATTTGTTACGGTGTTCAGAATATATGAAAGAAACGGAAGGTTTTTTTATTGCGTCTTCATGTGTGTTAAACGAGGTACACCTTTACGGGTAATTATTTAAAAACGTCTTTATTCTTCAATTTAAAAGCAGCAGTTTTTGTTGTTGTTATAATTTGCATAAACACTTCCCGCACACTCCTCTAGGAATACAGACCGCATCATCCATCAAGAATTAGGCCCAAAAAAATATATAAAATGGTCGAAAAAAATTACATTTTCCAAACACACGAAAACTTGTGAATGCACTCTTAGGCCGCCTCGTGCTCTCTTTACAGGGCCTTCAAAACACGTTTCAAGCCACCGTTACATCCCTCGCACCTCCAGAAAAAAACTCTCACGTGACACGAACTCTAAGGGCTTCGCGAATTGCAATTCTCGGCGGAGGCCGCGATGGCACGCATTTCCTCGTTCAATTCGTGCAGCGATTGCACGCCGCGTTCAACCCGGCGATCGTCGAAGGCTCTCCACGCGATGTAGACACGCGGCTATTTTCGTTTCGTATTTTTTTGTTTTTCCTCGACGCCCTCGGAGCTGCGTAAAAAGCCGTGGCGTTCTCTACGCCCAGCGGGGGGGGGGGGGGGGGGGGTGGCGTGACATTATCGGCGTTCATCGGGCCGCGTGTGCGGCATCGCGCGTTGACAATTTAACATTTTAGGACGAAGCGAGACTCGGTTAACCTTGAAGAGATGGGCCGTGACGGCTCGCGACCGGGGGAAAACCCATGAACTAAAGGCGCGGTGCGGCATTTCATCCGCGAGGAATCGCTTTGCAAAAACAAATATTCGGCGATAGATTTTGTTTGTATTCTTCGTTGTCGGAAACGGATAGGTGCCTATCAATGGATGGATGTCACCGTCGCTCTCTGTTATTGCGTTGGTGGTGGCGGCGGCAGCGTTGGCGGCGGCGGCGGCGGCGGCGGTGTTGGGGAACGCTTCCTCCTTTGCTTACGACGCGTAGCGGCACCGCACCTTGCCGCGGCCGTGCTCGTTGCGTACGCACGAGCACTCCTTGCGCTGCGCCACGTTGCGGCCCGCGTAGCCGGCGATCGCCTGGCCCACGGCCGCGGCGTCCACGTCGGTGCGCAGTGCGTCCACGCTGAACACGGCTCCTGCACGCGAGCCGCATGGGTGACACGTGCTTGTGCTGAACCGGTTTCGCACCGCACGGAAGCCTGCCGTTGCTAATCGGAGCTGTCGGTGGTGATGATGGCGTGTCTATGTACGTGTGTTGAACTTAATTCGCACCGTCCGTGGTAATCGGAGGTGCGCGGGAAGGACAACAAACTAAACACAAAAAGCAGTTGTAAAGAAATTAATTTTTCAATATACAGATCCGCTCCTTCCCCCCCCCCCCCCCCGCCCCCCCCCGGTACAGCTTTTAGCAAATCCGTTGGGGCAAGTGCCACAAGCTAGCACCTATTAAGGCTGGCACGGCACACGAGGGGACAGGTTGCGTGTGGTGCCCGGCCGCCTTTGTCGCCCCAATGCTGGTGTTTACCCGCCACGCTAGATGCTCATTTAAGTCCGAGGTGATCTCAGACCGTGCGAAAACTTCCACCGCAGCGTCACGCGATCATTCCGCTTTCGGCACAGGTGGCGGCTGAAACCCTGCATTCGATCGTCGGACCCCAGTGGCCGCCGGCTCATTGCTACGACGACCCAAGTGCTCCCCCCGCCACCACCACCCAATCAACGCAGTAACCCCCCTCCCCCCCCACCACCCGGCCGGTCCCGTCATGTGCGCCACAGTCGCCCCGTTACCGTTGGTGGAGCGGACGAGCTTGACGTAGTCGCCGCGGGGCAGCGGCACCACCTCGTCATCGCCGCCCGCCCACGGGCCGCCCTTGCCCGAGATTGGCTGCCCGTCGCCGGTCAGGCCCACGAGCGCCGACTTGGCCCCACCGGACTTGCGGAGCGCGCGGTAGTCGCTGAGCACGCTCAGCACGACGCCGTTGCTCTTGAGCAGGTGGTCGACGTTGGCGAGGTCCACGGACGACAGGAAGGATGCCACCTGCCCCCCCCGCAACGCGCTCGTTAGGGCGACCGCTCCTTCGCCGGATTTTTCCCGCGACGCGGTTTTATTTGTTGCTGCACAATGGCGCAGCGAATTCACGGGAAAACTCAGTCGCGTTCGTTATTTAACACTCTTGGCCTTCAAATTAAGAACATAACAGGTGATGGGCCCTTCTTCGTGGCACAAAATAAAAAAAATCAGTTGTTTATAGGAAATTGTATTCATTGCTTGGTTATTACGAATGTTCTTTTAAGTCATACATTACATGTTTTAATACGTTTTTTTGAGAGCATCAACCGGTCACACAACAACAACCACCATTCGCCACTAAGCGGCGGTGACGTCACTTCGGCGCTTGTGCCAGGCTATGTGCACTTTGAAGCAACGTGAGCGTCGAAGTCTCACTGGGAGGAGGTCACGGAACAGACCCAGGTGCCAAGGATTCACCGACTGAGATGACCGGTGCGAGCAGCTGGTGACCCCTCTGCGTTCAATCCCATTACCACTCAACCACAAGTAAAATATTAAACCCGGTTACACGCACGAAGACAAAGATCCCCCGTATAGCCTTAACAAACTGTTGGAGCAAGTGCTGTTAGCGAGCACCTATGAAGGCCGGCATGGCACATGAGGGGGTGGGTGGCCAACGCCACGCTCGGCCGCCTTTGTCTCCCCAGTGGTGATCTTTACACACCGCGCCAGGTACTCATTTGAGGCTGAGTCGACCGGGTGGAGGCCCAAGACCGGTGTAAATAATCGTCACCGGTGTTTGCCGTGAGCGGGAATCGAACTCTGTCCCGCTGGGTTGGTAGCGCAGCGCGCTAACCGCTACACTCCCGCTCCCCCGCACGCACACACGTACACGCAAAAGCACTCACGCACGCACGTGCACCGATGGCGAACACCGACCTGGTCCGACTCGGCCACGAGCACCACGAGGCGCGCCGCCTCGGGCTGGAAGTCGTATCCGGCGGCCGCCACGAGCGCGTCGTACGCCGGCGTGCCGCTGGCCCCCGTGAACTCCAGGCCGCCGAGGGCCCTCTTCATGTTGGTCGCGGAGGTCCACACCTCGCCGCGCACCGCGTTCACCTGGGCCCGCCCGTCGCTATCTTTGCCACCGAACGTCACCAGGCCGTAGCGCGCGTCCTGCGACGGGATGGGGAGCGGAGGGGGGAACGGGGGTGGCGGTGTTACGTGACGTCGCTTCTTCCCCCGTGGAGCTTCGGGGCGATGCGCCGGCTACGGATTGTGGTCGCGCGTTGGCAGTCGGGTGGATCGGGCGGCGGGGCGGGCAGGCCTGCTGCCACCTGGCGGTACCCCTTCGGCCGAAAGCCACGCTGCTCTTGGGGTGCCGCGGTGGCTAGGAGATGTTAACTACCTCGCCCGGTATACAGGAGGTCGTGGGATCGATCCCGACCCTGACTCCTGCTGCATATTTGGGGTCTGCGTGTTCTTCCCATGGTCGTGTGGATTTTTCTCCAGGTCCTCTGGTTTTTCACTCCACATTTAGAATCGACGTGCGTTTAGACTATTTGGCCACTGTAAATTTCTATGCAACGATAATCCACTTCGTTGAGCTATCATTTGTGGCCAGGTCGCTTCTGAAAAAGAAGCTAATATCTCAGTGAGCCTTACCTATTAAAATAAAACAAGTTGTTTATTGTTTTAGTTTAGTGCTTTTGAGGCCGGTTTACATTGCTTACCTTGATGCCCTGCGCGGAGAGGCTTTCATCCACTGCCTGCAGCAGCCCCTTGACCTTGGCCTGCTGCAGCCTGTTGCTCTGGTCGATCACGAACAGCACGTCTGCGCTGGGCGCGCCATTTACCATCCACAGGTCCTGCAGCCTCTTCTTGTTGCAGCGAGCTGCGGGGTGGATCGGGGGTGGTCACACGCGTAATGAGGCTCAAACGGCTACCGTCGTGTAGGTCTGGTTGACTGTCCGCTGATGCTTCGAGGGCAGAGATATGAAAGTCAAAAGTCGTGACTGCGGTGTGACTGCCATTGATTTCAATACGTCTACAGCACGACACGCAGTGCATTGTGGGAGCGAACACTAGAGCTACATCACGACAACAGGACGCACACTGTGGGAGCAGGCTATATTCAGCCAATGCGTGTCAGAGAACTTCTATTCCGAATCGGAAATCACACCGCCGCCACCACAGTGAGAGTCGCAGGCGTCTCTCACCAAGTGTGTGGCACCTGACAAGAGCGACACTCACCGCAGTCATCCGGGTTTGAGAGGTCGACGCCCTTCTGCTCACAGAGCATGCGGTAGGCGGTGGAAGTGGGGCAGATGTCGCTGCCCTTCTGGCACAGGCTCAGGAACTCTGATGGATCCAGCTCTTTGAAACAGGGGTTGAACGGAGAGCTCGTGTTCATCTTGTCCAGGAGGTGTTTGCACCTGCACCGGCAATCAGAGAGGTAAACGCACTTGTATAACCTACAGTTGTAGACGGTGCCACAGTAGGACTTTTGGATGAGTGGCCGTGGGATTTGAGTGGGTGGCCGTGGGATATGGATGGGTGGCCATGGAATATGGCTGGGTGGCCGTGGGATTTGGGTGGGTGGCCGTGGGATGTGGGTGGGTGGCCATGGGATATGGGTGGGTGGCCGTGGGATTTGGATGTGTGGCCGTGGGATTTGGATGTGTGGCCGTTGGATTTTGGTGGATGGCCGTGGGATTTGGGTGGGTGGCCGTGGGATTTGGGTGGGTGGCCGCAGGATTTCGATGTGTGGCCGTGGGATTTGGATGTGTGGCCGTGGGATTTAGGTGGGTGGCCGTGGGATTTGGATGTGTGGCCGTGGGATTTGGATGTGTGGCCGTGGGATTTGGGTGGGTGGCCGTGGGATTTGGGTGGGTGGCCGTGGGATTTGGGTGGGTGGCCATGGGATATGGGTGGGTGGCCGTGGGATTTGGGTGGGTGGCCGTGGGATTTGGGTGGGTGGCCGCGGGATTTGGATGTGTGGCAGTGGGATTTGGATGTGTGGCCGTGGGATTTAGGTCGATGGCTCTGGGGTTTGAGTGGATGGCCGTGGGATTTTGGTGGGTGGCATAGGTTTTGGATGGCTGGCACGGGCTTGGGTGGGTGACATCTGTGAAAAATAACTTTATAGCACATTAGATTCCTCCAGTATAAATACATATTTAGATTTTTTTAAAATTCTATTTATATAGCTCAGTGTTTAGTTTGAGTGGGTCGGATGCGTTTTTGGAGGGTGGTTATGGGTTTTTGGGTGGGCAGCACGGGCTGAGTGTCGTTCTGTCGAGCATCTCACCGTGGCGAGGAAAGCTGCCGGCGAGAGGATGGGACGACGCGCACCGAGGCACACTCACTCGCTCCCGTCATCTCCCACGAGGAGAAGAACGCCGCCGTGTCCGATGCCTGGTACCCGTTCGAGATCTGCAAAGCGAGCACAGTGGATGCGTCGTCGTTCGTTGCGTTCACGACTTATTTTCAAAGTTGCTCTGTGAGAAGCTGTTGTAGCAGTCGCTATGTTTTATTTCAATCGTACTATCGGCATCATGTCTCACGGGACTCCCACCGAGCAGCGCATCGCCCTGTCCGTTACAAAATCCAGTGCTGTACCACCATCTCCTGTACCGTTGGCTGACTTTGCCCTGGTTTCTACTTTGCTTCATTGCTGAATTTGATTCTGTTGCTTTTGCTATGTAGGTGACCTCACATCACTCTTGCAAATGCGACCCATCCCGATCGCTTGAGTTATCGCCTGGTTCCCACAAAAATTTACGTGAAACCCATCTCCTGGTTAACATTGCCATCCGAGCCTACGACACCCGCTATCGCCAGGCGGCCTCCACATCCAATTACAGAGGCGTGCTCAGAGCTTAGCTTCTGACGACGATACCGTGCCTGATGCTGGTTGCTTCTGCCGTTAATCGCTTTTGAGCAACGACAAAACACCACTCTCGGGCAGGAGACGTCGAGCGTGAGGGGGGGGGGGGGACGCGGAGGGGGGGCACTATCGCGGCCACCGCCTTACCATCATGTCGGTGGTCGGCTCGTGGTCGTTGGTGCCCAACAGGCCCATGGTGCGCCCGTGGTACCAGCCGCTGAGCTCGAAGAGGAAGGTGCGGCGCACCGTGTCGATACGCACGCCCGCCCCGGCGCTCGTCTCCACCAGCACGAGGTCGCCCTCGCGGGTGACTCTCACGCCGGACGTCCCGTCGACGTACGGGATGTTGACCTTGTTGGACGGCGCTGCGGGGGTACGCCAGCGCCAGCGGCAAGAGGGTGGGGCGGGGGGGGGATGGGGGGGGGCAGCGATGTTGAATACCGCAAGGGACCGGCGCACGTAGGCGGACGGACGAACAGTTTCCGCAGAGTCGTGTGACTCGCTGGTATTCCCCAGAGGCGAGCTCTTATCACAGTGGCTCACGACAAATCCTGCAGCTGTCTGGGAGGAGGGCCTCTCTAGGACCTGTGTCAGTTTACCGCGTCCGAGTCTGGGCGAATTGTCGATATGTCGTCAATGCGGGCGGTGTGTCATTGCCAGGCGAGCAGCCTGTAGCCAGACTGGGGTGACGGTGAGGTCCGGAAAGCTGACAAGATCCCCCCATGTAGCCTACACAGACTGTTTGATCAAGCGCTGTTAGCGAGCGCCTATTAAAACTAGCACGGCACACAAGGGGGAGGCGGCGTGGCCAGAGCCAACGCCCAACCTTTATCTCCCCGGCGCTGACGTTTACACACCGGGTTACATATTTAAGGACGAGTCGACCTCGGGAAGGCTCGGGACCCGCTCAGATATCTGTCACTGGCTCGCCTCGCCAGGGTTTCCGCAGCGAAGCGCGCTAGCCGCTGCGCCGGCACTCTCCGCGATTGCGCGCGCCGCTTAAGCCGGGACGACTCCCGGCGACGTACTGTCGACGGAGACGGCGCCGGCGGAGGTCATGTAGAGGACGGTGGTCGGCAGGCGCAGGGCGATGAAGCCCTGCAGCTTGACGAGGGTGAAGTTCTGGTCGAGGAAGTCGTGCGCCAGCAGGAAGGCGCAGCGGCCGCCCGGCAGCTGAGGGGTCTCGACGACGCGGCCGTCGAACGTTACCATGTAGTCGCCGTCCGCAAAGACCATGGCCGACGCTGATGGTGGGCGGAGAGGGGGTGCATGGGGCAAGGGTGGTTCACAGTTAGGAGGATGAGAATCAGATTTAGACTGTTAAGTTTTTTCCATCGCCGTGCCTCATCTCCCGGGCCAACTCGCAGGCCGTCTCCCACAACCCCTCGATGGGCACCACCGGTCGGTTGCCCTTCCAAGCACCACCCCAGCCTCGTTCCTCAATGAGGCTAACACGATCTGACCATGGCCAGATTCTGACATCGCTGGGTGCCGTAAGTGACGCCAAGCTGAAGAGGCCCCCATTGAGGAATGCCGGTACATTTTTAGAGTGTCTTTTGTACCTGTTGAACATTTAAACATCGTTTTAGTATACAAAATATATATGTTTTTACATATTTAGAGGCCCCCTCGTAATGTGAGGCCCTCGCCTGTAGCTCACTTAGCCTAGGCCTCAATCCGGCCCTGGATCTGCCGTAGATGGGGGAACCGACCCGTTCAGGTCGATTTTTTTTTTTGCTCGCAGGCAAATGGGAGCCAGGCTGAGGACACATGGGGAACGCTCCTCCACACGCGGCGCCGTGGCTTCTCCGCTCGCTCGCTTGCACGCGGTTTACCTTTGAACGGGGGAAAGTCGTCCAGCGTGGGCAGGCCTATGTAGACGGTGGGGTCCATCGCGAACCACAGCGCGTTGTCAACGATCGCCTGTTCACAGACAAGCGGGCATACGGGAGAATGAGAGCGAGTGAAGGGAAGCGGGGGGCGGGCGGGGGGAATACGAGTGATCGTCTGTACACACGCTCACGGGGAACAAAACGGGAATGCCACGACCGCCAGAGGTCGCTGGTTCCGACGGTGCAAGTATCTTGAATCCCACCCAGCGGTACGTATATATATGTGTACGCGCGTATAGATGCGTGCACCCCAATTGGTCGATCGGCAAGTCATGTGCGCTGGAGATAAAGTTTTGGGGCTCGCACATCTTCCCAAGATGTCCGGCCGGCGTGGAAGAGTAGGCCAAAGTTCCCTCTCTCGAGCATCCCAACTGCTGATGACGTGTGCAGTAAAACGGTTGACGAGCCAGCCACCCCTATCCCCAACCAGGATGACCCTAGTCTGACCCTGCCAGCAGCCTGTAGCGGACTGCTTGCACGGGAGGGTGGCGCAGCTCGGTCGACCGGTCATGGCACGGCTGGCTTCTCCCATGAGCAAGTAGCGTGAGTGAGCATTTGCAGGGCTGTTCCTTTACCGCGTTATATATTTTTACATTGACCTGCATGATGGCAGATGCAGTAGTCTAATTTGTATTTTATTTGGCAGTATGTAGCAATTACAGCTTTGTGTTAAACTCGTACACTAAAACCACGTTTCTAGTGAATGCGTAAATTAATTTGTATATGAACGGAAGCTGCATGGGTGCAGCTTTTGTTCGTGTACGAATCAAACTGCTGGACTCTTCGCATGCCTGACAGTTGTTAATCAAAGTGGGACTGCACCTGATCCCTGTACGATATCGATCGAGGAGGGGTCGCTCACCTTCGCATCGTTCACTCCCTGGCGCAGCTTGGGGATGGCGTCCGCCATGGTCATCTCGAGGACGGCCAGGTTGGCGCTGATGAGCGCGCGCGTCTGCGCCAGCCGCTCGTTGATGATCTGCCGCCCGATGGCCACCGTGCTGTTGATGCCGCTCACCGCCTCGTCCCTGAGGCGGGGCAGCTCGTCGAACGAGCGCCACGACACGACGCCCTGGGGCAGCCGGAGCGACAGGCGGCCCGGCCGCGCCACCGCGTAGTCGGCGAGGGCGCCCGAGACGGCGCGCGGCAGCCGGCGCAGGAACTCGACGAGCGAGCGGGCGAGGCCGGCGTAGCGCTCGAGCGACGAGTCGAGGGCTCGCGACGCCCGCTCCAGCAGCCCGTCGTAGGACTCAGCGAAGCGCTCGTACGCCTCCCGGATTCGCTCGCGCGCCTCGGCCGAGAGCCGCACCGCCCGCTCGCCGGTGCTCGCCGACACCTCGCCCAGCTTGGCCGTGGTGGCCACGACGAAGCGCTCAACCACGCGCTTGGCCTGCACCAACAGCTCCATCGCCTTGGCGCCCATCTTCTCCGGGCGGTCCAGGTTGATCGCGCTGGCGACCTCGGTCAGCTCGTTTGCCAGCTCGCGCACCAGCGACAGGCCGTCCTGGTAGTACTTGGGTCCCATCTGGCGGAAGTAGTCGAGGACGGTCCGGATGAGCGCCACCGCGCGCTCCTCCACCTCCCAGTACTTGAGGTTCAAGTCCAGTGCGGTGCCCTCGAGGTACTTGCGCTGAATGGTGCGGGCGGTTTCCACGATGCCGTTGAAATAACGGGTGAGCTCGTCGAGCGTCGCCTTCACGACGTCGCCGATCAAGACGAAGAACTCCTGCGTCATCTGGTGGATGTGGCGCAGCTGTTCCGTATCGCGCAGGCTCAGCATGGCCCTTGAGGCGCCGGCGGCATAGTCGTAGTTGACGGCAGAGGCGTACGCACGCTTCGTGTCGTCCGCGAGGGAGCTCGCCTTGGAGTAAGCGTCGCGGTACGCGGCCTTCACATCCAGGCTCTGGTAGGCGAGCGCGGCGCGGTCCGCCGCGTATTCCATGGAGCTTTCCAATGTCGCCAGCAGGTCGGAGCCCTTCACCAGTTGGCCCGCGAATGGCTCGCGGAACTCGAGGTGGTACAACTGGAAGTGCAGGTTGCGGTATGCCACATGCAGTGCCTGGAGGATGGCTTCCCCGGCTTCAGTGGTGACCTGCAGCGCGGAGCTGAAGAGGCGCTCCACCGTGTAGTACTTGCTGGAGCCGGCGATCTGAAGCCGCGTCTGCTTCAGCCACTTGGCGGAGACCTCCAGGGCTTCACTGGCCTTCTCGAAGCCGTCCTTCAGGCCTGCGTCGATCCTCGCGACGAGGTCCGACGCCCTCTTAGCCAGCTGCCGAAGCAACGGGCGGACGCCCTCCTGGATGCTGCGGATGGCGGTCACGAGGTTGAGTTGCATCTGCTCGGCGAAGACCCCCACCTTGCCCAAGAGCTCCTGGATGAGGCTGCGTAGTCTATCAGGAATGGGCCCCACCGCTTCCCTGGCCCTGAGGATCGCCGAGCGCAGATTTTCCTTGGAGGCGTCGAGCGACTCCTGTGCCCGTGATGGGAACTCCTCCAACGTGAGTCCCAGGTGCTCCGTGTGGTACCTGGGGTTTGGGGAACGTGTGGAGAGGGGTGGCAGGAGCGATCACTCGTTACTCGCCGTGGTGGGCGTTCTCGTATCGCTAAGGGAGGTGCAGGCTGCCAGCGACGCAGCGATGCACCTCTTCTATGGCACCGATTCATTGTCACAATGCTCCGCATGTTGCAGAAGGGTGTTCTGGTAATTGTTGGGTGTTCCTTGTTTTGCATCCAGAGTGTTTCATGTGCTCGGTGCGTTACGTACGGAGTGGTTCATGTGTTCCTTGTGTTCTGCCTGGAGTGTTCTGGTTAGCGGGTGTTCCAGGCGGGGGTGTTCTGGGTGATGGTGTTCCGGGTGGGGGTATTCTGGGTGGGGGTGTTCTGGGTGGGGGTGTTCCAGGTGGGCGTGTTCTGGGTGGGGGTGTTCTGGGTGGGGGGTGTTCTGGGTGGGGGTGTTCCGGGTGGGGGTGTTCAAGGTGGAGGTGTTCCAGGTGGGGGTGTTCTGGGTGAGGGTGTTCTGGGTGGGGGTGTTCTGGGTGGGGGTGTTCTGGGTGGGGGTGTTCTGGGTGGGGGGGTGTTCTGGGTGGGGGTGTTCCAGGTGGGGGTGTTCTGGGTGGGGGTGATCTGGGTGGGGGGGTGTTCTGGGTGGGGGTGTTCTGGGTTGGGGGGTGTTCTGGGTGGGGGTGTTCCAGGTGGGGGTGTTCTGGGTGGGGGTGTTCTGGGTGGGGGTGTTCTGGGTGGGGGTGTTCTGGGTGGGGGTGTTCCGGGTGGGGGGGTGTTCTGGGTGGGGGTGTTCTGGGTGGGGGTGTTCTGGGTGGGGGGGTGTTCCAGGTGGGGGTGTTCTGGGTGGGGGTGTTCTGGGTGGGGGTGTTCCAGGTGGGGGTGTTCTGGGTGGGGGTGTTCTGGGTGGGGGTGTTCTGGGTGGGGGTGTTCTGGGTGGGGGTGTTCTGGGTGGGGGGGTGTTCTGGGTGGGGGTGTTCCAGGTGGGGGTGTTCCAGGTGGGGGTGTTCCAGGTGGGGGTGTTCCAGGTGGGGGTGTTCTGGGTGGGGGTGTTCTGGGTGGGGTGGTGTTCTGGGTGGGGGTGTTCCAGGGGCGACGTACTTGTCGACGACGCTGTAGAGGCTGCGGGCGGCACGTGGGGCGCTGCGGCGCACCAGAGAGGCGGCGTCGTGAGCCATGCCCCCCTTCCAGTGCGACTCCACGCCCAGGATGTCGGGGGTGTTCAGCGACAGCGTCAGCAGCGCCAGCTGCACGTCCGACTCCGGCGACGCCTGTCCGCCGTACGGCACGAGGGGCGATCACCGTCAGCGGCGGCACAGTAACGGCCGCGTCACAGACGCTCATCGATCACGATTGCAAACGAAGGGTAACAGTCATTTGCACGTGTCCACGGTTTCCGTAACGCTTCTCTGACACACACGCTTCCTCGGAATTGTGTTTAATCAGCGACGTCGAGATGGGCAGCTTGATAAGACAGATGGACCGATGAACAGACAGAGAGACAGATGAACGGACAGATAGATGGATTGACGGATGGATGGACTGACAGACTGACAGACGGACAGACAGACAGACGGACAGACGGACAGATGGACTGACGGACACACGGACCGAGTGAATGCATTGGTGGGTGTGTGGAGGCGGTGGGGGGGGAGGGGCTCACCGTGTCACGGGCGTACACCTGCGCACTCAGCACCTGCGGGCTCTGCCTTTCGGCCACGAAGCCCAGGAAGCCGAGCGAGGGCGATGACATGGACATGCGCGCTCGCGCGTTGCCGTAGCTCAAGCGCATGCTCGCGTCCGTCAGAGAGGGGCTCAGCAAATCGATGGTCGCCTCGTACATCTCACTGCATTCAGCGCAAACCATTCCCGGCACGGGTGGGTGCTCGAACGATTATAGACAGGTGGGTGGGTGAGTGGGTGAGTGAATAGACTGGCGGGTGAATCGGTGAGTGGGTGGGGGAGTGATTCGATGGGTGGGTGAGTGAGTGAGTGATTGGGTGAGTGATTCGATGGGTGGGTGAGTGGGTAACTAAATAGATGGGTGGGCGAATGATTGAGTGGGTGGGTGAGTGATCAGACGGGTGGGTGAAGGAGTATGTGAGCGATTATATGGGTGAATTAGTGAATTAGTCTGCGTCTGAATAAGCGCACGGTTGTGGGCGACTGAGCAATCTTGTCAACCGCACGCATTTCATTCGATTGGCCATTAACCACACCACAGCACACATTTCCGAATGCACTGCATGGCCGCGCTGCAGCGGGCAGTCTTTACTTTACACTTGACTTGACTCGGCACGTGCGCCATGGAGGCCGCTCACTGATCTTACATTAACATGCAAATTTTTACCTGGCAGCCCTTTGATTGGTGGAAAACCAACCACCATCGTGGTTGCTGCCCACCACTTACAATAACATTAGCTGCTGACATTTGGGCTACGCCCATTTCAAATCTTTATAAACAGTTTGCCCTTAGAAGCTAACCCCCTTTTCCTGATGGCGACCGCTTGTGTTGCGATAGAAACGTAGTTTTTCAACGGTTTTATTTAACTTGATTCCTCTGTTTGTCGTGGTCAAATCTTGGAATCAAAATCTCGTCCACTTCCCGTTGTCCAATCAATTCTACATTTTGCATACGTACTCAGATCCGGTGACATTGCATGCCAGTATCAAAATCGGCATCAATTAATCAATGAATTCGCTACTTTAAAGCAAATTACATTTTGTATGGACGCCTTATTATTTATATATATTTGTGTAGGTCAAGAACGCCGCGGTCCCTAAACTGTGGATTCGGCTCGCACAAAAAGCAGGTGCCGCGTGTCTCAGGCGCCATTGACGTACTTCTCGACCATGAGTTAAACGAAGTTATGATAAAACCGTTGTTTAAAAAAAAAAATTAAACCAGTTTATTTGTTATTCTATTTGAATTTATCTACGTGACTTTACCGTAACACCCAAATAATATAGCCTTTACACTTTCAATGTGGGGCCAGGAGAAACTGTGCGGCGTCAAACCTGGTGTCGCTGTCAGAGAAGGTCAGGACTTCCAGGAACTCTACGGTGAGCTCAGGGTGGGAGAGGCTTGCTTGAGTTCTCATCTCTCTGCCGTCCTCCTTGGGTGAGATCTTGGACTTGACTGCGAACGGCAGAAAAAAAACACATTGTCGAAAGATGCATCAGCGACGCCTCGCTGCCAGGGGCATGTCGCAGCGATCGCTGGCAGCTGCTTCGTAGGGAGGCCTTCATCCAGTGGCAGATTGACTACGACTGACTACGACAACGTATGTATGTTGGAACTTCTTCCGCATGGAAGAAATGACCATTGTTCGTATTTTTGATATACAAAAAGGTATAATACATTTATTATACCTTTTGTTTCAGACATTAATTAATATTTTTACATGTGATTTTAAAAAAAGGTAAACTATCCGGATTAAACTACCTTAACCCTAAGATCTAAATGCCCTAAAAAAAACAACCTTTTACCTGTAGCTGCGTTTAAAATGTTTTTGTTTATACGTTCTGGTAATATGAATAATTTTGTATTCCTGGTATTGAGAGAGAGAAGTGAATGCGTTTTGTCACCAGGGGTGCCGGGCGGGGGGTGGCTGGGTGGTCAGGTGAAATGTTTTATTCTGCCGAGTGGTTCACAGTGCCAAAACTATATGAGAAAATCATTCTAGTGGAGGCCCTCACACTCGAGGGGCTCTCTAAGAGCTCCAGTGGAGGCCCCTTCCGCCAGCAGTGGCATGAACGAGCAACTGCAGGGGCTGTGGCTTGACCCCGTTATATATTTCCACATTGGCTCGATTGCAATACGGTGTGAAAGCGACGACGGGATTTGCGCCGCTCGACCGCCGCTCCTCCTCCTCACCATCCACGTCGAATTCCAGGAAGCGCAGCGTGGAGCTGGCCGTGGCGTCGATGATGAGCAATGCGTCGGGGTCCTCTCCGCCGAACGAGCTGTACGAGCACGTCACGTTGTAGACGGGTGACTGCACCTTGGCGCTGCCGACGAGGCTGCCGAACGCCGGCAGCGTCACCGCCGTGGGCAGTGCCAGCCGCAGGGCCGGCACCTCCACGCTCACGGCTGGCAGCGTGAAGGTTGGCAGCTCGAAGTTGGCGACGTACGAAAACACGTCGTCAAGCCTGAGCACGTAGCGTGGGGAGTCCAGGCCGAGGAACGAGAAGGCTGGGATGTTGAGCTCCTTGGGCAACGTGAAGCTCGGGACTTCCACACGGAAGGCGGGCACGATGAGCTGGAAGAAGGGCACCGTGTAGTCCTCCGCCATGGTCACGTACTCGAGAGTCACGTCCAGCTGGGGCATCGGTATTTTGGGCAGCGCGGGTAATTCGAACGCAAAGGAGGGCACTCGGAGCATCTTCGGCACCTGGATGTTGCGCAGGTCAATTATGTACGGTGATACCACGATGCTAGTGAATGGCACTCGGAATGACTGTGTCATGAACACAGTGGGCAAGGTGATGTCCCACAGGCGCACCGTGTACGCGGGAACATACACGTCAAAGAGAGGCACGCGGAATGCGGGCACCGTGAATTCCTCGGGGAAGTCGAACAGCGCCGCCAGGTTGTCGAGGTCGATCGTGTATGGCCCAAGTGACATCTCGATGAACGGCACGCGGAACGCCGGGATGTTGATGGGCATGGGCGGTCCGACGACTTCACTGTCGAACACGTCCCTCAGCATCGCCTGGATGGCCGCCGGGATCTGCTTTACGAACTCGGGCACCCTCAGGCGAATCTCCGGGATGCTGACCCTGTAGCCGTTGCCCTCGGACATCACAGGCAGTGCCAGCACGTAGCCGTTGGGGTTCTTGGTGTACTCCACCGACGAGGCGGCCCGGAGCACCTGCACGTCACGGGCCTTTGTCGTCACGTCCATCTTGAGCACATCCCACAGGCTGCGGCCGTACACGGGCAGCACGACACCCTTGAGAAAGGCGGCGTGGCCCTGCAGTGACACGTCGACGCTGCAGCGTGCGCGTGCACGCTCATTGGAGAGCGCCGCCTCGTGTGCGTATGCGACGCTGCCCAGCTGTGCCTCGCCCGTCCACGCCAGCTGCTGCTTCTCTGTGCTCACGGCCAGGCTCAGGGACTGCTTGGAGGCGGCCTTGGGCGTCAGGCTGCTGCCCTGGCTTGCCTCGCCCTTGGCGAGGCCCTTGAGCTCCCACTGCACGAACTCGAGACGCGCCTCGGTGCTCTGCGTTCCCTGCGTGCTGAAGACGCCGGCGCCGCGCAGCTGGTTGCGCCCCATGTGCTTAGCGATGGCGTAGAGCCGCAGCGGCGACATCTCCAGGTCAGCTTCCTGCTTGCCGTTGATGTCCCACGCGAGTCCCGAGGCGTGCGACGCCTTGCTCTGCGCCTCGTTGCGCAGGGCTGAGCGCACGCCGCGCTGGTCCATGTACAGGTTGGCCATGTTGTCCAACTTGCAGGAGAAGGCGTTCGCTGACGAGCTCTGCTTGAACTGCGTCGCGCCGGCAAAGTTCGAGTCGAGCGAGAGGCTGGGCCACGCCACCTCCGCCGTGCCATTGTGCTCCAGCCTGCCACTCAGGTCCGCCTCCAGCTCGAGCGCCGTCACCTTGTAGGAGAGCACGTGGCGCACGCGCACATGTGGCCGCAGCCTCGTGCTAGCATTCACCGCCTGCTTGAAGTCGACGCGCAGGTACGGCATGTCCACCTTCACCGTTGTGTCAGATGTGAGCTCGCCGACGCGCTTATTCACCACGGCGACGCCGCTGTGGGACACCTGTGCCGCGCGGTGGGAGAGCGCGAGTGCCGTCGATAGCTTGACGCCGCGCTTACGCGACAGCGTCGCCGCGGCGCTCAGCTCGCCGTTCAGGATGGTGTGCTCCGACGCGGACGATGCCGACAGCTTGCCGACGATGTCGCTCTGGTTGTACACGCCTGAGTTGATGGCGACGGCGATGGCAGAGCACCTGAAGGTGAAGTCGTACGTCAGGTTGCCCATTGCCGGCAGGTACAGCGCCGTCGGCAGCGCGCGCAGGCTGATCTCCGGTAGGGATAGCCGGCGTAGTGCCCCGGGGATCTTCATCGGAGGTAGGTTCACCCTGGGCAGCGACAGCTCGAAGGATGGCACGCGGTAGCCGACGAGAGGCAGGTAGACACGCGGGGTGCGGTATGACTGCGCGACCAGGATGCTCGTGTCCGGGAGCTCCACCGTGTAAGGTGACACCTCCATGTTGAGCAGTGGCACGGTGAAGCCTGGCACGGTGAACCGCTTCGGCAGGTTGTCGGCGCCCATCGCGCGCGTGTCATCGTAGGCTTCGCGTGCCCATTGCAGCGTCGCGTCGCGGTAGCGCTCAAATGCCGCGTTGGCAACGTGGCGGTAGCGCTCGGCGGCATAGTGAAGCGCTGGCACGACCGGCAGGCGCACCGCATGCCACTCCTTGTTCTTGGCGTACTGCAGCTGCGCAGTCACATTAAGCGTTTGCTGCGGCGTCCTAAGCAGCGCCCCCAGGCCTGTGTGCTCCCAGATCCGGAAGTCGCGCACCTCGGGCGTGCGGTAGTTGGTGTACGGCAGGAGGACGGACGGGAGGCTCACCTCTTTGCGGAGGAACTCCAGGTTGGCATTGCCACTCATGGAGATGCGTGCCCCTGCGCGCTCAGCGTTGTTGTCCACCGACACATCGTGGAGGTAGCGGTACTGGTTGAAGTCGCCGCCGAAAGTCCAGTCAGCGTGCTGCGCGTTCGGTGCCAGCGACACCGTGAAGTTGTTGACCACCTCGACCTTAGCGGAGAGGCGCAGCGGCAGCTGCAGCTTCCCACCGCCCAACGTATTGGAGGTGAGCAGCAGCTGGAATGGCTCAGCATGGAACGTCGTCGCGCTCGTCATCTTGCCGGATGTCAGCTTGGTGCCCACGGCCGAGTGGCGGACGGTCACGTCGACCCGCAGGCCCTGCACCTTGGCGTTCACCTGCACGCTGCCACGCCCCAGGCCAGTCAGTGCAGTGTCGCCGCTGTGTGCGTACACCACGCGGTCGAATGGCGCCACCTCGAGGGTCGCCTCGTGCTTGAGCGAGCCAAACTTTTCCACCGAGTCCACCTTGCCGGAGAGCAGTAGCACCGCGCCATCGACGCGCAGCCGCGCCTCTGTCTTGTGCATGCCCTCGTGGGATGTGCCATACACCATGCCCTGCGCCTCGCCCGTCGTCACCACGTCCGCCTCCAGCTTCGCCCCCTGCGCTATGAGCTTCGCCGTGCTCCGCACATTCATCGAGCCGGCGGTGCCCGCCGCGGGCACGTCCAGGACATGGCGGTAGCTGCCCGTCGCCTCCCAGGTGACGGCGCGGTTCAGCGTGAAGGTCACCGCGGAGCTCGCCTCGCCGGTGTAGGGCGCCGACTTAGCCGACGCCTGCGTGTTGAACTGGGCCGTCGCTCCCGAGCGGTCGACGGTCACGTCCGAGCTGTGCGTCAGGCCGCAGAGGTCATGCGTCAGCTTGGCGTTGGCGCTCAGCTCCAGCCGCTGGAGCCGCGGTGCAGAGAGCCGTGCCTCCGTGCTCACGGCGAACGCAAGGAGGCTCGACATGGATGTAGCCTGCGCGTTGGCGAACGAGCGCAGGGCCGGCGAGCCGTACACTTCTGTGGAGTTGTGGAGTCCCGCGGTCGCCGTGAGCGTGTAGAATGGCGACATCACCTTGAGGTTGGCGTTCAGCTTGCCCAGCGCTGGCAGCCGCGTTTCGTGAGGGATGCGCGGCAGCTGGAACTCGGGCATCTTGATGAACTTGACGTCGTCCAGGTTCAGCTGGGGCAAGTTAAACTCTGGCATACGGATTTCAGGGAAACGGAATTCTGGTACCACCAGGTACTTCTCGAAGGGGATGTCATTGAGCGTCAGTTCTCCCATCTGTGCTGTGGAGTCCTGGATTGCCCTGTGGACCGTGGCCATGTCCATGTTGCGGATTTTGTCGAGGAACTCGATGATTTGCTGCTTGATCTTCTGAAAGTCGATGGTGATCGGCTCAACATGGAACTTGCCCAGGAAGGTGAAGGCCGGTAAGGAGATGCGAGTCGGCATCTCGATGGAAGACAGCGTCTTCAGGTCGACGAGGTCCGGTGGGAGGTAAAGGCTGGTGAATGGCACGATGAGCGGCGGCGTGTAGATATATGTCGAGATCTGCATCCTGCGCAGGGCCCTGAGGCTTACTTCGGTCCTGTGGAACACATGTCCAAAGAGCTTGAACCGTGGGATGATGACGCCTTCCTCGAGGTAGCGGAGGATTTTCTGGATGACCTCCTGGATGTCGAGGCTCGCGGCCATGGCGTTGAGCTGCTCGACCGCATCTGTCACCGCCGCATTGATGTCGAACTCGGCGACGGAGCGGGCGACGTCCGAGATGGAGGCGGTGGCTCCCTTCCAGAACTTCTGCATCTCAGCTTGGATGTCGGTCTCCTCCATCCTAAGACGGATGTACTCGACGTACTCCAGGACCCGGTTGGCCACCTGGCGAACAGCGGGTATCTCGAAGAGCGCCGAGACCCAGTCAGAGACATAGGCCTCCACGTCACGCATGGAGAACGATTGCATGTAGCTGAAGAGGTTCAAGGACACCGTGTTCACTCGCTCTCTCAGTTGCTGCACCCTCTCGGGGATGTTGAACTCCTGGAGTTTGTTGTTCACCATCGCCGTCTGCTCCTGAAGCCATAAGTTGGCCGTGACCACGAACTGGTTATAGTCAAAGTTCTCGACATGCTCCAGGGCAACCTTCAGGAGCTCGTTGAGACTCTTGATGAAAGCCGGGTAGTCCATGGACATGAGCTTCTGGCTGATGCTGTTGACCGCCTGGCTCAGCTTCTCGAGGTAGCCCTTCAAATCGATGGCCTTCATGTCACGCATCATCCTCTGGGCCTTCGCACTAAACTGATATTCTAAATCTAGCCCCACCAGAGTGTCCCTGATGATGTTCAGATTCTCAGAAACCTCGTAGTTCTCGACAAACTGCATCAAATTCTTCTTGCCATTCTGCACCATCTCCCGCACCCTGTACGTGGTCATGAAGTTCTCCAGGTAGCTGGCGATCTTCTCCATAATTTTCTGCATCTCCACGAAGATCACTTGCTCCATTCGGCCTAGGACTTCACGCACGTCGACTGATCTGATCGCCTCCTGGATCTGCCGTGCCACCCGATCGACGTCGAACCGCTGCAGCCACTGCTTGAGGTCATCGAGAGCCTGGATCACCTTTTCCTGCACGTATCTGTTTCCGCTCGTCAGTTCGGAGAGGTCCATGTTCCTGACGTTGTCCATCAGCTGCTCGATGGCCTTCATCAGGGTGTCCGTGAACCCGTACTCGCGATCGAACTCCTTAGCCCTCCGTACTGCCTGCTCGATGTACAACTGGACGCTTTCCTTCACTTTGTCGCTGTCGAGTGCGGACAGTGGGTAGAAGAGCACTCTCTTGACCCAGGATGCCACGTTTTTTGAGAAGTGACGGAAGTTTTCCATCAGTTCTTGGGCGGAAAGGTCACGGGGGTCGTAGTTCTGGAGGGCCAGCAGGAGCTGCCCCTGCACATGCTTCACCTTGTTCTTCAGTTCCAGCTGGTCAATGGCATTGTTAATCTTGCCCGGCATCTCATCCAGCACCCTCTGATACTGCTGGTAGTAACGCTGGATCTCCTGACGCGTCAGTGAGTACCTCATGTTGTCCAGGACGGAGCGGATGTAATGGCGCAGCTGCGCGTAGAGTGCGGGCAGGCTCTCCACGAACGGGATGCTGATGACGTGGACATCCTGGTTCTTGTCGTAGCTCACTGACGCCTGCACGCTGAAGTCCTGTGGGCTGCTGACGACAGCGCGGTCCAGGCCGAGGCTGGAGATGACGTTGTAGCTTCGGACGGGCCGCGCGACGTTGAGGAATGGCAGCGTCAGCGCAGGCGTCTGGAAGTTGACGTCGAGGAAGCCCAGGTTGACCGTCGACTGCGCGCTGAGCTTGGCGCCCACGCTGAGCGGGTCGTTCTGCGCCTCCAGCTTCTGCACGTACCGGTTGTCGTTAAGCTCGGCCGTCAGCTCCCAGCCGACACTCTGCTCCGTCGGGTTCACCTGCGCGCCCAGCTTGTGGCGCAGCGCCGATGCGTGGCTGCCGCCCGCGACGTCATGCTGCGTCGACCCACGGTACTCGTTGGAGAGCACCAGCGCGAGCGGCTCGGCCTGCAAGAAGAACTTGTTGGACAGGCTGCCCATGTGCTCGCCGTAGGCGCTGAGGCTGCCCTGGGAGTCGGTGATGACCTCGAGGCTGAGCGAGTACGGCAGCGCCGCCCCGCGCGCCACGTTCGAGAACTTGAGCGCCGGCGTTTCGCACGTCGTGGTCGCGCCCACCTTGCCAGCGAGCCCGGCGAACTCCAGACTGAGCTGGTTCTGCAGCTTGCCGCCATTGAGGTTCGCGACGGTGTCGAAGGAGGCCGAGCCGGCCAGGTCGGCGTAGCCCAGCTTGTATGTGTGCCGCACCTCATTGCCAAGGAAGTCGCCGGACGCGGAACCGCTCACCGACGCAGTGAGGAAGCCGGCCTTGGCCGCCAACTGGTTGGAGAAGGAGGCGCCGAGGACCTTTACCTCGTCGGCGGCGGTGAAGTCGACGGACCACGGTGCGACCTTGAGGTTACAGCCGTGGTCGACCTTGTTCTCGGCGTAGGAGGCCACGGTCTTGGTGACGAAGCTCAGGCCTGCCCTGTTCAGCTCGAAGTTGACCGTGCTGCTCGAGTCCGTCTCCAGTATCTGCCCAGAGTAGGCGCTGACGAGGGCCAGGCCGCCTCCGTCGAGCCTCCCCTCTGCGTTGTGCTGCACCTTGCTGCCCTCCGCCCGTCCCACTGTGTTCGCGGTGACCTTGAGGCCCGACGCACGGGCGCTGCCCTCCGCAGAGGTCTCCAGCACGACACGGCCGTACGTTACCGCGGCGTTGGCGCTGCCCCCGGCGCCGGCCGCGTCCACGACGAGCGATGCCTTGTAGGCGGCGCGGCCGGGCGCGCCCGCGAGGTTCGTCTCCACCGACACTTCCAGGCCCTCGGCCGTCACGCCGGCCGTGAGCATGTGGTCGAAGCGTCCGCGCGCGCACTCGGCCCTGTTCTCCGCGCTGAGTCTGAGGGCGCCGGTGGCATACGCGGCGTTCAGCTTGCTCGTCACGCCTACGCCGCCGAAAAGCCCGTCCGTCTGCCCGGAGAACGATGCCCGTTCCTCGCCCGCATCAAAGGTGGATGCGTGTGTAAAGGAGGAGCCCAGCAGGCGGCCCTGGAGCGTGTCCTGCATACGGAACAAGCGGCCGTCCCACATCACGCTCAGCACGTTGGTGACGTTCTCCTCACGGAAGGCCAGTTCCGTGCGCACGGCCAGGTTGTCTGTGCGCAGCCCCGATTGCAGCTCAATGCGGTTGCGTGACACGAGGCCCGCACCGACGGTCAGATCGTTCGACGCCACCATCGAGTAGCGCGACCCGTCGTTGTCGCTCCGCCAGGTCGCCGCCAGCGAGTGGAAGTCAGAGTCGACACGGAGCTCGCCATTGAGCATGTGGTTGCGTGTCCGGAAGTTGACGGTGCCCGACGACGACGATGCCACCTTGGCGCGGATGCCCCTAGGCAGTTCGGCGCTGGCGGCCAGCTCGCCGGCGAAGGACGACTGGGTGGCATCGCCCGTCGCGGAGGCGACGACGTTGGCGGTGGTGGTCAGCAGGCCGGTGGCGACGCGGTTGGTGAACTCGGTCTTGACGTTCAGGCCCTCGCTCACGTCCGCGGTGCTCTTGTAGCTGGTGGTCAGGTTCAGCAGCTGGCTGGTGATGGTGTTGTCCGTGCGGATCTCAAACGTGCTCCAGTGCTTGTGTGACAGTGCCGTGTAGCCTGCAGAAACACGCCGCCGTCAGCGCGAGCGCCAAGTGTCACAAAAGGCTGCGTCACTCGAATCACCACACTGGTTCCCAATCCATTCCCACATCACGGTGGCGAGATGTTAACTTCCTCACCTGGTATACAGGAGGTCGTGGGTTCAAGCCCTCCCCTGAAGCCTATATATTTGGAGTTTGCTTGTCTCTCTCCCCATGGTCGTGTGGATTTTTCTCTGATTCCCTCTACATTTGGAAACGTGCATTTAGAGTCTTCGGTAAGCCACTTCGTTTAACTTTTATTTGTGGCCAGGCCGCTTCTGGGCCTTACCTGCTAAATAAAAAAAAAGTTTATAGTTTTAACTACAGGAAGGCCCTCGCTATCTTCAAGATTGCCCGTGGATGCACCGCTGCTTGTATCACTCTACTCCCCTTCACGTTCTCTCCACTCCGGCAACCAAGGCCCTATGTCAGAACCCTCTGTTCACCGCCACTCAATGGAAGGTTGCCTCCTCTGCTTTTGCACCCACCGTCTGGAAGTCCCTCCCCACCCCCTACAATCCTTGCTGGCAATTCCCAGCAATTGAATTGCCCAAGATCAGGACTTTCATCTATTAATTGATTCACGTATAATAGTGATGATAATCATATTTATATCCTTGTTTTATGACGCTACTTGTGACTGCACAGGCCCCACTGTTTCACAGGCCCCACTGTTTCACAGGTCTCACTGCATTTGGACGCATATTATAAATGAATAAATAGATTTTTATTGTAACGTCACGGTGCCGCCATCACTGAGCGAGTGGCGTGGGCGGTACTCGCGTTAAACCGGCGAACTAGGGTTCCTGTTCTCACGACGGAGCAGAGGGAGCAAAGGTTTTTTTGCGTCATGCCTGTGTCTAGATCGCCCTGCCACTCGAGCGACCGGGCAACTGCCCGTGCCCAACTCTCCGCCGCAAGTGCGCCACCGGTGTAGCAACCAGGCTCCGCTGGGAGCGGGGGAAAACATTGCGCGTCGTCGACGATTGTGAACTTTCGACCGCGAGGTTCCTGCCCGACCACTTTAGCGTCGGCACGCACGCGCGGGGGGGGGGGGGGGGGGGGGCAACGTCGTCATCGTGTCGTCTCGTCGTCGCTATCCACTCTGGGCACCGCTGATCTGGCGAGCCGGCTCAAAGCCAAGCGATAAATGTTGCACCTTTGCTGCGTCGTCATCGTCGCCACGACGAGGTTCGGCACGCGCGTCTCGCCCCCCCCCCTCCCCCGGCTCTCACCGTTGAAGACGTACGACAGCATGTCGCAGGGGCACACGGCCGTTACGCCGGAGCGCACCCGGATCTCGGAGGGGTCCTCCTCGTCGCCCACGATGTTGGCGACGTGCGCACTCGCCGTCCAGTTGTACACATTGCTCTTCACCTTGGCATCGATGCTCAGCTCGCCGAACAGCGGCACCTTGAGTGTGACACGCTCGGGGACCTTGAAGGCCGGGATGGAGTCGACCTGCGCGAAGGGCACGGGGTTGCAGATGAAGCCACTTTTCAATAATCTCAATTGAACACTTGTTTCTTGAGAACTGCGTTTTGTGTTTAGTCTGTTGTCCTTCCCCCGTACCTCTGATTAGCATGGTTGCCCACGTACGGTGCGAAAGAAGTTCAACGTTCATACGCACACACGACGCAGGAATGCCGTCGGCGTCATGCAAAGCCGAGATGCCTTTGACTTGGCTCATAACGGATGTCGCGTAAATCAAAATCGATCATTTGCTCTCGTACTGACATAACGGCCACCAACTCAGGCGGTGGTGGCTGTGCTGCACGTGGCCTGTAGTCCAGCAATGTGGCAGCGAGAGTTGGTGGATCACCGTGCAAATTACAAAATGTTGGTGCACTCTCCCCTTTCCCGCGGGCATCGAGGTGCCATACGCCTTGCTCGCCAGCAGAATGCAGTGCAGCAAAGCGTGGACTGATATCCATCGATCCCTTCTGAACGGGATAGAGCGTTGCCCCCTCGCACGCATGGGTTGTCTCCGGATGCTGTAGTTCTCTCCAAAATCCATAACAACACTCGCTAATTGGCTGAAAACATCTGAATATGTAGAGAACCGCAGAGCAATTGTTGACGCCGGCTCAATCGCCCGGCAGCCTGCCACCCTGCCTGTCATTCCTCGGCGATTGTGAGATGCACTGTGTTGCATGAACGGTGACGATTATATATATATATTTTATATATTTACTTATTTCCATTATCAACTCACCATGCCTAGGCCGGGCAGGTGGACGGGCTGCATGGTGAACTGCCGTGGCGCCACGTTGATGCCGAGAGGAGCGATGCTCAGCGCCGGCGTGCGGAGCGTGCGAGGCAGCAGCCGCACTGGCTCGGTCACGCGCCCACCCATGGGCACCGGGATCTGCAGCGTCCACGACCGCTTGTTGAATTGGTAGCCCACGGTTACGGCGCTGTGAGACAGAGAGAGAGAGAGAGAGGGCGCCACGGTGTCGTGATGTGAACTACCTTGCCTGCTGGTGATGGCCACAGCAACTGCACGTAAGTGATCTCGTACCCCACCTACGGACGCAGGAAGCCTTTGGGCTCGAGCCTTGGTTGGGTCACCACTGCTTACTTGGGTGACTTGGGTAACCAGTGGTGGTGAGTCGTGTCCGGTTCTGGGTTCTGAGAATTCCAAAGTTTGGGTGCCACGGCAGCGAGATGTTAACTCGCTCACCTGGTATGCAGGAGGTCGTGGGTTCGATAGCGACCCTGACGCCTGCTCTCTCTCCCTGTGGTCGCGGGGATTTTTCTCCTGGTGTTCCAGTTTTTTCCTCACCATTTAGAAACACGCGTTTAGAGTACTTGGCTGCTCTAAATTTCCATACGATAAGCCACTTCGTTGAGCGATCATTTGTGTCCAGGTCGCTTCTGACAAAGAGCTATATAGCTCAGTGGGCCTTATCTGGTACAATAAAAATTGTTTATAGTTTAGTTTAGAGATGGACAGAGAGAGATAATGAGCCCGCCAACGCTGAGGTGGGTAGAAGAGAGGAGACAAGCTGGAGACGGTGGAGACAGAGTGAAGGCGAACTTGAGAAGATCTGGCGACTGCACACACACCTCGACACGAAGGTCCTGTGGGGCATTTCGATGTTGATGAACTCGCTGAGCGAGGGGATAGTGATCTCCTGGCCCCGTGACAGCTGCGTCTGCAGCCGCTGCAGCTGCGAGAGGTTCCAGTTGCCGTTGTTTGTCGACTTCTTTATCCACAGGTCCATGGCCTGAGGGACACGACGCCAAGCGAGCGATCGTCAAGGAGGAGAGGATTAAATTGGGCTATCAAGTGTAGCGACTTAATGGGCAGTTGCAGCTGCTGCTGCTGCTGCTGGTGATGATGATATCGATAACATCGATGATAATGACGACAATTCTGCCTATGCAATGAATGCTGATTCTACAAACAGTGCTGCTTCTGCTGAAGACAGTACAGATGAGGCAGATGATACTAAAGGACGACAATTCTGCTGCTTGTACTGCTGCTGCTGCTACTCCGTTCTTTTGTGACGTGTCCTTTATTTAACCCCGGAGATCAAATGAACCCAGTGACACACGTGAAACAGCACTGCGCCTTTTGCAAGGGCGACCTGGGAATATTGCTCGTAACAATGCCGCCACTGCTGCTCCTGATGATGACGGCGATGCAGATGATGACAATGACAATACCGGCGCGATGGCGCTTTCGGGTTACAGACTCCTGCCAGACAGGCGCCAGCGCGTTCACCAAGAAATATAAATTGACTCGACAATTCTGCCGCCGGCAACGCACGCGTGGGGGCCCGCCGCTCACCTCGAGGCCCTTGACGACAATGTGCCGCAGCGTCATATCGGTCTGCGCCACGCGGCCCTCCAGCATGGCGTTGAGCGCCCTCTGCAGCTGCAGGCGGTACTCATCGGGGGACGGCACGTCGATGCGTGCCAGGCCATCGCGCAGGGCCTCCAAGGCGCCCTTCGGGTCCGACGATGCCTCCGCGCTCCACTGGGCCTGCACCTTGTCGAGGTCTGCAGAGGGCGGGGAAGGCAGAGAGAGAGAGAGTCACGTGTCACGCCACCACAACCCCGAGGACCCGGTTCAATCCCGGGCGGATGGACGCACGTTTTCCGGGCCGCCCCCCCTCTCTCCCCGCGATTATTCATCGTATCAGCAGCCGTGATCAGCCCACCGCTGGACGAAGGACAACCCCTTGGCCGTTGTCATCTCTCACGCTCCTGCTGTGTGTAATGACCCATTCGGCTCCTGCACGAGAGCTGATCTCGGCTGTGGGAGACATCCTCTTGCCGCGTGTTTCCTTCTCTGGCTGCCGATCCGTCGTTAGCCTAGCAACATCGGTCATGATCGTCTGACGTATCCTGGCCAAGCCCTCTTACTTTTCTTCGCAGTCAATAGGATGACCACCATCACCACCACTAATATCACTTCGCTGATCTCGTCAGGGAGCATAAACCATCAAGCGAACTCCGGTCATCCACGCAGCGGCTTCTGGCTGGCCATCGAACAAAGACGGTCACCGCATGGCGCGCTTTCAGATGTGCTTCTGGAGCCGTCTAGAACGCTCTTCCTTCTGATATTAGGAAGCCACTGGAGCTATGCACTTTAAAATATAGATTGAAAACTAACTTCTTTAGAACTGCTTTTTGTGTTTAGTCTGTTTTCCTTCCCCCGCACCTCCGATTAGCACGCTTGACTATGTACGGTGCGAAAGATGTTCAACATGCATATATACATCACTACCACTACTACCACTAACACCAACACGCTGAGCCTAATGAAGCGTTCCAAGAGGCGAGGGGCATGTTCCCTGCCTCTCGGCCAAACTCTAACATTACATTTTTCTTGACAGTGAACACTGCCGTGCGGATCGTTAGTCCATATTAAAAAAGAATACACTCGGTGGCTTTCACCACCGCATCACATTGCGGTGGTGGATGTTTGGCTTTAAACTATAAACAATTTTTGTTATTGAAACTAAACATTTTTTTTATTTTACCAGGCAAGGCCCCACTGATCTACGTAGCTCTTTTTCAGAAGCGACCTGGTCACAAATGTTAGCCCAACGAAGTGGCTTATCGCGTGGAAATTTATAGCATCCAATTTTAAATGTGGAAGACCCAGACAAAAATCCACGCGACCACGGGGAGAGAGGCCATGGAAACTCCAAATATACAGCAGGCGTCAGGGTCAGGATTGAACCCACGACCTCCTGTACACCAGGCGAGGTAGTTAACATCTCGCCGGTTCCCACCGGCCATCTGGTGGGCACGACGTACCGTAGACCACCTCGCTTCCGTAAGAGGCGGAGGAGAAAGGGCCTGATCCTGTCATCTCGGCGTTGACGACGATGCGGTCGTCCTGGCCGAGGAGCGCCCTCGCCACATAGTTGCCATGGAGGTCGAGGCGCGGCACCCCGGCGGAGTACTGCAAGAGCAGGCTGCGAGCGTCCGTCACCGTCTGCCTGCGCGCGCGTGGAACCGCCGAGGAGAGAGAGAGAGGGGACGGTTTCACCGGCCCGCCCGCGCGTCAGACAAAAACTCGTGGCGCCCCCCCACCCGCTCACCCCCCTACCGGTTCCCCGCCTTCCGCTGTACGTACGTGCGTTGAACTTCTTTCGCACCGTACGTAGCCAACCGTGCTAATCGGAGGTGCGGGGTAAGGACAACAAACTCCTCCTCTCACCTGTGCCCTTCCTTCCCCCCCGAGTGTGTTCGTTATCTTTCCCCCTTACCCCTTTTCCCCTTCCCCTCCATATGAACCCACCCCCCCCCCCCCCGTTCGTCGGTGCCCAGTCGCCGCCAATCTCGGGGCTGCTGCTGGCGGCGTATGCCGACCTTACCTGATCCGAGCGAGCAGGAAGGCCTCCCGCTGCTCCTGGTAGCTCACGTTGAAGGAGGCCGCGTAACCACCCTGGTTGAGGCGGGCGTCCGACTCGTCGTCGACGCCCACTTCCACCCTGAGGCAGCCGGGGCAGCTCGGCAGGTCCAGGTCCCATTGGATGCGGTGGCGGTCACGGTCGAGCATCAGGATGCTCCCAAGCTCCTTCGTCTCTCCCGTGCCTTCGCAGAGACGGAGGGAGACGGCGGGGGTGGGAGCGGGGGGGGGGGGGTCACCGACTTTTAAGAAGTTCAACAGATATACATACGTACGCACGCAGTTACGTCGGACTGTGCAACGTTGCATCGTGCGGAGGGAGGCCTTACCTGTGGCCTGCACCTTGAACTGCAGGTTCTCTTGTCCGGCCCGCGAGTAGATCTCAGCGATGGCGGAGTACTCAGTCACACCGTCCGCGGGCTCTGTCGAGATCTCAAACCTAGCGGGCAGAACGTGAAGTGGAAGAATGGATGAAGGTTGTGTCGCTCGCAGGCGCTCACTCGGCAACACCGCGGGCGGAACGGCCTCCGCTCCTGGGGGAACTTTCGGGACGACCGTCATCGGCAAACGGTCACCCGCAACGTTTGGTGCACCGCGTTTCGTTTGTCAAAGAATTCAGTTGCCCTGTTATGCAAAACTCCCCATGGGATCATGGGCAGACGTCACGCGGCTACCTGAGGTTGTTGTTCTCTGGAAAACCCATCGCGGCTCATGAACAACGACAACGGCCGCCGTTCGACACTAAGTGGCGGTGATGTCACCACGGTGCTTGTGCTAGGTGCACTTTGAGGCCACGTGAAGTGTCGAAGACCTGCTTGCTGACAGAAGGCCAAGGGACAGACCTCGTTGCCATGGCTTGACCGAGATGACTTGTTCATCAAGCGCACTTTTTGACAAGCGCAGTTCCATCGCTGAACGACGCCACCAGCGTTCAAACTCGCCACGCAGCTGCCCTTTGTAAGCACAATTGCCGGAGCGTGTATCCGACTTAGCGGCGGCGTGTTCGACTCCGCTCCAGGGGAGGAATCGGGCTTCGGACGCGGATGGGTGGTGGGGGGGGGGGGGGCGCACGGAATTCACCTGGTGGCGCCGGTGAGCGGGAACCAGGGCGCAGCCTCGATGTAGCTGGCGTTGGAGTAGGCACCGCTCTGGCACAGCGACACGCCGAACACGAGCGGCCGGCACGACTGCCACTGCTCGCGGTTCTCCTCGATGCTCGGCAGTGTCTCCACCCTCTGTCGGTGCAGCAGCCTCAGCTGGTTCCTGTGGGTGACCGGGGTGGTGGGGGAGGGGTTAGAGGTCAACAAGTTCTGGGCCGTGAAGCCCTGGTGGCAGCCCGCCATCGCAAAGGCCGCAGGTTCAAATCCCGGCCACGGTTCGACGTGGACCTACTTTACACCGTTTGCACAATTCCATCGGTGGGAGGAAAAACACGACCTGGAACCCAGCACCCCCCCCAACCGACCGCGGTTATATAAACGGACATTCACCGCGTGGCTGCAAGAGCCGAGGACTCACCCGACGCTCAGGAGGCGGTTGGTCTTCTGCGGCGGCGTGAGCGTCACGCGGAGCTCCCCGCCCGTGGCCTGCACTGCCACGCCGAGCGCCGACTCGTGGTAGAGGCTGGTGGCCGAGTGCAGGCCGGCGCGCGCCACGCCGCCGGGCAGCAGCACCTCCATGGAGGACACCACCTCCAGCGAGAGCGACGGGGCGGCGGAGGCTCGCCTCGCCTGGAGACGGGGCGGACATGTGACGTGGGGGGGGGGGGGGGGGGTTAGACGTGCGTCAGCATTCCAATCACCTGGGCCACGTCGTTCGGCCACAGCTCGAAATGCGGACTACGTGGTTGCGTCCACTCCGGTTGTGCCGGCTCACGTCACAGAAGAAATGCCGGCAGCGCGTGCGTCACGTGATTAGGGATTGAATCGGCGGTGGATTTCCACCGGGCTGGGTTTTTACAGCAACCAAAAAGGCCACCGCATTTCTGGGAGGCTCAACCAGGGCATATGCTGAGCTGGCACCCCCACCCACCCTCGCTCCTTCTCTCCCATCAGCTCACTCCACATTACTAGCCCAGCCCAGGCAGTGAGTGGCACCTCCAGCCATTCGCTGTGCTCACTACTCCCTTAGATTGAATGTCTGAGATGACTGGCAGATGCACCACCCGTGAATCGCAGCGCAGCGTAGCGCTAACCGCCACACTACCGCTCCCCATGTGCACACACACACATACTTGCACACACACACACACACGCGCGCGTGCCCACACACGCACCTCTCCGGGGCGCATCGAGGCCTTGACTTTGGCGCCGGCGACCAGGCTTCCGGTGCTGGCGAGGCGGAGGGGCAGGCCGGCGCCCGTGGGCACCGTCACGTCGTTGTCCATGAACACGTAGTGCACGAACAGGTCGGCCTCCACGCCGCCCGCCAGCGCGCTCAGGATCTGCGCGCGGGGACCGACACCGGAGCAGGCGTGAGAAATGGCAGTCAGATGACGAGCGAGGAGCCGGGGAGCGCTGGGGCCGCTTCGCTCGCCAGTGCACGAGACCACGGGACGGACGGAAAGCCGGCGATTGCGCAAGCTCTAGCACAGTGGTTCTTAACCTGGGTTCGATCGAACCCCAGGGGTTCGGTGAGTCGATCTCAGGGGTTCGGCAGAGCCCCCGCCACGGAGGTCCGGACACACTTGAATTATTGTGTAAATTTGTGATGACACACACGGCCCGCTTGGCCATCACTGGCTGCAGATGATCATGCTACACTGCTTGGCCAATCAGCGCTGCGGGGAATTTAGTGCGTACTCAGTAGTCAACGTGTGACTGTTGTTGTCGTACGTCGTGTGATTTCTTTAATATTTTATCCATACTAACTATGTCGGGCAAAAGAAGAAAGTGGTCGGACGAATATGTACAACATGGATTCTCATGTATCATGGAACGTGATGGGAGTGAGCGTCCTATCTGCATGATTTGCAACGCCAAGTTGAGCAACTCTAGTCTTGCACCGGCAAAACTAAAGGAACACTTCTTGAAGCTGCATGGAGACGGGGAATACAAGAACACAACACTTGCTGAATTCAGGGTGAAGAGAGCCAGATTCGATGAAAGGGCCACTCTGCCTGCTCTTGGATTTGTACCTGTTAACAAACCGATCCTGACAGCATCGTACGAAGTTGCTTACCTGATCGCAAAGCAGGGCAAGCCACACACCATTGGTGAAACACTTGTGAAACCAGCTGCATTAAAGATGGCGAATCTGATACTCGGAACAGCGGCCGAAGGTAAATGATCCCAAATTCCCCTTTCAAATGACACCGTCAGTGACAGAATAGAAGACATGAGTAAAGACATCTTGGCTCAAGTAGTCGCGGATCTGATTTCAAGCCCGGCAAAATTCAGCCTTCAACTCGACGAAACCACAGACGTTTCTGATCTAAGCCAGCTTGCTGTTTTTGTACGCTATGTGAAAGACGACATGATAAAAGAAGAGTTTTTATTTTGTAAGCCTCTTACAACAACAACGAAGGCAGCCGATGTGAAGAAGCTTGTGGATGACTTCTTCATGGGATATGGTTTCTGCAGTTTGTACGGACGGAGCTCCAGTCATGCTGGGAAGAAAGTCTGGTTTTGGTGCGCTAGTAAAGGCCGATGCACCACACATCATTGTGACGCATTGTATTCTGCACAGGCATGCGTTGGCAACAAAAACCTTACCTCCAAAAATGGCAGAAGTATTAAAAACTCTGGTGGAATGTGTGAACTATGTGCGAAAAAGTGCTCTGAGGCACCGCATCTTCAGTGAGCTGTGTAAAGAAATGGGCTCTGAATTTGAGGTACTTCTGCTCCATTCTAATATTCGGTGGTTATCCCGGGGACAGGTGCTGAATCGTGTTTTTGCCATGCGTGTGGAATTAGCCCTGTTTTTGCAAGAGCACCAACACTGCCATGCAGATTGCTTAAAAAATCCTGAGTTCATTCTCATTTTAGCGTACATGGCTGATATATTCGCAGCTCTCAATCATCTCAATCAGCAGATGCAGGGTGGTGGAGTCAATATCATGGAAGCGGAAGAACACCTGAAGGCTTTTCAAAAAAAGCTACCGTTATGGAAACGACGAACAGAGAACAATAACTTCGCAAACTTCCCGCTTCTGGACGACTGTGCAAGTAAGATCGAAGATGTGTCTGGAATCGGAGATATTTCTGTATCCACGGAACTGAAGCAAACAATTGCCACGCACTTAGATGAGCTTGCAAAGTCTCTCGACGGATATTTCCCTACAAGAGAGTCATATCCAGCATGGGTGAGACAGCCGTTCACGTTTGCTGTTGAAACAGCAGATGTCAATGATGAATTCCTCGACGAAATCATTGAAATTCAGCAGAGCCAGGTTCAACAGCAACTCTTCAGAACAACAACGCTCTCAACGTTTTGGTGTCGACAAATGAACAAGTATCCAGTTATTGCTAAGAAAGCCCTGGATTTTTTTTATACCATTTGTTACAACATATCTTTGTGAGCAATCCTTTTCGAGGATGCTGGACATAAAAACGAAGAAAAGGAACAGACTTTGCTGTGAAAATGACATGAGAGTGGCACTTGCCAAGGTGAAGCCACACATATCTGAACTGATCTCTCAAAGGCAACAGCAGAAGTCACATTGATTTCCAGGTATGTAATTTGTTGTGAGATTATGCATTGTGTTGGTTTTATTCTTTGAACAAGGTAATGTTCATGCACGGCTCATTTTGTGTACCAGTAAAAAACATATCTATGTCTTGAATTTGAAAAAAATCACATTTTATTTTTCACTAAAGAGGGGTTCGGTGAATGCGCATATGAAACTGGTGGGGTTCGGTACCTCCAACAAGGTTAAGAACCACTGCTCTAGCATCTTGCCGGTCGCAGAGGGGTTTTGTGCCATGCCGTGTGTCACCCGGGTTGGGTATTCGCGGGCCATTATTCAAATAGCGACGAAGACGCTGGCACAAAACCTCAAGTGGCACTCAAACAGCAATACCGTTTGTTAATTCGTGTTTGAATGGAAAGCGCTTCGTTATTTTTGCGATTCGTTTGAAGCGGTGTCAGCGAGCAGCCACGAAGGCCGGCCGGCACGGGACACGAGGGGGGCGGGTGGCCAACGCCACGCCTCGGCCTCCTTCGTCTCCCGAGCGGCGATGTTTTACGCGCCGCACCCGGCTACCCATTTGAGGCCGAGTCGACCTAGGCAGGCGCCGTACGACAGGAGTCCTCGCCACGAGGCGGCACCCCCCATCTCACCTGCTTGGGCAGGGCCTGGAGCCCGCGGCCGGCCATGGTGGCGAAGCCGATGAGCATCTTGATGTCGCTGTGCCGCACGTAGCCGAGCTCCGTGCCCATGACGCGCAGGAACGCCGACGCCTCCATGGGCAGCTTCTGGAGGTTCACCTCCTGCATGAGCTTCTGCATGGTGCCCAACATCTCCTTGGGCAGGTCGATGTTCTGGGACACGGGGAAAACAAAAAAAAGAAGAGAGGTAGGCGCCGCGTCATTGGTGCGTCATCATCGGCGTCGGACACACTCGCGAAGGCCTCGCCTAGCCATCCGCCATCTCCCTCTCTCTCAATCCTCCCATGTGGCCATCGGTTGGCTCCTATATATCTCGCCCATCTGCTTCTAGTTTTATATTCCATTGTGAACAAAACGTATATCTGCTGATTACGGTCTGCTCATTATTCCAAAGAGCAGAGCTTTGCTCGATGGGAGACGGAGCTTCTTGCAGCCAGGCTCCACGATCGTGGAATTCCCTTCCTTCATCGGTCCATTGGGGAATCTGAGTCTGTTACACTCTTTCGTTCTCGTCTCAAAACTCACGTGTTTTTACAGCAAGCTTTCCTCGTTACTTAAGCTTCACGTGAAACATTCCGAGACTATTGTACGAATTGTACGATCGAATTTCTATTTAATTATTATGTTATTATCAAGCCAGCACCTATACACGAGGCGATTTCATTGCTCTACCTCCGCAGCGGTGGTCCTCTGGAACGCGCTCCGTTCCTTTGCTGCGACTGTGAACGGTGTGACCGATGTAATTTGACTGCGCGTGTTCTCTAATCCAAGCGTCTGTTACGTCGCCCATGTGAACGCGTCATCTTGAGCGTGCCTGCGCTATTCGTAACGAAAGTTACAACAACAACAACAAAAAATCCAGGACTCTTAACGCGTTCCTGACTCACGGACTTTTCCCGGGTGGGCTGCCTGCGGCGGTGAGCCAGGCGAGGGCGCGGGAGAGTGGGGTGGGGTGGAAGTGGCTCGTGCCCGTACCTGCTTGCGCTGGTCGGGGTTGACTCCCGTCCACTTGCGCAGGACGGCCGCCAGCTGCTCGGGAAGTTTGCCGTCCACCCAGAAGGCGGCGCTCATTGCGCTGTTCGGGAAGAAGCCCTTGGGCCCGAAGAGGGCCTCCAGCGGAGCCTCGAAGCCCTGGCCCTCCACGCCGATCTGTCGTCGACATCGCGAACATCACGCTCAGAACGTCGTTCGTCCGTTCGGGGACACGCATTGCCACGCTGGCAAAAACAAATGAGACTTTACGAAGTGTTCACGTTCCTATGGCGGTGGGGGCGCGTCGATCCAGAGGACAACCACTGTTGGCTTCTCCAATAAAGCTGTACTCATTTTATCGAGTACCGGTGGGGATGATAATGCCCAAACCTGGATTCGAACTCGCAACCTTCCGATTGCGAGCCGCACGCTCGACCGCTTAGCCGCCTGACAGGTGACTTACAACAACACCCACGAGTGGATATAAATAATACCAAAAAATATCTCCCCAGATCGGTTGTTAAAGAACCCGCTAGCTGTGTAGTCATCTCCTGGCCAGCAAGCAGCCCGGTAGGTTCTGCAGAGTTATCGCAACAGAGCGACATCAAAGAAAAGCAACGTCGAATGATACCGTAAAAAAAAAACACATTTGTAAACACAAGGGAACAACGACAGATAATAGGGGGGCAGCTCTTTCTTTGGTCATTCACGTGACCGTTGTTTAAAAGGAGCGACGGGCACCAGGAGAGACGATCGTCACGATGTGAAAAAATAAAAACACCGCGCGCACAAGTTCGAGACGCGGGGACAATGCGCACAACCGCTCGCGAAAAGACGCGGACAAGGCGGCCGCGGGTCGTCCGGTCTCGCACGCGCGCACCTCGAACACGTCGAGCGACTCTCCCAGCACGTCCAGCGACGTCTCGAGCACGACGGAGCGCGGCAGGAACCCGCTCGGCTCCAGGATGACGTCGAGCTGCACGGTGCCGGTCACGGGATGCTCCGCACCGGGCAGCCTGACGACGCGCGACGCCGACATCCTGCGCGAGTACTTGAGCGAGCTGTAGGCGTACGACGCCGGCAGCTCCATCCCGGATATCACCTGCTCCAGCTTCTTGCGCAGCCTGCGGTGAAGACCAATTTATTCATTTATTCCGTGGAGAGCCACACCGAGTCTTAGTTGAATAATAACATATATTTACTCCAGAACGCGAGCAACAACAAGGGGAAGTGGGGCGCGGAAAACTCCACAGTCGGACTCCTCCTAATTCGGTGCCGCCGAGTTTTCCGTGCACTCACGCGGAGGCGGTCGGGCCCTTGCTGGTGCGCAGGGCCTCAACGTGCGACACCACGTAGCTGCGCAGCTGCTTGTTCTCCTCCCGCGGCAGCGTGTTCAGCACGTCCCACAGCAGCTCCGGCTCCGGCTGCGACATCAGGGCCAGGTAGGCGGCGATGCGGCGCTGCACCGGCGACCGCGAGTTGCGGTAGGCGTCCAGCAGAGCCGTGCGAGTCTGCGGGAGGGAGAAGGGGGTGCGGGTGGGTTCAGGTTGACGGCGGCGGCAGCGTTGGCCACGGCGGCGTTGCGGACCTTTCTGGCTGGCCGTCAAACACAGACGTTCGCCGCGTCACGCGGCGCTTTCAGATGCGCTGCTTCCGCGGCCGTCTGGAACGCTCTTCCTTTCTGATATTAGGAAGCGTCTCGGAGTTATGCACTCTGAAACCATCTCGACTGAAAACTTTTGAACTGCTTTTTGTGATTTGGCAGCAACCCAACACCACACCACCGAGCGCGCCCAGGTTGCCTTCCTGTTCAAGCGCCTGGGCAGGCTCAAAAACCCCTGCTTAGCCAGCGAGATCCGAAACGATCGATTGCGCTCGGGGTGATCGATCCGGTCCGCATTGCCACTGCGCCTGCATTATCAACTTCTCCCGTGCCGAACGTCGCACTGCCGCTCTTTCCCACGAGCACCACTGAAACCTCCCACGAAGGCAGATTCAAGAATCCGAACAGCGTTCTGCCACCCCGTGACGATCAGGCCCGACCACGGACGACGGGGACAGGGGTTTGTGTCGGTGCCAGCGTGCGTTCTGACCGCACCCCTTCGGTGAGCTGGGTCCGGCGCAACGCCTGGATGGCGGCGATCTGGACCGGCAGCGGCAGCTGCGTGTTCCCCACGCACGCTGCCAGGGTGTCCACCACAGCGCCGTCCGCCGCCTGGAGGGCACCGCCCATGTTGCCAGCAGCCTGCAGGGAGCCGAACACAAGGGGAATGCCACGTCATGTGTCGCCCGTCGCACCACCGGTCAGCGGCACTGCCTGCTGCCCGAGTCAATACCTGTCAACCCCTTATAAATCTCAACGTTCATCCCACAAAGTCCCATCACAAGGGACAAACACAAACAAATAGACACCTTTTTTTGCCTGTATCGAAACGGCTGTATGCAGTATGGACCTGAAAACTAAATTTTCCTGTACAAGAATACGGGGTAAACCGAGTGGGTTGACTGGTATGCGAGTCGCTCCCTCGCCATTGGATGCCGGGTGGGGGATCTTGGAACATCCCCTGGGGTGTTCGTGGTATGGAAATGTGTCAAGATTAAAAAAAAAACATAGGGGCCCTATTACCGTGGATTCTCCGTACCCCATCACTGGAATATTTCGGCGTGTTGTACCATCTCACGTTTTGTTGTAGTAAGAAAAACAATTGGGGCACTAAGCTATAATGATAATAATTGCAATTAAATAACATGTCAGTTTAACACGTAGTAAAGCTTTCGCGACCAATATCATCCATAATATAGCCAAGAAGGCCTCACAAGTGACGTCATCACATCTATCCCTCAATTTAAGGAATGAAACAGGAGGGGTATTTCTCCACAAGTCTGGCTGTCGCCTGATGATGCTAGTTGTAATTACTGGCGAAACGTTGTACCGAGATTGTAAATGTTGTGGATTTGCTCTCCAACACACCGGTGTGCTGCACTAGTAGCAAATTGGCGCGTTCTGTTTACGTGACGAACCTTACTAGTTGGCTGTCTCGGGTGGTGGCGGCTTTAACGACACATTTATATATTTACGCGGTCCAACCCCAAAAAAACAAAACTGTATTATGAATGTGGGGGCCCCGTACCTTGAGCGCCAGGTAAGTCTTGTCTTCGTCGCCGGAACAGTCGGCTCCCAGCTGCGACCGCATGAAGGCGGCCACGTCTTGCAGCTCCGGCCCAACCTGCTTGTGTGTTGTGAAGTGCCTGCAAGCGGGGGGGGGGGTCAAATTCAATAAAGGGCATTGCAGCAGCACGGTTGACCAACTGCTTTGCACACGCACGCAAGTGTGCATACAGCTGACACACAAACGCAGAGAACCCCCCCCCCCCCCCTCCCCAAGTCTAGCCCGCGCATTTCCATCGGGGTAAGTGCCCCAGTTGATTTAATTTGTTCACGCGGGTAATGACGCATCCCCCGCCGTAAACCCGGGGTGTTGCCCTGTAACAATGAGCACGGCTGGCTGCGCGCCGCGCGACGGAAGCTCAGCGCGGCGCACGAGAGAGGCGCCGCGTCGGCCGCGTCCGCGACGGCCGCTTCCCGCGCGTCGTTTGGCGCCGCGAGTCACCTGTGCACGACCATGCTGAGTGCGAGCATGCTGGCGCGCGTCGGCGCCGCCTGCGCGAGCGTGAGCGTGTCCCGGACCACCATGGTGCAGGGCGCCGGGTGGAAGCCCAGGGCGTAGGCCACGACGCCGGAGAGCGCCGGCGGAACGCGTTTGGAGCGGAGCAGCTGCAGCAGCGCGCTGTAGCACGGCGCCGTGCCACACTGGGGCAGCGACTGCAGGGTGATGGAGCTGTTGGGAGTGGGGGGGGGGGGGGGGGGCGCAGGAGGTCGAGGAGGAGCAGTGTGGGGCGGGGTGGGGGGGGGACGGCACATGGTGTGACAGGGATTTAGCCAACGTCTTCGTCACGTTGATTAACGTCTTCCTCGTAACCACCGTCATTATCATCATCGTTAATTAAGGCAAACAATCACTATCCATCATAATCATCATCATGAACGTCATAATCACTGAACCCCACAATTCGAGCGGCTCGGTCTGTTTAAGAGTGGCTGTTTATGTTAACCTTGGGTACTGGCACTGCACTTTATGCATCCTAAAGTTGCCTTAGCCTGAATCGCAGGTCAATCAACCACTTAACACTGAACAACTAGAATCTTAAAGATGCCTTCATCTGGCTCTCCGAGCTTCATGCATTCACGTGGGGACACTGAGAAATCCCCGAGTCGTCTCTAACCGGGCGCGCGGATAACGGGAAGGAGGGAGTGCGAGAGGCGCTTCTCCCTCGACAATTGGGACTGCTGAACTGCATCGTGGGAGTCGAGCAGTGAGGGGGAACGCCACCGTCAGCTGTGCACGCTCCACCTGCACTGCTCCAGTGCTCCCCCTGCGCCCCCCCCCCCCAGCGTCCCCCTGTGCTCCCCCTGTGCTCCCGTGGCTCCCCTTATGCTCCCCCTTACGCTCCCCCGGCAACCCCCCCCCCGGCACTCCTCTTGTGCTCCCCCTACAACTCACTGTGCTCCCCCTGCGCTCCCACAGCTCCCCCTGCGCTCCCCCTTAAACACCCCCCCCCCCCCTCCCCGTGTACAGATGCCCGTTGAACTTCTATCGCGCCGTGCGTGGCCGACCGCGTCGATGGGCGGCGTCGCGCACCTGGACGACTCGAGCAGGCGTGGAAGGATTTCGAAGAGCGTCCCGTTGGACAGCGCCCGCAGGCCGGCCAGGAGGCTGGCGAACAGCTCCGCCTGGCGCTTGTTGTCGGCGCCGGAGCCCAGCTCCACCATCTCGGCCAGCGTGCTCAGCACGCGCTGCGGATCCTCCCCAGCGGCATCTGTCGCCTGGGGCTCGTACGTCAGCCCGCGCCCGTTCTTCTCGTCTGCGGTGGCGGGGGGATGGGGGGAGTGATTGGTGGGGGGTGAGAGAGCGGCGGTGCAGCGGTTAGCGCTACGCTGCGCTGAAAAAAAGGCGACCCGGGGTTCGATTCTCGCTCACGGCCAAAACCGGTGACGATGATTTTAACCCATCCTGGGCCTCCCCTAGGTCGAATCAGCCTCAAATGAGTACCTGGTGCGGCGTGTTAACATCGCCACTCACGAGACAAAGGCGGTCGGGCGTGGTGCTGGCCACCCACCCGCTGGTGTGCCGCGCCGGCCTTCGGAGGTGCTACTCACTGACAGCACTTGCCCCAACAGTCTGTTAAGGCTACACGGGGGATCTTTGTCTTGTAGCGGGGGCGAGCGGGCGGTGGGAGCGATCCATTAAAATTGCCCGCCCCCCCCACCGCTCGTCTCGTACAACTCGTGAGCCCCGTGTGACCCATCGCGGCTACCTCGCCCGCAAGAGGGGGACTAGCGATGAGGGTGATCCGGTCACCCCCCCGCCCCGCCCCCCTCTCTCCCCACCCCCCCCCCCCCCACCCCCGCCGGTGTGGCATCGCGATCCAATGCCACACTGGCGGCCACCGCACCTCACCATCGCTTCCTTCCTTGTCAGATCGAGAAAAGGTGTGGGAACTCACTGACGTCAAAGTTGCGAATGTTGGACTTGGCCTGTTCGGTCATCTTCAGCGTCTGCTTCACGGTGGAGACCGCTCCGCTTTTACCCCTGGAAGGAGATGAAAAAAATAAAATCCACATCAATTCCTGCCGCCCAAACACAGATGCCAAAAAGGTCCCGTAGGTATAACTGTTCAACCCCGGGGCTATCAACATCTTGAGACTTGCATTGCCTTCGTACTGTTCGCCTATTGGCGTCCTTTGGTCTATAGCACCGGTGAGACAAATCCATAAAGGAGGCCGTCTCTGGTGTGTTTGGCCAATCAGGTTCAAGGACAACGCACTCATTACCGAAGCATATTTGTGTGCATGTTTTAATCACAAAGCATGTGCGCCTTGTAAATACGCGTCGATTATTTGGCGTCTGAACACCTTCAAACGCCTCCGGTATTGTCGCGCACCTGCTGGAGAAGGGCAGGAACATGTGGCGCTCCGTGCAGGTCACTTCGCTGACCGCCTTGCGACGGCTGTCCAGGCTGTAGGCGCATTCTTGCGTCGAGGCGAAGAGCGATGTGGCGAACGTGGTCTGTGGACAGCGTCAACGAGATAATTCCACACCAACCCCCGCCCCACGGCGAGCAAGCGTCACGTCGGTCGAGCGTCGATCGGGGGATCATCGCGCGGATGCGATGCACGTGCCCCGACGATGACGTCATTGTCGTCGTCATCGTTATTTTCTAAATGCCCAGGTGATGCAGCGAGGGGGGTACATGCGAGGTCTCAAATGATGCTCTGCGGGTGACGACGTTCCTGTCACACACGTGTGTGTGTGTGTGTCCACCTCTGGATATTCATGAGTGTACGTGCATATGTAGCCATGTGTATCAGTGTGCGTGCTCGTACGTGTGTGTGTGTGTGCGTTCGTGTAAATGCGTACATGCCTGTGTGTGTGTGTGTACACTGCACGGGAGTTCCTCGTCTGTGTGCACGTGTACATGTGTGCGTATGTGTGGGGAGTGGTAGTGTGGCGGTTAGCGCACTGTGCTTCGAACCTTGCTCACGGCCAACACCAGTGACGATTATCTGAACTGGTCCTGGGCCTCCCCTAGGTCAACTCAACCTCAAAACGGGTACCCGGTATGATGTGTATCAAACATCGGCACTGGGGATGCAACGGCGGCCGGGCGTGGTGCCGACCACCCACTCCCCTCGTGCGCCGTCCCGGCCTTCGTAGGCGCTCCTCGTTAACGACACTTGCCCCAACATCCCATTGAGGCTATATGGGGGATCTTTGTGTGTGTGTGTGTGTGCCCGTGCGTAGGCGCGCTACCCACCAGGCCCGAGACGAGGGCGAGTGGGCTCGCGATGGCGCCCTTGCCCACGGGCGAGTCGCACGAGCGCAGGTCGCGGGTCAGGGTCACCTCGGACGGGACAATGCCCTTGCGGGCGGTCACCGTCACCTCCGTGGGGCACCCGCCGTGCACGCTCGGCTGCTCGGAGACACGCGCGGAGACACGCATGGAGCATTGGAGACAGCGCATGGGAGACGCGCGTGGGAGACGCATGGGAGACACGCGTGGGAGACGCATGGGAGACACGCATGGGAGACACGCATGGAGCATTGGAGACAGCGCATGGGAGACGCGCGTGGGAGACGCATGGGAGACACGCGTGGGAGACGCATGGGAGACACGCATGGGAGACACGCATGGAGCATTGGAGACAGCGCATGGGAGACGCGCGTGGGAGACGCATGGGAGACACGCGTGGGAGACGCATGGGAGACACGCATGCAACGTTAGCCCGGGCCGTCATGATCACAACCGTCAAGTCGTGCTCGGTTACAGCCCCTTTCTGTCTGTCCCCTGCTGGATGAAGGCCTCCCCCCCCCCCCCCCCCGCACCGTGTCAGTCGAGGGGGTTGTTTGACCATACTTCACCACGCTGGTGAAGGTGGCGGGAAGAGGCCTTCAACCGTCTCGTTCCTCTCTCCCGTAGCTGATCCACCGCTACTTCATCGATCTTAGTTGTCTTGTGGTTGAAGTTGTTATTTGACTTGCATCCCACTGGGATTTTTGCACACAGCGTTGGTGTACGGTGCTATTTCAGGAATATTTTAATGCTTTTCTCCTGGATTTTCTGTTTGAGCAGTCACATAGTCACTTTAAAATGTTTTCTTGTTCATGTTTTTGTTTTTTGTTTGTTGCGGTTGCACCCGATTCAAGAGCCGAATGGCTCACAGGGCTATACCAAATAAATGGAACTATGAACTATGACGAATGCTGCCTTTCGTTTCGCACGCTGCGCTGTGAACGCTGCAACCTGAGTTGGCTTCCTGGTCAAGGCTAACATCAGGCATGGGCATCCCATACACTGAGTTTTGCTCTGGCCAGCATGCTTGGGAGAGAGTGAGTTAGAGACAGAGAGAGAGGGTGCGAGAGGATGACAGAGAGTGACCTGCATGATTGAAGTGAGAGAGCATGTGAGAGTGATAGAGAGAACATGTGAGAGAGTGAGAGAGACAGATAGACATTGGGAGAGTGAGTAAGAGAGCGCGAACGAGCTTGCGACAGTGAGAGAGAGAGTGACAGCATGAGAGAAAGAGAGAGAGAGCTTGCGAGAGATAGGGAGAGTGAGAGCATGAGACAAAGAAAGCTTGAGAGAGATAGGGAACGTGAGAGAGAGAGAGAGTGGGTGAGATAGCGTAAAATAAAGAGAGAGCTTATGAGAGAGTGAGAGAGAGAGAGGAGAGACTGACCAGATCGCGCGTGTCGCGGTCTCCTTCCCCCGTAGGGGGTGGCATCAGCGCCGCGATGATTCCCCTCTTGACGTTGAGCACTGCCTCGGGCTCGTCGCTGTGCGGGAAGAGCATCGCCACGGAGCCGTAGGAGGTGCGGAATCCCAGCTCGAATCTGCCGCACAAACCACCACCACCACCATCACATTGCCCCATGCGTTAGTCCCGGGGCGCCATCGATGAGCCGCCTGGCTCGTCTTGATAGGCTGCTGTACATTTGCACGTGATGATAAGCCACTTCGTTGAGCTATAATTTGTGGCCAGGTGACTTCTGAAAAAAGAGCGATATAGCTCAGTGGCCTTTACCTGCTAAAATAAAAATAGTTTCGTTTATATTTTTTTGGCTGCGAAAAATTTCCACATAAGCCACTTCGTTGAGCTATAATTTGTGGCCAGGTGACTTCTGAAAAAAGAGCGATATAGCTCAGTGGGCTTTAACTGGTAAAATAAAAATAGTTTAGTTTTTTTTAAAGTGATTTGTTTACTTCCCTGTACTTTGCACTCCTTTCATGTTTTTATATTTCTTGTTGTTGTAACGTTCTGACCCGACTCTACTGGAGATCTGTGAACAAGAGCTTTATCGCTCATCGGATTCCATCTGTTATAAATCAACATTCTGATTTTGGGTCTCTTGATTAATATTGGGCTGTTTTAGAAAAAAAGACGTGATTAAAAAATATCAATTTTTATTATATTTTATCGTATGTATGTATGTATGTTTATCTCTTAACTATGATTATTAGATACGGTATTGTTGATTTTAATGTTAATATTCGGTTAGGACTCCATTGATTGATAAAGACCATATTTGTTATGGGTCCCTATTGACGTCTATGGGTTTCTACTGAATGTGTGTCTCGATCGATCCATACGAGTCTCTAGAATCTATATTCACTGATACAAGTCTAATATTGATTATGAGTTTCTGTTTAATATGGATCTCCATTGATTAGCAAGGGTGACTCGAATGCTTATTGATCAATATGGGTTTCTGTCGATTCACATGGATCTGTCATTGATTTGTACGTACCTTTATTGATCAATATCAGTATATTGATCAGAACGGTTGTCCATTGGTTTATGTGGGTCTCTATTGATCTATATGGGTGTCTATTAATCCAAATAGATATATTGATCAGTAGAGGTGTTTATTTATTACTATAGGTCTATTAATCAGCATGGGCGGCTATTGATACATACAGATCTATTGATTATTAAGGGTCAATTATTGAGCAATATGTGTATCTATTGATCAGTTGACTATTGATCAGTTGACTCCACGCTGAACGGGGAGGCGCCGACCGGCATTTGCCTGCGCGGCTCTCCTCATTGGCACACTCCCCCCCCCCCCCCATCGTTCACAACTCCCAAAGCCCCAGCAGAGGGTGCGCCTCCGTTGCGTCATATTAAACCAAGGGGTGGGGGGGGCGTCCCACCAATCGCATTGGCCAGACCCAGCCAAGGTCGCCGGGCCAATGATTAACCGTGCTGAAATGTTGCCATTCAGATTTGTTCTGCAAGCAAGCAGGGCCCTGATAGCGGCCCGCGGCAGATAAGGTGGCGCTGACTCTGGCGGCGCGATATGGGTGTGGGGTGGGGTGGGCGAACCAATAAAGCAAATAAATTGCTCCGCATCAGCACGTCCTGAACCGAATGAACTCTCGCGATAGTCGCGGCTTAAACTGCCCTAGAAAACCTGCCGTGACTTTGCTCAAGGCCTCGGGGCGTCGGGCAATCGAGATAAAGAACCACGGTGTCGTCTCGCGTTGTCACCGGCCGATCGTGAAAAATAAAAATGGGCCGAAAAAGACCGGCGCGCCAATTGTCGGCCGTGATTGTAGGAGCGACCCAAGTGGGGGGTAAAGGCGCAATAATGTGTAGGACCGTCGATATCATCCGTTAGCGCGGAATTAGCATGGCACGGCAGTCGGGAAGAGTGGACCCGCCGCCACCGAGAGAGTGAGTGAGAGAGAAAGAGATGCCCGTCACGTGACAGTCAACATGATATTGTCGCGATACATTTTTTTTTGGTTGGGGGGGTCATTTTCAGGGCACAAACGTTTGCCGAGTTAAAGTGGGAAAGTAAAAATTGACGCAATGGGGTGTCTTTTCGGTTAGTTCGTTAGCTAATTAATCCGCTTCGTCCCCTATGGGACATGAGGCCTCAGTGAGTTCCCTCCACTTCTCCCTGTCATTTCTCATTTTTCTTTACGATTGCAGTCATTGAATTAGAATCTTTATTTATCCTGGAGAAATCCGATGAGAATTCGGAGCCCTTTTCCCACAGGTGTCCAGTGACCGGACCGGGACCGCAGGCTCACTGAATTTTTGGAATGCGGTTCAACCGAGGAAGGGTCTTCCGACCGAGACCCAGATTTAAATCGAGGCTCTCAAAGGGCGCTGGCTCCGTGCTCTGACCCCGCTGAGCCACCCGGGCCACGTTACACACCGTGCCGAGGGTCGCGCAAAGGTGCAGCGCTCTTAAGATTGTCGGGGGGTGGGGGGGGGTTATTGAGCAGGGGGTAACCCCTATTGCTCAAGATGTTTTGCTGTTTTATGACCGTGTGTGTCCTAACCCGGGCGTGTTTAATTGTGATAGCGTCATGAACAGCTGCTCTGAAAGTGGAACAAAGTGTAGACTCCTACACGGTTCACACTTTGTGCGTGAATGCAACACGTAGGATACGCCTTGTGCTGCTTTGTTTGTTAACCTCTACCTTACGATCAACCCCCGTGTTAATTTTTATCTCAATCTGAACTCAACTATTTTAATTTTAGCAGGCAGAGCGCACGGAGTTATACAGTTCTTTTTCACAAGCGATCTGGCCACAAATGATAGCTCAACGAAGTTGGCTCATCACGTGGAAATGTACATCAGCCAAAAACTCTAAATGCGTATTTCTAAACGTGGAGGAAGAAAACCGGAGAACCCGGAGAAAAATCCACCTGTCCACGGGGAGAGATAACCAACTCCAAATATACAGGTGTCAGGGTCAAACCCACCACCTCCTAAATTCCAGGCGAGGTAGTTAACATCTCGCCACCATGGCACCCCAAGCCTGTGTCTGACTGCCGCTAAATCTAGTTGCGAGAATTGTTCTTCAGCTTACCGGGGTAGTGAGCTGAAACGTTTGCCCGCGCGACAAATTAATTCGTTTGGCTGTGTAGGGTGGTGGAGGGTTTTAACGACACAAACGTAGCCAGATGGTTACTACGTGGCGTAACGCACAACAACCAAAAACAATCACGAATCATCGCACTAGCCCTAAACCACTGCCAACATTGCCAGTCCGGAAACACGTGCACTAGGGAGACCGAGGTAGCCAGGTGTGGTGCTGTCCACGCCACCCCCGGCCTTAATAGGTACTCGCTAACTGCACCGAGCAGGGGGGGGGGGGGGGGGGGGGGTGGCGTCGGCAGTCTGCGTACGTCTGTACACAGGCCAGGCGCGTGCGTGTCCCCTACCGGCTCAGGCTCTGCTGCAGCTCGCTCCCGCGGATCTGGCTGTATTTCGGCTGTCCGTTGGGTCCCGTGGACGTGGCTTCGTGCAGCGCGCAGTCTTTCACGCGCAGCACGAAGGCGCAGCGTTCCGGGACCTCCAGTTCGACCTGTGTGAAAGCGCGCAGGAGAAGCGGCGGCGGCGCCAGGGAAAAAGCGGCAGAAGCGACAGAAAGTAGGAGGAGCAAGAGAAACAGCAGGAGCAGTGGCAGCAACAGAAGGAGACGCAGGAGAATACGCAATTGTTATTAGCTTAGTCCGCCACAAGCGTGCATAACACCGTCGCCATGTGTCGTTTTGTCATCAACTGCCTCATCATTGGCACCGTCGAGAACACGTGATGTCAAAACACGGACTCGTTGTGAGTTGCCGCAGAGAATCATGGGTAAAATCTACTCGGCTGATGGACAATTGTTATTTACGTGTATGTCCCATGAGTTGCGCTCTATGTGACGAAGGAGGATGCACAGTTTATATAAAGTGTGCTTGCCAATGACATCTGGTAATCTAGCAAGATTAAACAAGCCTGACACTGCTGATGAGTCCCAAAATGTTGAAACGGGTCCAGAAGTTTACTTGCTTAAACAAATTTTGCTTGGGAAATTTGGTCTGGAAAGCCAATCGGCTGATGGACTAAACCATATTTTTCTATGGAGAGACTGAATCGATATCTGCTTGCTTATAGTTTCCAATTTCAGTAACATAATTATCGCCTTTATCATCATCATGCTTGAGATGATCACCGTCACCATCATCATGATTATTCCTTGCTCATGGCGAAGGGGAGTTGGGGGTTAAAGTTCAGATCTATGACGTGGGGTTAGGGTTCAGATCAATGGTTAGTGTTATAGGTATTGTATAAGGGTTTAGGTTTAAGTTCAGGCCTATAGTATAGGGTCAGGGTTATAGTTCGTGTTGTGGTTCAGGTCAATTGCACAGGGTTAGGGCTAAAATTATTATATTTGTTGTAGTTATGGTTCAGGTCTATGGTACAGGGCTATTGTTGTGGTTCAGGTCTATGGTACAGGGCTAATGTTATGGTTCAGGTCTGGTTCAGGTGGAGCTGGAGTGGGAGAATGGACCTGGTGGGGGGGGGGGGATGGAGTGGGGGGAGCCGGGGGGCTTGGGGGGGAGCGGGGTGGGGGGGGAGAAGTTAGGGGGCAGTGGAGCGGTGGGAAGGAGCACCTTGCATTGAATGCGGAATCCGGCTCGGTTGGGCGCCGCTCCCTCCACGCCGCTGCCCACCTCGGCCTCGTAGCTGTAGGTGTACTTGCGGAGTGGCCTGAAGCGCGCTGCCTCCTCTGCAGGGCCACAGGGAGCAGGCGAGTTTATTAGCGACGTGGCGCAACGACGTTGGGCCAATGGTACCAACCACATGGCAACCTTGGGCCGATGGTGCCAACCGCATGCCAACGTTGGGCCGACGTTGGGCCAAGGGTGCCAACCACATTCCAACGTCGGTCTAATGGTTCTAACCAGATGGCAACGTTGGACCAACGTTGGACCAACGGTGCCAACCACATGGCAACGTTGGGTGGACGTTTGGCCAACGGTTCCAACCACATGGCAACGTTGGGTGGACCTTGGGCCAACGGTGCCAACCACATGCCAACGTTGGGCTAACGTTGCCCGTTAACTGGGAAACGTCTCGGAGAGGTCTGCTATGGTCATTCATCGACGGTGACACCACCGGTGCTGCTGGTGGCAGAGTGAGGAGGATGAGGCGGCGAGGCGAAAGCTGCGTGTGAGGAGCGAGCGTGCGGAATTATGAATGCTCACTCGGGCAGTCTGTTGACGTCGCCTCTTCGGAAGAGTCATCTTCCGCGTATTCTGCGTGGGCAAGATTTGGGAAGGCTTCATGAGTCACAACACACGATCTTCCAGACACTCAACTCGCCCCTTCGTGCCCAGGGCCGGCTTTAGATTTTTAGGTGCCTCCCAAGTTATAGATTAACATTTCCCAACACGTCTGGCCAGTGTGGAAGAATAGGCCAAATACTGCTTGGGTGGACTCTCTTGAACTGCCTCTAGTGTAGGCCCTTCCGCCAGCAGTGGCGTGGGCGAGCAGTTGCAGAAGCTGCGCCTTTACCTTTACCAGAAGTATGCGCAGTAAACTGATTTATAATGGCTGAATTGCAAAAAGTATAGCAACTGATAAATCCTACAGGCCATTGGGTAAATAAAGCCAAAGCATAGCTAAGTGTACCACCACCAGTCGTGGGCCCACACTAAAAAGTTTTGCTCGGTTTAAACTTTGATCTGGCTTCGCCATACGTGCTGTATAACGAATTTAACTAAAAAAACGATTAACAAAGCTGAGTACTTATTGGTTCTTTCGGTAAAGTCACCACGTAGAAGGGAAACAATAAAACAATAACAATATAAAACAATAGAATTCTCACCACGTTTCGACTGCAACACAAGCAATCATCATCAGGTGTGAAAAACCACAGAACTTTTTTCAAATTTTTTTTGCTGTGGTTTTCACACCTGATGATGATTGCTTGTGTTGCAGTCGAAACGTCGTGAGAATTTTTTTGTTTTATATTTTTATTATTTTGTTTCCCTTCTACGTGACTTTACCGAAAGAACCAAGAATATGAATCCCTGCAGTCACGAAAGCTTTAAATCAAAATTTTACTCAAGGACGGTTCAGATGTCACTCGCCACTGATGTTAGCCGTGGCCAGGGAATCGAACTCGGTCGGCTAGGTTCATAACGCAATGCGTTATCCAATGCATCACCACTACCTCGAACAATACTGTATAATACATCCATATACATACAATTGACATGAAGATACATTGTTCATTATTTCGCACTATTAAGGTGAAATAAAATAAAAATATTTCGATGTTTTTTTTTCTCCCTCTTGGTAATAATGCACGAATTATAGCGATATACTTTATGCCCTGGGTAAAACAATATCATACTTAACAATTTGAAAGGACAGCAATTGTAAATCAAAGCAAATAAGTTTTAGACAAATAATGCACATTTAGATGCCCGCTGGTCTATGCTGTATAGTGTATAATGTATTGTAGTGTGGAGAGGGTGGGCTGAACCCATTTACCCAAGTTCGATTCCCAGCCACGGCTACCAGACACCAGTGGACATTTAAGATCTGAATCGGTCTTAGAACCCACTTCACAGACCTGTACTGGCCAAACACGATGAGGTATGGTCTAACTCCCCATTGTTGAAAAAGCTGGAGGCCCTCGAACTAGCGGTGGATTGACCATGACTAATTTTAATGGCCCCTTCATATACTTATGCAATGCTACATATGTTAAGCTGTATGTGAATGTTATTTATAATTGTGACTTTAGCTTAATCACATCAAAGCCTATGTCACTATGCGCCATTTTATGTACATAAATCGCGTGACAAGTTACCTTTGATAATATATATGACCCTGAATTATATTGCCCCTCACCGAAACATGAAGATTTCAACTTAGCTACATATTAAGCAGGCACATTCCCTTGGTGGTAATAATGCATATCAGTCTCATCACAACATTGCCTGCCCATCACATTAACCACACGCTTATATTCGTCAAACCGTCAACACATTTCTAAGAGAGTACAATTTCATTGTTGATATAAAAAAACAAAATATTCACGATTGCTGAATAAGCTTACATTACACAGTAGCGGCTTGATTTGCACGTGACCCGATCACCTTTGTTTCCCCAGTGATAGCGTGGACCGTACCGCACTGAGTACTCATTAAAACTATGAACTACGTTTTATTTTACAAGGTAAGTCCCACTGAGCTATATAGCTCTGTTTGAGAAGTGACCCGGCCACAAATGATAGCTCAACAAAGTGGCTTATCATGTGGACATTGATAGCAGCCAAATACTATAAATGCATGGTTCTAAATGTGAAGGGAAAAAAACCGGAGGACCCGGAGGAAAATACACGTGACCACAGGGAGAGAGAGAACATGCAAACTCCAAATACACAGCAGGCGTCAGGGTCGGATTCGAACTCACGATCTCTTGTACACCAGGCAATCGAGTTAACATCTCGCTGTCGTGGCACACAAACTTTTTAATTATCAGAACCCAGAACCGGACACGACTCACCACCACTGGTTAACCAAGTCACCCAAGTAAGCAGTGGTGACCCAACCAGGCCTCGAGCCCAAAGGCTTCGTAGGTGCAAGATCACTCACGTGCAGTTGCTGTGGCCAACACCAGCAGAAGGGCCACGTGGAACGGCGATAACCGTGCCATGTTGCGCCCCTGCTGCCCGTTGGCAGCGTCTGTTGCCTCTCACTCCTTTCTCCCTTGCTCTTCTTCCTTCTCCTCCTCCTCCTTCTTCCACTCTCTCCCTCTCGAAGTGAGCAACGCCAAATCTGGCGCAGCGTTTTAAACTCTCGGACAGCCCACGCACGCACGGGGTTGGGGGTGGTTGGTGGCGGTGGGAGGTGGTGGAGGTGGTGGTGGAGGTAGGGGGTTGTAAGGTGTTTGTTGGGTGGTAGGTCACGATTGCGTAATACTCCGAGGGCAGTGGGTTTCGAAGAGGGAGGGGGGGCAATGATAGCGATAGCTCCACTATTATCTGAGTGGCGTAGTCTGGTTGGCATGTACCCGGTGCAATACATAAAATGGACCCTACCCCGTACTTAATTCTGCCTAGCCCGGTAGCTGGGTCTTCCTCTCCGGCCCGTGGGCCTCGGTTCGGCTGGGGGGGGGGGGGGGGGGTGCCCGGGGCAAATCCCACGGTGTGGGCCCCCCAATGCCTTCAAACAACTACATTTGCCACTTTGACGTCAAAGTACGCCCCCCCCCAAGGCGCGGGGCCCAGGGCGGTCGCCCTGATTCGGAGTCACCGTACCCGAGGAACGGCTCTTGCTACGCCACTGCTCTTAAGTGTTGTCTCATTACAGGGAATTTCATAGTTGAGTCGCGAAGATGAAGTAAACTACTGTTCGGTTATTCAAAGGTGCTTGTCAATCTGCGTATATGAACCTATTTTTATTTTACCAACAAAGGCCCACTAAACTGCAGCTCTGTTTGAGAAGTGACCTGGCCAGATAAGATAGCTCAACGAAGTGGCTTATCATGTGGACATTGTATCAGCCAAATACTTTAAACGAATGTTGATTCTAAATGTGGAGGGAAAACCGAAAAGACCCGGCGAAAAATCCACGCGACTACGGGTCAGAATTGAATCAACAGCCTCTTCCATACCATGCAAGGCAGTTAACACCTCGCCACCGCGGCACGTGATGCTGCACAGGGACAGCTGCTGCTGTGGGTGCCCCTCAAATGTTTTAGTTGAGATGTCAATCGCTTTGAGTTGCGTAGGCATTTAAATGACCACGCAAATGCATATATGATGAATGGACAATGGCTTGCCATGTCATGGGGATGTACAAGTTGTCATTATTCTTATTGTAACTCGAGAATGAAAAGTAGTACAAGGATAAGGCCCTGTACACACGGTGGCCATCTTCCTGTCTACATGGTGGCCTTCTACCTGTCTACAAGGTGGCCATCTTCCTATCTACAAGGTGGCCCTCTACCTGTCTACATGGTGGCCATCTTCCTATCTACATGGTGGCCTTCTACCTGTCTACAAGGTGGCCCTCTACCTGTCTACAAGGTGGCCCTCTACCTGTCTACACGGTGGCCCTCTACCTGTCTACACGGTGGCCATCTACCTGTCTACACGGTGGCCATCTTCCTATCTACAAGGTGGCCCTCTACCTGTCTACATGGTGGCCATCTACCTGTCTACACGGTGGCCATCTACCTGTCTACAAGGTGGCCCTCTACCTGTCTACAAGGTGGCCCTCTACCTGTCTACACGGTGGCCATCTTCCTGTCTACAAGGTGGCCATCTACCTGTCTACAAGGTGGCCCTCTACCTGTCTACAAGGTGGCCATCTACCTGTCTACAAGGTGGCCCTCTACCTGTCTACAAGGTGGCCCTCTACCTGTCTACACGGTGGTCGTCTTCCTGTCTACACGGTGGCCATCTACCTGTCTACAAGGTGGCCATCTACCTGTCTACAAGGTAGCCATTTTCCTGTCTACACGGTGGCCCTCTACCTGTCTACAAGGTGGCCATCTACCTGTCTACAAGGTGGCCATCTACCTGTCTACAAGGTAGCCATCTTCCCATCTAAAAGGTGGCCATCTTCCTGTCTACACGGTGGCCATCTTCCTATCTACACGGTGGCCTTCTACCTGTCTACAAGGTGGCCATCTACCTGTCTACAAGGTGGCCATCTACCTGTCTACAAGGAGGCCATCTACCTGTCTACAATGTGGCCATCTACCTGTCTACAAGGTGGCCATCTACCTGTCTACAAGGTGGTCGTCTTCCTGTGTACAAGGTGGCCATCTACCTGTCTACAAGGTGGCCATCTTCCTGTCTACAAGGTGGCCATCTTCCTGTCTATAAGGTGGCCATCTTCCTATCTACAAGGTGGCCATCTACCTGTCTACAAGGTGGCCATCTACCTGTCTACAAGGTGGTCGTCTACCTGTCTACACGGTGGCCCTCTACCTGTCTACATGGTGGCCCTCTACCTGTCTACAAGGTGGCCATCTACCTGTCTACAAGGTGGCCATCTTCCTGTCTACAAGGTGGCCATCTTCCTGTCTACAAGGTGGCCATCTTCCTGTACACACGGTGGCCATCTTCCTATCTACAAGGTGGCCATCTACCTGTCTACAAGGTGGCCATCTACCTGTCTACAAGGTGGTCGTCTACCTGTCTACACGGTGGCCCTCTACCTGTCTACAAGGTGGCCATCTACCTGTCTACAAGGTGGCCATCTACCTGTCTACAAGGTGGTCGTCTACCTGTCTACAAGGTGGACCTCTACCTGTCTACACGGTGGCCCTCTACCTGTCTACAAGGTGGCCATCTTCCTATCTACATGGTGGCCATCTACCTGTCTACAAGGTGGCCATCTACCTGTCTACAAGGTGGCCATCTTCCTGTCTACAAGGTGGCCCTCTACCTGTCTACAAGGTGGCCCTCTACCTGTCTACAAGGTGGCCATCTTCCTATCTACAAGGTGGTCGTCTACCTGTCCACAAGGTGGCCATCTACCTGTCTACAAGGTGGCCATCTACCTGTCTACAAGGTGGTCGTCTACCTGTCTACACGGTGGCCCTCTACCTGTCTACACGGTGGCCATCTTCCTGTCCTGCCTAGATGGCACGAAGGCCATACTCTTCGGTGGTGCTGCTGGCCCATTGTGGGGGAGGGGGGGGGGCGACTTACTTGGGCCGGGGGTGGGGGAGCCCTAAGAAGACATAATTTTTTGGGTAAGGCCCCCACTTCACATTTATAAACTTGGAGCCAGATGACAGCAGAGGTATGAATAAAATTGAACAAACCTGCTTGACCTCCCTCCCCGTGTTAATCCATGAAAGGGGTGGGGGGGGGGGGGTCCATTCCTGAAGACGTTATCTATATTTCGTTCGCTATCGCTGGGCCAATAACGACAGCCCCAAGCAAGCGGGGGTGGGTGACAACATGAACGGGGCACGTGAAGCGCTCGAGCGACCAGCGCTCGTTCTGCTTTTGCTCGTTGTTTGTGACGTGTGCATGAGCGGGAGGATGATGCACACGAGAAATGGGCTCTCATTTGTCCGTGTTACTTCACGGAAAATCATAATTACAAATGGGGAGGGGGCCACTCGCCGCGTACCTACCTTAAAAGCCAGGCACAAAAAAACGCCATATAACGGAGTGGGAGTTTATTGCGCTCGTTGATTTCATTGCATCGGTTCAAAGGTCGTCCTGGTCCTTCCAGCGTGCATGCAGGATCAGCGTGCTCTTATCTGCGCAGATAAGCCAGAGGTTGGCATCGTGATTTTAATTTTTACCTGTTAGTATCAACAAGCAGGTGTGAGAGACAGCACGAGATTCTGAAAGCACAGTCCGAGTGGAGAACGTGGAAGAAGGCCATGCCACTGTGGGCGTGCAGGTGGTGGCGGTAGTGGAAATGGTGATGGCGGTAGTGTAGCGGGTAGCGCAGCGGGTAGCGCAGTGGGTTCGCGCGCTGTGCTACGAGCCCAGTAACCGGAGTTCGATTCGCGCTCACGGCCAACACTAGTGACGATTATTTGAACCGGTCCTGGGCTCTCCCCTAGGTCAACTCAGACTCAAATGCGTACCTGCTGCAGTTTAAACATCGACACTAGGGAGGCAAAGGCGGCCGAGATTGGTGCTGGCCACCCACCTCATGTGCCGTGCCGATCTTCTTTGGTGCTCGATTACAGCTTCTGCCCTCACAGTCTGTTATATACTATATGAGGGATCTTTGTCTTTATCTTTGATGGTGGTAGTGGTTGAGGTGGTGGGAGCGGTAGTATAGTGGATAGTGCAAAACGCTAGGAACGCAGTGAACCAGAGTTAATTTCCCGCTCACGACGAATAGTCCTGAGCGGTGTGTAAATGTTAGCACCTGGTGCGGTGTGTACATGTTAGCACCGGGGAGACAAAGGTGACCGGGAATGGTGTTGGCCACCCACTCCTTCGTGTGCCATGCCAGCCTTCATAGGTGCTCGCAAACTTGCCGCAACAGTCTGTTAAGGCTATCGGGGGGATCTTTGTCTTTTGGTGGCAGTATGGTTATGCTGTTAGTAGTCGTGGTGGTGGCAGGGGTGGCGAATTGTGGTGGTGGAAGTGGTGGTGTTAATTTTGACGGCGGTGGAGCAGTTGTGGTGGTCATGCGGTGATGGTGGCAGTAGTGGTGGTCGGTTTTCTCCAGTCACTTGAAAGGATTTCAGAAGTAGTTCTGTGATATTTACTTCCACATTTTGTTCTCTAACTCCCACATTAGCACTGTTCTAAAATAGCTAGTAATGAACACGTAGGCTCATGAAACAATGCCAATATCACACTTCTGTAATGTTATTGGGGTAACAAAACATTCAAGTTTCGGACTATTTCCCTGTTTCAGAGCAGATGCAGCAAATGCCCCTTATGCCATGGCAGGACAACGCAAGTCCTTGCCCACTCTGAACTGAAGCCTCTGCCAACATCATCACCATCAGCCATGACCTATCCACTGCTGTGTGAATGCCTCCCAAAGCATCTCACAGTCTCACAATGCCATAAGCTCCATGCCAGTAAGAAACCATTAACCTTGCGGGCGGGGGCGGGGGCGACATCGCTGTTGACACCCTGCCTCGACCTTTTGGAATCGTGTTCTGAGCTAATCCTGATTGTCAGACGACGCAGATTAAAACAGCTGAAAACAAATTCGACAGGGCCAGGGGGGGCATCAGTGGACAGGCTTCGAGGCTCTGCGCTTTAAGGCCCTCGACACCTCCTGAGCCTCGTGATGCGGCTGACGCTTGCGGGGAACAAACGGGCAACTAAAACACCGCAGCAAAACCCGCGTACAAGCTCAGAGCATACTTATTGCTATCACCCGGATAAACGTTATGTCCGTTCTTTGTTGTGTGTGTTTAGT